AACAATGTACAGTAGACACCCCTGCACCATCAATTTCCTTTACATATAACACGATCAACATCCACATAAATAAAATAATAATTTCTTTCAAAGATACATTTCGTTCTCCACAAGGTAATTGGCTTGTACGGTTTCTTTCTTATGAGTCTAACGAAATGCATTAGCTACAGCACTTGAAAAACAGTCACTCTAACAACAAGGATAAAAAATGTTTGTTTTTTTGTCTGTGAACATTTCTTTTCTCAAGTGGTCGATAACAACAAACCCCAAAAAATAAAGATTAATGAGCATTAAAAGTGTAATAAATTTACATATCATCACGTTATACGACCATGGTTCATATAATATAACGTCAATGTGCATTCACCAAGCACATTCGATGGTACTTAGTTCAACATTCTTTCAAAGTCAAAGATAGGAAAACGAATCAACGTCAAGAGTTTAAATTATTTCGATGACAAAATAAATTTGAAGAAATTTTCATTAGCGTGTTAAGCAATTTTGACACGACTTTGACTTCTAAACAGTTTCAGTTTCCGACTCTGACGATTATTACATGTCCATAGGTAAATCTTTGAGATAGAAACTGTTGACCAGATAATACACAAAAAGAATAAATCAATTTGAACACATGGTTATTATAATACGTTGTTTGAAAAGATATCTTAAGCGTTTTAAATTTGCGGTTGAAATAAAGCATTTACTTACTTTTAAAAAATTGCAAAAGACTCATTATAAAATTACAAAGGGCGCAAAACTCATTGTGGTATTAATCTTTGTTATACGCTTTATTCAAAGTTAAACGGAACAAGCATACAAAACGAGATCTTAAATGCAAACAAAATCTAATAGCAGAAAGTTCTTCACATTTTTCAACAACATGGTAAACAGTTTATGCATATTTAAAACGTTTAAGGAATCATCACAAATGCATGCAATTAAAATTGTATTAGCTGCCAAAACCATTTTTGAAGTAAATGGCTTGAACCCGGGAGTATCCTTACATGTTTGTGGATGTAGATCGTCCAGGTTTGTAGAATCCTGAGAAGGACTGTTGTTGATGATGTTAACTGACGTTTTGACAATCTTAGCAGTAGTTCATCATTTGACTCTGAAGATGACTACCGCGAAGGTTGTCGAAACATGAGACAACATCAACAACAACAGTCCTCAGGACTCTACTAACCTGGACGATCTACATCCACAAACATGAAACTATTTTTTATGACAAAAGAAATAAATATTGACTCACCTCTTTTGATCGAAAACCATCAACGCCTTCTGCTACTAATGGTTGCGATTTTCAGCATGTTGTTTCATTTAATTTATAGCCAACGATAATATTATGCACGTAAAAATTTGGAGAATGTTATTATGAACAATTAACACTTATTTGTGCAATCAGTGCAATTAGTTGTAGTCACAAGCGGTGAATGAAATAACTGCACCCGTACAAAGATAAATAAAAACTCTATTAAAAGAATGCAAATTTTTATTTTATATTTACAACATTTAATACGGCTTACTTGATATTTACTTACTACGTAGTTGATAACCATTCAAACATCTTCTTGTTTAGTTTGAGTGGTAAACTTCATTGCAAAGCTTGTTAATATAAGAATCTTCCTAGATATTAATAACTTGCAATATTTTGTAAAAGTATAGGAGTGAGGTTAGTCCAGTTCAGAGAATGATTGTTGTTATTGTTATTGATTGACGTTTCAGTGACATAGATATTGAAAGCGATATTTGTCCAGTTTAGTAATGAGTAAACGTCCGGTTCACCGCGTGTTTATATTCAGGTCAGATATAGTAAACGTCCGGTTACCGGGACGTGGAAATCCAGCTTTACAAACACAATGAGCTCAACGAAACGAACAACTCACCGATAACAGCGACGATACCTTACATCAAAAGTATGTCTGAGACTATGTCGCGAATCGTACGACCATACAATTAAAATACGTCTCGCACATAAGCCAATCACAACGTTATGACAAGTACTAACGAACATAAAGAACAAAGAACAACCCAACGAACGACAAGGTGTAGTTTACAAAATAAACTGCTCCGACTGCCACGCTTTCTATATCGGGGAGACTGGCAGGAACTTAAACATAAGATTTACTGAAAATAAACGAGCTACAAAGAAACAAGACAAAACCAATCACATTGCCGAACATCACCGACTCACAAAGCACAACATTGATTCGGCAAAATGCATTACTTACAGTACTGAATATACGGCTTACGTTGGAAAGTCACATCATCACCGAACATCACCGACTCACAAAGCACAACATTGATTCGGCAAAATGCATTACTTACAGTACTGAATATACGGCTTACGTTGGAAAGTTGGTATATTAACTTGGAACAACCCCCTGAACACATCACAGCAATTACCAGCACCTTACAAACGACTTATTCAAACAAACAAGCAACTAAAAACATTACACTTCACACTAATCCACAATGACAATACACAATTGACATTACAACTAAAAACACATTACAACTAAATACGTCACACCTAAATCACACATCACAACTAAAAATAAAATATTTCACTTCACACTAATCCACAATGACAATACAAAATTTCCTGTACACACAATACAATGACGTATAAACGAGAAAACAAATACGTCTAACCTGACGTTTACTCCCCATTTGACTCTGAAGTTGAATACCGCTATAAGGTTGGTTGAAGCGTCAACATCAACAACAACAGTCGTTCTCAGGACTCTCCTAACCTCGACGATCTACATCTTATTGAACTTATGTCGCTTAAAATTTATATTATGCAGGGTTTTTTGTTACTAGGCTCCTCTCCTGAAAAAAAAATTGGGAAAAGTTGTAAATATATTTTTGGAAATTATTTCTGTTCAACACTAAATCGAAATGGAAAGATTTTTTAATAAATCCCTAAGACGTTAGGTGTTCATTACAAATATAAATAAAATTTCAGTTTCACATTAAAAAGCAAACTAAAAAACAACTAAGTTTCATTCCATACAGCTAGGTCATCAAAATTAATAGATTTTTAAAAGAGACTGTTGGCGTTTGTTGCAGCATTGACTGCCAAGTTATATAAGGCTTCAATCTTTTTTACAGCTAATCAAATAAAATCACACCTGGAAAAGAAAAAAAGCTTATATCTTTCTTTTTAGAAAACTAAATAGACACCAGATGCATCTTTATCAAGAGCAAAGCTGGCTTGCTTTTTACATGTACAATGCAAATCTTTTCGTATGTACTCAATGGAAAAACAAAGAATGGAATTAATTTGCTGAAAATAATTGTTTTGGAAGAGTAAAAGATCGAGTTTACTTCGCAACTGATTTTTATGTCATACTTGCATTAAATGAGTTTACAATACTTAACTGAACAATCTGCGTTGGGTATAAGTTTTTTCGAAATATCTCCAATTGTGTCTCCTATACATTGTACATCTTATACACTTATACTTCTCAGTAAGCCAAAGCCATAAAAAATTTTCACCACTAGCCATAAAAAATTTTCCTAAAGGTCTTAGTATGTTGTCTAGAATCTCAACGATTGAAAAAATTTCGAGAAAATTCAACTTTGGTTACGTAGTTCCACTAATTAATACTACTGATTGAAGAAGTTTTGTGAGTTTAATACACTTTACTAATCGTAAAAAATCAAACTTTAGGTTGTGACAATTTATTCACGTGTATGAAAAAAAAATTCAAATTGACGAGTATTCGTATTATCCTAAGATGAATTATGGTGTTTGTATTAAAAGGCAAAATATGCGACCTTTTATTCCTATTTTACAGATTTGGCATTTTTGCTTATCCAATAATTGACAAAATATTTATGTCTGCTGTAAACATAAATAAAAAACAATTAAATTACTTTGAAATATGATTGACGATTGAAATGAATTCTCCTAAGTACTTAGTTCTACTTGCTGGTAGTATTTATGTGAACAATGTTCAGAGTACTTTTTCGTAATTTGCTTAACCAGGAAGTCATACTTCATGTCTGTAAATTGAACTTCACTCGTTGACCAAACCATAGTTGTGTTGTGGCATTATCTGATGATAAGCAACGATGTGTTGTGTTATAACAAACATAAAATCCAAAATTATCTTCTCCTCCATTACCACCATTATTGCTGCAACCATATTTTTCAAAATTCCTTAGATTATTTTCACATAAATGATGGCTATTGTCTGTGTGAAAAATATGGCCGTCATTTTGCCAAAACGGAATTCTACAGTCACTACATTTGTGGCCTTTGATATCGATAAAGCTGACATTCAGGCAAACTGCAACTGTACTATTCTGTTCCTCTGGTGCCTCTTCATGGGTCGTTTACGTACTAAATATTTGAAAAATATGGATGTATAATTAAATTAGCAAGTCTTCAGCTTAACAACTCGGATATTGTACTACATATCAAAAACATGTAATGAATCAAATTAATTTTTATTTTTTGCAGACTTCGTTATAATTTTGAAAAAAGACTTAAATTTCCCAAATATTAAAACTAAAATTTTATTCAAACAATGGATCCCAATCTCATAGGTGGTGATGAAATTTAAATATATGTTACGGTTAATAGTTGAATGGTGGACTTTCCAATCTTCCACCTACTAATCTCAAAATGCATTCTTTTGACAAAATATTTATTACAAGGATTTTTCGTCTTAACGCTACTTAACTGAGTTCTTCAACACAGACGAGAGTAAACTATGTTTTACAATTTTTGAAAATTTCATAAATTTATAGAAACACAAAAATTTATATTGTGAATTAGTCCATCTTATTATTTTTGTTTATAAATATTGAGAAAATTTAAATAATTACAATGACGAGGAAGATTAACATACATTTTGTTTTACATAAGTATGTGGTTTAAACTTTTATCAAATAAACAACTTAGTCCCCCTTCCACACTCTCAAAAGTCAGTTTATTCATTCAATTTAATTAAAGAAGTAAAGAAAAAATGTTAATCTTGCGCCAATGCCGAAACCAGGGGTCGAACCAGGGACCTTCAGATCTTCAGTCTGACGCTCTCCCAACTGAGCTATTTCGGCTAATCGGATCTTGAGATGACTACAAAATCAACTAAAGAAAAAAATTCTTATAAATATTTTCGACTTTACTATCTTTAAAAAAAAAGAATGGCTTAGGTCAGTATACACAGTTCAAAATTTTTCTTACATTTTCTTTAATTGCAAAATAAAACATTTTATTTTAAAAAAGTAAAAATGTACCTCTAAAAAATATTAGTAGGTTCAACAGAATATTAATCAACAATCATTTCGACAAAGATGGGATTCGAACCCACGTGTGCAGAGCACAATAGATTAGCAGTCCATCACCTTAACCACTCGATCACTTTGTCTTGTTGCATTGTATTTTTTTGTGTAATATAAAATTTATACACAAGCAAGGATCAATATTACTATAAGAAAAATGGCAGAAGAGACCGGTTGTAATGAAGAAGTAAAAATTTGCAAATTTTTTTTTCATATTTTTAACAATATTATATTATAACTTTAATTTTCAATACATTTCTGTCAAGTAAAATTTCATTTATTTCCACGTAATTAACAAATTAAAATAGAGAAGTTGTCAACGTTACATCTACTATGAAATATCTTTAAATTAAAGTTTTGTCAACAGTCTACGAGTCCAGTTTTGAAATTAATGTTAATAACAATATTGCGTGTTCTCAAAGTTTTTATTTTTTAAACTAATCTTTTTAACAACTATTTTACTTTAAATTTCTATTATATTTTAGTAAATCAATTTTTAAAATAATATAACGAAGTATACATACACATGATTTAAAAAAAGTTACAGAATAATTAAACACAAATGTAAAAGATTTCTCATTGTAAAGCATAATTATAAATGGAGCCCTTAACAAAAAAAAATTACTGTACAAAATTTAACAAATATTGCAAGCTATATATTTAACTCGCTGCAAGCGGTATTTGAACCTGCGAGGGGAATCCCCATTGGATTTCTAGTCCAAAGCCTTAACCACTCGGCCATTACAGCTTATTGTGCAAAGGACTTAGTTTTTTATGAGTGATTTCTTGCATGGGATCCTATCTTTTTTTTCTTCGCTCTCCTCTTCCCTCCTCATCGGAGAGCGAATTTTCTGAATTTATACTAAGCGTCGCATTCCATTCTCGAAAAACTTAGTAAGAGAAATGCCCCTTTGACATTGTCAATCAGCACTATATTTTCTTACTTTCCTATTTCCTAAGTCATCCTTAGCATAGTTACATCTTATTCTAGCCAGGATTTGAAAGTCCACTCTCAACCTCGAAAGGTTGTGTCTGTCCACTAGACCAGAGAGTTCGTTGGAGACACCTGGTCATTTTAAAGTACCATTCCTACCTTGAAGTATTTTATGCCAAAAAAATAGACCATTGAAGGTCTCGAATCAACATTATAACAGATCACTTCCCGCTAAAGATAAAGCAACAAACCAAAAATCATATTCGTAAAAATTAGACGAAGAGTGTTGATATAAAGAGCGAAAAAGTAGTACAAATATATACATTTATATTAATCTTAGTTTGGTAATACATTAGCAATACATTTATAGTTACTTATGTCTTCTCTTGAAAATGATAGAGACAAGTAAGTCTTTCAAAAGCAGCACGTTTTCTTACGGTTAAGCAATGCAGATTTCTTTTTGCGACTGCTGTCGATCAGTAAGTGCGTTGGAAACAGATGGAAAATTTAGTCCATTTACGGTAATAGATGCTTGAAGTATGATTTAAAAAATTATTTCGTAAAGTGACAATCAAGAAAACAACTACATATTTGTAGCATCAACTTCAAACCATTGACATTTTCACAACAACTCTAGAGATAAATCGAAAAGCATTTCGTTGTAGGATATCATCATTTAGTGTTTGTCTGTTTACACGACAGCAATACATTAATACAGTTTATAACTATGGGTCTATCCTCTCGTGAGACGTCGAAGAAAGTATGGTCGATCTACATCTACAAACATGTAACGATACTCCCGGGTTCAAACCATTTACTTTATCCTCCAGTTTTAAGGCAACATTTGGACGAAAAGCATGGGAAAAATTTTGCACTTCTAAGACTATTTCACGAAGAGATCTCTGCCGGGTTAATTGATGTAAAGTATCATCAAATACACTTGATAATACAAATTCATTATGCAATATGACGTCACTGGTTGTGGAAAACAAAGCAATACAAAAACTCTAATATCTTGAGAGGCAAAAGTTTATAAAAACTGTTTAACAAAGTGTACTGTAGCATGTTTGTGGATGTAGATCGTCCAGATTAGTAGAGTCCTGAGAGGAACTGTTGGCGTTGATGTTGAGTCTAAAAAGTCTAAAAACTAAACACAAACGTGTCATGAGCATCAAAATCCCACTTTTTCCCTGTAATGATGCATTGTTTTAACCAATGTATGGTGACAGCTGGTATGTTCAGCAACTTCGACTTTTGAATGGTACTATGCATCACGTGACTGCTGCCGACAATAATGACGTCGCAAATTGGTTCGTGTTGCGATTGCTGCAACGTTTGTAGCGGATTTGGTGGTAGTTTTGATACCATCTGACAACCAGCTGCCTTCAAAACTTTTTTCCAATCGAGCTGAAAATCGCTGGGGCCAACTAGGTGAACCTGCAAGACGTCGATTGAAGAAAAATTAAAAATAGGAAAAGTAGATTTCTATGAAACGTTGGCCTAATCCACAGACATTCGGGAATTTTACTCATGTATCATGAGCAAGCATTTTACATGACCAGCGGCTAGGCCAGTCTGAATTGACTCATGTATCATGAGCAAGCATTTTACATGACCAGCGGCTAGGCCAGTCTGAATTGACTCATGTATCATGAGCACGCATTTTACATGACCAGCGACCAGGCCAGTCTGATGAATTGTACTCACTTATCATGAGCAGGCATTTTGCATGACAATGCAAGTTGTTCAGCAAATTATTATTCGTTTCGTTATAGTTCTAGTGAAAAAACAGAAAAATATTCGCATTTTAGGATTAAAGAACGGGCTGGTTTGGCTTTCTTAACTACCAGGTATATAACTTGTGGATTTTAAAGGAGCTTTAAAACATTTTCAAAGCTAGAAGGAACTAGCATGAAGAAAAAAAAACTCAGATCTGAATCAAGCTTCAGCCTTTATGACAATCTTCGTGATATCATATTTCATTAGATTACAGAACTTGCTTCAACAGAATAAATTTCTGCTAGCATCCAAAGATCTGCTGTAGTCCCTTTCCACTAAACTTAAAACACGTAAAACATCAAACGAATAATTTACGCAAACATAAACAAAATTTATAAAGTATGCGGAAAATAAGTAAAGACTAAAAGTCAAAGCTAAACTCTAATAGTTTGACTTGAAAATTGATTGTTTTCTCATCAAAACCCTTCGGAGCATGGACATAGAAAGACCGATGAGTGAGGGGGGAGGTCATATTCATTTATACATGAATACAAGGTTAAGCCCCTTTGAAATCCATTGCTTTCATTGGAACATAACATGCATATATGAATATGACCCCCCCCCCCGAATCATCGATTTTCCAACGCACGCGCTATGGAGTAAAACATACCAATAGGAAAGCACAAGCTTTCCTTTCAATTTCAAACAAAATAACACGAACAGCATCACATTTACATATACCTTCAATCCTCGCAAAGCGCCTCGATAGCTTTGATTTTCGATCAGCTCATCGTTGATGATATCTTTGCCGGCGGGTAACAAATAACTTTGAAAGCCGATCAGCCTGTTTTCCACGCAGCAATCACGAATCCAAACGTGAGAAATACAAGGTACATTTAAAACTAACGCGTGGAAATATTTAGCCGTGGTCTGACAGGTATTTGACAAGAGAAAACATGAATTTACAGAAATATCATCCTGAAATCCGTCCAATATCTCGCCACCACAGGCCTTTAATTGAGCCTTGACGTCATTCTTTGTGTAGATTTGCTGTTCCTCGCGAGATTCGCTATCATTCAGAGAGTAAGTAACGTTTTTTCCGGTCAGAACGAATCCATAGCCGCAAAATAAATCTTTATTCTTTGAAAGAATCCCCCCACAAGAGTTGATTTTACGCGGAGATTTTCGACGATTTCCGACGTTTTTTTTTCCATGTCCACATTTTCCTGATGATCCTTTTTGAGATTTACGAACGATTTCGCGGTTTTTTTGATTTGTCGGTCTGGCGCTTGCTGTTTCTCGTTTCTCACATAATATTGTAGAACGAGGTGACGTGGTGTATTCAAAATTTGTAACTTTGGATAAAGACTTCTCTCCGTTCGTTGTCCTGCAATTTTCAACATGTTCATTAAGCGACAAAAACATCGCCGCTTGTTCCGCACTAAGCATAACATTCCGTCTTGGACAATCCACCACTTCATTATTACAACTTTTCACCTTATGCACCTCTTCGACTCCATTCATGAAAGTCTCCTTGACAACACCATCGATATACCCGCCGCCGGCTTTCTTGCAAAACATCACCTGCTGATCGGGCAGAAAATCGTCAACAATAATTATACAATCTTCATGAAGAGTTCTGACGTTTCCATCGTCAAAACGCACACGGTATTCCCCAGGATGGCTAAATGTCGATTCTACAATGCCAGGGTAATAGTGCTTATCAAACCATTTACCAAAAACTTTTGTTCCATTTTGAAGTAACGGCGAGGGGCGCGATGACGTAATGTCTTTGTTCTTTTCATGAAGTACACAAGAACGCGTTCGTTTTATTCTCGCCTTTGGTGCTTTTATTTCATCAAATTGACGAAGAGATTTCCCTTCTTCACCGAGATCTCCGGAAGACCTTGACGAGTTGGAAGACGAAGATGAACATGAAGTCGTAAACAAAATCGGCGATAAATTTTTCGTTGGCAACAAAAGCTCTCTCGGTGATTTCGACGATTTGGCGCATAATTTTTTTCTCGCATGGACTACACTACGTAATTCTGAAATATTTTGGTCGTTACATTGCACAACAGTCTTCTTATTACTACAAGTATTTTCAAGAGATTCCACCTTCGATTTATCATCATTTGCTACGTATTTCGTAGGATCTTCAATGTTTTCTGAGAAATGAGGTTTTTTCGAAAGAAGAGTTTCGTCGAATTCGATCACGGGAGGTATTTCTGACACCTCTTCTTGCGTCTCGTCTGTCATCGTCGTGACTTTGTACGTAGGCTCTCCGAACTCGTGTTTAGTTTCTTTGGTTATTGTCGTTCCATTAATTGAAGAGTATATGATCTCTACCTCGACCTCGATCAACGTCGTAACGGTTGTCGTCTTTCGAGTCTTTACCGTCTTTAAAAAGCCTCTTTTATTTATTTGTCCATAATTTTCCCATCTTTGATCCTCGATGCACACGAGCACACGATGCACACGATCGTCATTCTTAACTTTCTTCGCACTCGAAGTATTTTTGCTGAGATGCTTGCGTTTATTTCGCCCCGTTGACGGCGGCACAGAAAATTCATCTTCACTTTCATGATCAGTTCGGTTGCACTTGTTGGATCCAATTCCACTTTCTTTGATTTTCGTGAAAACGCATTTCTCGAAAGGTTTCGAGGGCAGAGCTTCCGTTTCCGTAAGAAAACTCGGAGTACCTTGTCTTAAACAGACTTTGTCGTCGACATCCGAGTCTTCTGAAGAAAGAGGTAAAGCCTTCACATCACGTGACTTAGAATTTATGAACATGTGACCAGAATCATCAGGTGTGCAAGAAGAGCGACATCTCTGGGACGAATCTAATCAAAAAAGAAACTAATTGTATGAACTATAGAATATTTTTTAGTTTTAACGTCACTACCGTATTTCTTTTGTTTAGCCCCCAGCGAACAAACGAACGCAAAGGAAAGTAAGGTTAAATATACGAACGGTTTCCAAGCCAAGCTGATAACCCACGATTATAACATTTTAATGATATGGCGCGGGCGTCTATTAGAGACGGGGCGTTTATTAGGTGTCTTAATCCAAATTCAAGCTTTGAGGGGTTGGGGGTTTGATAGGGGGGGGGCGTTTATTGGATTATTGACGGTGGTAAGCACATTTGGTTTAGATTACAGTCTGACTGACATAATTGGCGACAACTCAATCGTAATTATGTTTTTTAGCACACATTAACACCCCAATGCGTCTCAAAAACAGAGCAACATAACTATCGTGTGTCAGATAATTACATAAAAACACCTTCATTTTGTCTGTCTATTACGTACAAAGCTCCGGACTTCTACTGTTCGCAATGTCATGTCGGTGAAAAGACAGAAAAGTATTTGTTGAGATATTATAGAAGCTTCGCCAACATGATTGGAGCTGAAATTCGACAGAATAAGATTATTTTAATGGACGTTTGCCGAAAGTACATTTTTACCTTTAGTCACCAAAGTATTGCGCCTGAAAGGTGTTTCGTTGACAAATGCTTCAGAAGGCTGGGATGGCGACATGCGAAGAAAAAACATGTCGTCTTCTTCACAATCTTGGCCAGGATTGTTCACTTTCACTACAGGTACATGGTCAGGTAGACTTTCGTGAGTGGCTTTGTCTTCTTGTTCGGTATTTCTATCTATATGATGTACGTCTAAAAACATTTCAGTCATGTAATGGCAGTTATGCAATTCTTGTTTTGAATGTTCGCCAGGCAATTATGCGCTGATTGGCTTATAGCTGTGTTTTCAAAGCCTGAGTAAACTGGTGCAAACCGATCTTAGCTCAACCAATAAAATTAATCAAAGAAAATTTGCAAATCAATCATGAGTACATTTTAGAGGAAAAACTAAAACGTTTGCTCTAAATTTGTATGTTTTGCATTATTGTAGTTTTATGAAAGAAATAAAAGATGTTTTTCGTGTTTACATTGGGTAATGCAAACCTCCGAGACGTTTGTGAGAAGTTTGTGAGAACTCACGACCTTCGTTCTCGGGCTTGTACTGATCTGTTCTCGAGTTCTCTCAAAGGTCTCCTCGGTTTGTACAAGCCTGTGGCCCTGTAGAAACCATAGTTCAATGGTGCAAACACAGTAAACGTCTTTTGTTTCTTAAATAATAGTTTAGATGTACATGCTGTTTATCACCTCTGGATTCGAAGAAAAAAATATCTTTTGACATCTCTGCAGGAGAATTTCGTTTACTTTCAGCAAGTCCAGACACCATTGCAACATTTGACCCGCGAAGATTATTCCCATCCATATTTGGTATAGCAATTGAGCAGTTTGAAGAGTTGGATGCACTACTTTCTGATGAATTGACGACTGCTGTCACATCACTGTCTGTTTGATAACAGTTCTTGTCGGTACCATTAGTTTTCTTTAGAGAAACTTTTTCTAGAAAACATAAGAATTGTTGTCATTTAAGTAATGACATGCAGTGATCAACATATTTGTAGTTTCTAGCAAAACATCTTCCCATGTCCAGGTTATTTCACCAATCACACTAATGCCAGACCATTGAAAAAACGTTGAAATATACGTAACCTCAACAAACATTTGAACAAACATTTTGAAAAATTGCCTTTTCAAGTACAAGGCCTGTAGAAAATAATCAATTAGGGGGGGCTATTGACAGTTAAAGCAGCAGAAGTTGGTTGCAAGTAGGTCACAGGATAAATTCCCCCCAACCCCCTGCCCAGGCTCTGTGGTTTTGGAAGTGTAAGTTATATGAAGGTCTAAACAAAAATTGTGCATAACATTTATGGTACACTAGTAGTGACACAATCATCAGTTTATTTTCCCACTATGTTTACACAAAAATCGAAATTTATTTCCCTATGGAGCAATGATAAAGGAACGCATTGCTAAATCGCACACTCCCTCTCCTAAATCCAAAATAATTACACTATGGCCAAAGCCGTCGCCAATGAAGTGAAGTCAAATTAATGCTTGAAAGTTTCTTTAGAAGAGAACATAAAACAATAAGGCAAAATTCTCCAAAAGTTATGAGCAAACACTATATTGTGACATATATACCTGTCACAAGTGCATTGATGTGAGTGAATTTGAAAGCAGATTTGTAATTTTTGTTTTCTTACTAGATGAAGAGCTCTTGTCATTGGGCAAACATGAAGGTGTGATGATTTCAGAACTTGATGTTTCTTGAATTGCTAGCTGATCCAAAGATAGTTTGTCATTCAACATCTTGGATGAGCCAATTGTTGTTGAATTTTCGAATGTACGAATAAGATCATGTAAGGTGCTATAAAAAATAAAAAGCTGTTACTTTCAACTACTACATATTCAGAAAAATGTTTGCAAGTATTCTTACCGGCGTAAAGGATGTTCCTTAGGTGTCTTTATTCTTACAAGACTACGTTCTTCACCACTAGAGTTCTCCTTGCTAAATACTGATTGAAATGAACAGCTTACATCTGATGATTCACTTGGAGAATAGGGAAAAATCGAATCAGAACTGCTGGTATCTAAAAACAATTATCATCACAGTATCCAGTCAAAACTATCCTTATCAAAAGACAATTATGGATAAAAGGTGCACTGGAGCAATCATAGAATACCATTTCCCGAACTTAACTACCATCAAGCCCTACCAAAACCCTAACATTTTTCCTAATCACAAACATGCATAATTGTTGCTGGCTCTCTTGGTCGTAGGGTATTCTACATTCCACAGAGTGTCCCAAAAGCTGCTCATCTTTACATGATTCAGGAATAATTGATCTCCGATGAAGTATTAATTTCATTCTCAAAATTCGCAGTGTGCAATAGCTGCACTTTGTATGTATATAATTATTTTCAATAGCCTTTATAATTCTTTGGAGATCGATCACTCCTAAACTGGACAAATTCTACACCATTTCTGATTTCTAAGATGAGCAGTTTTTGAAACCTCCAGTAAAATTGTGTCATTCATGTAGTGTGGCCATGCACGCACATTTTTAACAAGTTTTAGTCTGATAAGCCTAGACTCTCTCAACTTCTTAACACAGTTGCAAATGTCAGAACTGGGGAGTGTTTAAGTTCATCCGACCAAACTTCATATAAAAATTGCATGCAAAGTCACCCTGCCTTTTTGGCCACCAAGTAACCCTATAAACCCACTATTGCTGTCTTTCATTTGTTATTTACAGGTTCAGGTTAAGTCTAACTGAATCATGGCAGCTGAATTTCAAATTCTAACTTTTTAAATACTATCATATTTCAAAACAATCTTCATGGTAACGGTTTACATAGGTAATCCTTGCTGTGCCAGCTGAATATTGTTTGCTACAAGTTCCAGTTGTAAGTACTGCTAAAATGACATGGAATTATTCTCAAACATTTTTGTAAATTCTTACCTTCCAATTCCATGCTCGAATTAAATCAGCAACTGCAACCACGTTGTTTCCCACGTGTATTTCTTCTTGTTTTCAATTTACGAAATTTCGCGCTGACCTCTAAGAGGCTGACAAAAATGGAGTATCAGCTCACTGATCTGATAATAGACTGGGTATAGCTTCTACAGGTAGCAAAAGTGAAGCCTAATTATATATGCAAAATTCACTTCCGGGTACCACGGCGAGATACAAATTACTATAGAAATGTATGGCGGATAACGTTTACAAACATGGATTTTCGAATATTTAAGACCTTTCGCGACTCCTTACTAACCTCAAGTATTAGTCATGGATAAAACAGGTTATGCGAATCGATTTGACATCAAAATGATTCCTATAGCTGTAAAATATTGACGTTAGTGTTGATTTAAAAGTTGTACATGCGAGAATGTATTTTGTCCCATCGTTGCCAATGCAAGATAGTTCACTGCTCGCTTTCCAATTTCTGAGGCAGTTATGATCTAGTATACGTTTCAGTTCTTTAGAAATGAGGTGAGTTACTTTTTTTATCATTCTTTCTTTATGTTGAGAGATTGTTGTAATTTAATTTTTGCTGTAACTTCATTTTTTCATGAGCAAAGTACTACTTAAACAAGACAAGTTTATTCAGTTTCTTTCGCACTTTGTCTTTAGTTTCTATTTCTGTAGTTGTTTTTCTCAAATGGTATAGTCGCACTTTGCGCTTAATTATTTAAAGAAGTATGATTTTCATTGACATTAAAATCTAACAAATGCGTTCTACACACATTAGGACACTTTAGTAAACTGCTTTTGAAACATCAAGGTAATGTAGCCAGCCAGGTATGAATTTGCAGGCCCTTTAAGAGTGCAAAAGCTGGGTGCATTGTTTAATCTTTATAATCATCTTGGTTTTAGTTTGTCCCTTAAACAGATTTAAATTATTAACAGCAACATAAGACTGCATCCACAGTTTATAATTATAAGTGTATCCAATTGTATCCAATATATCAGTTCCACATTGTCTTGTGCTAATTCCTTTACAGCCATGAATACTGCTTCTCAGCAACAGTTTATTGTCTACAGCTGTAAATTGGTCAAATGTTCGATTGTTAAAGTCACACTTCACAAGTGGAATAAAGCTCTTGTCTTTCTTATTACTACAAGACTCTAGACTGATGATCAAACTATTGCTGAAAAGGATTCTAATGTCAACTGCAATTCATATTTATACCATCCCTAACTACATTCATATCTTAAGAATAATTTTAATCTTTTTGGAAAAATATTTAAGGCATTAATATTACATTCATACTAACTATGATCTTCTGGAATTTGCTTAGCACTTAGAAGAGGAAAATGAAATTTACTGAATGTAAAAAGGCAGTAATATTGTACATGGCTGGCTATATTGCCCAGATGGTGCAAAAGAAAATAAACTGTCCTATTTGTCATGTAGCAGTCGGTTCAAGAAACCATAAAAATGAGTCTGCTTTCCTGACTTTAAAATACAGGGGTAAATTGTAAGCTAACAGCAAGTGTTATAGTAATATGCAATGAAACAGAGAGGTGCTTTCAGAGAATGTTGGCAGCTACAAATGGAAATTTACCGCAAGGAAAAGGAATTCCTGATGGTATTGCTGTGTCTGTATTAAATGGTATAGATTTGAGGACAACATTCAAGGATCTCGACGCACACATGTTGAATACTACTGTTCACGAAAATCATATTTACTCATTAAGACCATATCTAAATGTTACAGCAAGGTGCGACTATACCATTTGAGAAAAACAACTACAGAAATAGAAACTAAAGATAAAGTGCGAAAGAAACTGAATAAACTTGTCTTGTTTAAGTAGTACTTTGCTCATGAAAAAATGAAGTTACAGCAAAAATAAAATGTCAACAATGTCTCAACATAAAGAAAGAATGATAAAAAAAGTAACTCACCTCATTTCTAAAGAACTGAAACGTATACTAGATCATAAATGCCTCAGAAATTGGAAAGCGAGCAGTGAACTATCTTGCATTGGCAACGATAGGACAAAATACATTCTCGCATGTACAACTTTTAAATCAACACTAACGTCGATATTTTACAGCTATAGGAATCATTTTGATGTCAAATCGATTCGCATAACCTGTTTTATCCATGAATAATACTTGAGGTTAGTAAGGAGTCGCGAAAGGTTTTAAAAATTGGAAAATCCATGTTTGTAAACGTTATCCGCCATACATTTCTATAGTAATTTGTATCTCGCCGTGGTACCCGGAAGTGAATTTTGCATATATCATTAGACTTCACTTTTGCTACCTGTAGAAGCTATATCCAGTATATCAGCTTCGTAAGAAATGTTGCAATTTTAAATTTCTTAACAAATAAATTTTCTTGAAAGCACTTTCCTGCCCGACGAGTAACAAGATTTTGCTTTGCCTCGTAAAATTCACTCTCTCTATGATAACTAATGTCCGAAAACATTTTGCTTTCTCCTAGAACAATTTACATTGCTGTTAGCCTTTTAAATAAATTTTAAAAATTTCACTTTGCAGCCAATCAGATTGCAGGAAATCAAAAACAAACTTAGCATGCATAAAGCACAAATTCAGTAAAACTCACATGTTGATATATATTTCAAACTACGTAAAAATTACAACTCTTGCGTTAACAGTGAAATTATTTTGCCATGTAAACAGCATTTCCATTAAACATAAAGATTAAAAAAGATACGTGAGCAAGAAAAACACTCCGTGTTCTATTTATAATAGTTGTTTCGACCAACCAGAAGGCCTAAGTAGATTTTTCTTGTTCTAAACAATGCTACGCCAAACAACATGAAGATTCAATTATAAAAATTTCTTGTAATATCTTATAGCTCCAATCACATTCAACTCAAATCACTTTTGGCACAGCTATATTGGCGGTCACACACAAGCGTTAGTAAGACGCGTTCTTCCACCTGCGCTAAATTCTACTTCGTTTCTTGTGAAATACGATACCAATTCTTCTATACTCTTGAATTTCTGTAAAAATGAAGCCAGGGTGAACCTTTCGTTTGGGTAGTATAAAATATAAGAAATAAAATATATTTACTGTATTTGCACAGGCTTATGCAAACCGAGGAGACTTTTGGGAGAACTCGAAGGCTGATCAGTGCAAAACCGAGAGTTCTCACAAACGTCTCCGAGGTTTGCATAAACCAGTGCAAACACAAAAAAAATCTTTTATTTCTTTTATAAAATGACAATAATGCAAAACATACAAATTTCAAACAAACATTACCATATTCTTTTAAAATAAATTCATGTTTGATTTGCAAATTCTCATTGATTGATTTCATTGGTTGAGCTCGGATCGGTCTGCACAGGCTAATGCAGACCAATCAGGGCACGCATTTCATTGTTTTTATTTCACGTTTGCGACCGCAGACAACATATCTAATCATAAAATCACAACAATACAACGCGTGTGCTTATTGGTTTTATAGCTGAGTTTGCATCAGCCAGTGCAGACCGATCTGAGTTCAGTCAGTTACATCAATTTGCAGAGAATTTGCAAATCAATCATGAACACATGCTAGAGGAAAAATCGAAACATCGGTTTTCAAATATCTGTATCGCATAATTGTAATTTTATAATAGAAATAAAAGAAGTTCTATCCACAAAGTTAGGAAAAAACAGATCTCGTGCTTCATGATAGTGACGTATGGCTTCATATTGAAAAATGCATCAACGAATTCCATAGCTACATCGAGAAAAAGCTCGCACCTCAGAACCGCTGTTTCCCAATCGATATTGATTATTCTCGCCGCATGGAATACTGAAATGAAATCAAAAATGTTATCGCAAAAAAAGAGTCTTACAAATTAGGTGACGAAAACCTACTCCAAATGTCGAATTTCGTTCTTATATAGAATCGACATGATGCACTTGCTTTGATCTCTACTGCTTACTCTCACTAGATACGAACCATCCTGCAAAAAGAAAACCGTTGACATTTTGAAATGTTTTGTAGCCAAAACTTACAGTTGCATGTTTCTAGGTTAGTAGAGTGCTTGGAAGGACCGTTTGTGTTGATGTTGACTGACGTTTCGACAACCTTAGCGGTAGTCATCTTCAGAGTCAACATGAGAAGGACAGTTTGTGTTGATGTTGTCTGACGTTTCGACAACCTTAGCGGTAGTCATCTTCAGAGTCAACATGAGAAGGACTTTTTGTGTTCATGTTGACTGACGTTTCGACAACCTTAGCGGTAGTCATCTTCAGAGTCAACATGAGAAGGACTTTATGTGTTGATGTTGACTGACGTTTCGACAACCTTAGCGGTAGTCATCCATTATAATCAAGTGAGAAGTAAACATCAGACTACATCATCGACACCAACAATCCTTCACGGAACTCTTCTAACCTCGACAATCTACATCTTCAAACATGTACAACGGTTCAAATCATTCACTATAAAACTTAAAGTGCTGTTTATCATTGATGATCCTCAGGATTTACGATAGTAAAAATCTGAATTCAAAACAGCCTTACATAATATACTGTTTACCTTCCGAGCACCTTTAAGCTTTTCAGCTATTTCGTTCTTCGAAATGGAACCGTGAAACCAAGGTTGATCCTCGAGTTGTTGCCGTTTTGTCTATAAAGAAAACGTCCAAAGTGACAACAAACTAAGACAATCAACATTGTTAAAGTGAAAAATCAAGTTACCTTTGAAGGAGATAAGATTACTGGAAGAGGAACTATGAGAAACACATAGGGATTATACGTAGCCCATCGATAAAATTTATTTCATATGATGCGGTTAGGTTAAAACAGATGCACTCCATCAGGGCCGTCCCTAGAACGTTAATGGGGGGGGGGAGGGTTTATTCATATATTTAGTAGAACCTGACTGATTTCTATTGAAAGAGAATTGGAATTGGCGACATATTTTTTTCATGGCCAACAAATATTAAGGATATTTAACATAGCATGAATGTTAACTAGCAGCGTAATTATCAGTCAAACTCTTCTCACACGAGTCAAACCACTTTGATAATATATAAGTTTAAACAGTCTCCGCCATCTTTAATCTCATGTCAGAATGACGTTTGACGTCCAAACAGGACATTAAGATGTTAAGATGGCAACTTTTTTGTCGACGAACATGATGAATTTAAACTCGACGATTTAGATCAACAGAAGTTCTTTTTGAGGTATATATGCTTAGAGATAGTGTACGTGAAGCTGGTGATACTAGTGAAGATGGTTCTATTGGAGAAGATGGATTTCATCGAGTTTAAAAGTCAGAACGTCTGGACCTTGTTTTCTTTTTCATTTAGGAAATCACAAATTTCATTTAGGAAATGAAAAATAGTAAAATTTCTTTACAGTATTTTGCTTACTGCTTCAATGGTAGCTACAAGGCGGACAGTACATCATACATGGCTGTTTTTACAAGTTTGTTCCGGTACAAATTTGTTTCATGCACAACAAGCTCGCTCTGTTGTCACGTCATTTATCTATAACTTACATAAATTAGCATAGCAAAAATCTTCAAAAGATGGCGGCCAATGCGATGTGATTGTTTTTTTATGGTAGCAAATATACACACGTAAAATACAGTATTCATAATTTTTTGTCATGTTAGATCTTAATGGGTAATATAATGAAATAGTTGGAAAAAATATGTTGTCCCCTTTTTCCCATAGGCCCGTTTCAAACATCGCATTTTACATGCATCAAATACATTAAAGACAAAAGAAAATAAGATAAAATTCCTCATCATCTTTTGCTTTAAATGCATTCGGCTCGTGTACGATGCGACGTTTGAAACGGACCTAAATTGCTTTCAAAAGAAATCAGCCGGCACAACTGAACACACGAATAAACCAATTGACGTTCTAGAGACAGCCCTGCACTCCATGGAGCTTGGCATGATATTGCACCAAATGGCAACACAGAAACACGATCTTTAAATACATTGTAAACAAACCTGGCTTATTTTTTGGCCGTGGTAGTGGCTCCTATGAGAATAATACATGTTACTACAAGAAACAGATGCTCCAAAAACATGCAAGTGAATAGCTAAAGCAATAAACATTGTAACAAAGTGGAAAATCAATGTACGTTACCTTAGGAGGTTTGCTGACTGGAAGAGCTATAAGAAACACATCAATAGAATTTATTTCATATAATGTATCCGGATTAAAACAGATACACTCCACCACGGCCGTCGCTAGAACGTTAATCGGCAGGGGGGGGGGTGTATTCATATATTCAGTTGTGCCAGACTGATTGGTGTAGGTAATAGAATAGTTTCGAGTGTAATTTGGAAAAAGCATGCATAAGTGAGTTTTTCAAAAGCAAACGGTGAATTATTGATTTTGCTTACAATAATTGTTTTGTTGAAATGTTTTATTTCGATTGGCTCTAGTGATTACTTTATTGTTTGACGAACCAATCGGGAGCACTTTTAAAAGAAATTTGCCCCGGTGTTTCCTTTGTTTGCACTGATATTTCCTATTTCCGCTTTAAACCAATCGGGGACGAGAAATTTTTTATGTTTATTATTACTTTGGAAAGAAAATTACTTAATTCCTTTCAAAAGAAATCAGTCGGCTACAGCTGAATACTTGAACAACCCACCCCACTACACCCGGACTAACATACTAGAGATGGCCCTGCACTACATAGAACTTGACATAATATTTGAGCCTCGTGGCAGAGCAGAAATACAATCTTCAAATTTATAGCCAAGTTCTCATTCATCGCAAAACGTCGGGGATAGAGCTTTTACGACGTCGGCGCGAGCGCTTACGACACATTAAAAATTGCGTTGCGGTTTTTTGTGACAGTCGCCGAACATCGGCGCTGCCATCGCTAAAAACAAAACAGTTTGTTTCTTACGATCATCGCCGATCAATGCCGAGTATTACTTGCTTAAAAATGTTTTAGAACAAAAATCTGTTGAGCTGGGCGACTTCGGCGACAACTTATATCATAAACAATTATGCACAGAAATTATCAACTTTATATTAAAAAAAGCAATTTTTTCTTTGGCAAAAATATCAAAGTGCGTTGACTAATATATCATCGCCGATTTATGAGAACGTTTCGCGCACCGGCCATCACCGACTATCGGCGATAAACGTCGCCGACACAAGCCACGCTTTGCGATGAATGAGAACTAGGCTTATATAGAAAACAAACCTGGCTTTTTTTTCGGCGTTGGCGGATCCTAAGAAAATAATACATATTACTACAAGAAAAAGATGTTCCAAAACATACAAGTGAATAGCCAGTGGCGGACACTAGGGAAGAAGGCGAGGGAAAAGGGCTCGAGCAGTAGACTTGTGTACTGTACACACGTACCAGCAGACGCATTAAACCATCTTGTGTGCGTAAGATTATGTGTACATGTGAATCCTTAAAATTAAATTTCTGGAGATCAAATTTTATAGTATACCTACGTACAGGCATGACCCGAGATGTACCTAGAAATCCCATGCCTTGAGGACAAGCCTCACAATATTTCATGTGAATAGCCGTCAATGTCCTTCTACGTATGTTTGGACATAATTTGATTTATTCAGCAAATACTAACCGTGTTTCTCGGTTTCGGAGGCAAAGATGGCGATCTGTGGCAAAGAAATACATATTAATCAACGTGGTAAATTTAGCGCAGCAGAGTTGAACTACATTACGCTTCACAAAAAATGAAAAGTATATTGTGAAGAGTTGATTGAGATAGACGGATACAAGGATTAAAGCGAAGTTGGGAATATTGTCATGTATAATGTCTTTAGTGTAGCTACTTGAACTGCAAGATTCATATTGCCTTGTACGTAAAATACAACTCCGATACACGGATAGTGCAGCAAACTTTTAAAACCTTTGCCTTATTGAATTACAGTTTAAGCCGACTTCAGACATTTTCATGCATTTTTCATAAATTGGTATCTTCCACAATATAACTCTCTCGTTTAATTTTGTTCCGTAAATTCAACAGTACTCTTACCTTCTACCATCACTATCATCTCTAGATAAATTCAACAATATTCTTACCTTCTACTATCATTACCATCTCTAGGTAAATTCAACAATATTCTTACCTTTACTATCATTACCATCTCTAGGTAAATTCAACAATATTCTTACCTTCTACTATCACTATCATCTCTAGGTAAATTCAACAATATTCTTACATTCTACTATCATTACCATCTCTAGGTAAATTCAACAATATTCTTACCTTCTACCATCACTACCATCTCTAGGTAAATTCAACAATATTCTTACCTTCTACTATAACTACCATCTCTAAGTAAATTCAACAATATTCTTACCTTCTACTATCATTACCATCTCTAGGTAAATTCAACAATATTCTTACCTTCTACCATCACTACAATCTCTAGGTAAATTCAACAATATTCTTACCTTCTACTATCACTACCATCTCTAAGTAAATTCAACAATATTCTTACCTTCTACTATCACTACCATCTCTAGGTAAATTCAACAATATTCTTACCTTCTACCATTGCTACCATCACTAGGTAAATCTGGTAGAGCTTGAGAATGCCTTTGGTTGTTGCTTCCCACCGAGTCAACAGGATTTAGAGCATTATGCTGTGAAACAGTTGATGGTGGTGGCGGTTGGGGTTTGATTCCTTTTTTCTTATTATCGATGAAAATGCTCGATGGATTTAACTTCTTCATCATATTAAAAATATTCTTTTTCCCACTAGTTGCTCCAGCTAAGAATAAAAATAATATTCATTCACTCGATCTCTTGAGAAACTAAAAATTAGATTAGGAGCTAGGATTTCTGCGAGGTGATAGTCGATGAAGGTGAAGCTCGAATCGACCTTCCCATCGTGCAAATGGAGAAACGTGGTTGTTTAGAGAGTGAGAGTGTCGTACATAGAGCGTCGTACAAAGTAAAGTTTATCATAAGAAACTTGGGTAAAACACTAGACGTCAGAGTCGGCAGCCATGTTTTCTCGCTACTCGCTATCCAATGAAAATTAGATATAGCTAGTAAAGTAGCCAATCAAATTAAAACATTTACAATAGAATATCATTATGATTCTAATAATACAGATTAGACATCAATATATACAAGATGAAATAAAAATAAAAAGGCCAAATAGTTCAATACCGTCTTTCTTTGGTAGTGTTTCAGGATCTTTCTTTGATGGTGTTTCAGGGACTTCATAATCTTCGGGTTCTTCAGTCTTGGCCCCTAAACGTACCGAATGCCAAAACGAAACGCTCGAAATTTTTACGTTGACTCTGTCAACCAAGAATCTATAATCACATTACCTGTTAAATTGTCCGGAACTTCGTATTCCTCTTCCTATATAGCAATTACAAGTTATTATCGGGCGTGATTGGCCAAGAGCCTACAGAAAATTGTCAATGTCTTGCCGCGTACAAAACATTAAAAATTATCTGTACGCGACATAATTTTTCTATACGTGACGACTGTAAACACAAAAAGTAGCTATTATGGCACAACCTTGCTCAAGATTCATAACTTTTATGAGGGAAAAGACGAAAGTAAACCCGGTAAGATTATTTTTCTTCGAAGCACGGAAAAGGTTACGGCTTCCGTACGAAATAGTTCTAAATGCTTCTGCAAAATGCTTCTGCATTTATAACTAAACAATTATTGTTGAATAATTCTTGATCTCGAGCTCAGCCTCCATCCAATTAATTGTTAATTAACGCACTTTATGACTAAAGTAAATGGTCTGAACCCGGGAGTATCGTTACATGTTTGTAAATGTAGATCGTCCAGGTTGGTATAGTCCTGAGGACTGTTTTTGCTGTTGTTGAATGACATTTCGACAACCTTAGCGGTAGTCATCTTCAGTCCTTCTCAGGACTATACCAACCTGGACGATCTACATTTACAAACATGCACTTTATGACTTTATAGCAAAACAAATCAAGTCCTTTTAGCATTCTTTCTGCATCGTTCATGTTGTTTTTTCATTCAAGGATATTGATTCTGAATGTTGGAAAGGAAAAACTGAGAAGATACATGATATATACATAACACGCATAGATTACGTACTTAGATACTTAAGAACTGTAACAAAACCAGTTTCAAAGGAACACATAAAATTCGGCTGATATTAGCAACAAAAATGAAATTCACGTTGTCAATTATCTGTCCCTTTTGATCGTGGGAATTTTGTGAAGACATATATTCAGCATTTTAGTCTATACAGTAAAACCAGGTTCGCATTTTGAGCGGAGAGTGTGACAAGCAACAGCTTTTTGTGGAATATGAAAAAAACTTTAGTCCATAAAATTATTGAAGACAAAGAAAATTGGTCCCGATGAAATAAAGATGCTACAACAGTCCGTCCCAGGTATGTAGAGTCCCTTCAGTTTTTTGGGAAACGTACACACCTGAGTCAAACCAGCACATTGAACTAAAATACATGGAGCCCTACCTGTAATAGAAAGTCTAATAATATTTTGAAGCCAAATCTTACACCCAGACACGCGTGTGCAGTCAATCAATTTCCACCCCTCGAGAGAACCTTGAAGCACTACAAACGCTGGTCTGGGTGTAATCTCGCGTGTGTGGGTATGAGATTTGGCTTTAATCATTTGCTTGAGGTAGCGTTCCATGTATTTTAGTTCAATGAACCAGCATCAAACGGTCACCATCGGGGATCTCCCGTATCTTTTAGAATAAAGGCCTTGTAGAAAACGAGATGGAAAATGTCAGAGCTTTCTCTTTGTTGTTGCAAACTGCTCGAACATAGAGACTTAGGAAAATTCACGAACAAAGATTCAATTTCACATTGTTTTATTTGCAGCTTTTCTTTACACGAAACAATGGAAAAAGTGAGAGCGTCCATGCACTAGAGGTAACCGTTCAATAAAAGTCCCTTGAATAGCACATATGTTAAGAAATTTTCGGGACATAGTCACATGACCTCTTAACATAGACTGACCGTTAAACGCAACTATATTATGATATCATCATAAAAGAATGAACAGTACGCGAATAAAACACTTACGCCATCATCTTCTGCCATGTTGGGTTTGTTATCTAAGAAAGGAAATAGAAAATTTTTCAGCGGGACATGTACACGCATTTCTATATAATGGCAATAACGCATTCTTCCATACAAACAAAGAATGGACCATTAACGTCTTACCGCGATGAGTTTCGGGCGGCTCGTAGTTTTCCTTCACAAAGAAGAAAACATCAAAATGAGTAAAGGAATGATAGAACTTTTGTACGATTGAGTTACATGTTAGTAGATGTACATCGTCCAGGTTGGTAGACTCCTGGGGCCGAATGCACGAATCTTAGATAGCGTTATCCAATGGATAGTAAATTTTTTAAATTTTTTAAATAGTAAAATTTAGAAGCAATGTTTTATTTCAGTGATCGTTCAGTTCAAATCTTATACTTTTCCCATTTAAGAAGTTTTTAAGCCTTCTAAAAAAATTGCTATCCAATAGATAAAGCTATCCATGCTTCGTGCAACCGACCCTGAGAAGGACTGTTTTTGTTGATGTTGACTGACGTTTTGACAACCTTAGCGGTAGTCATCTTTAGAGTCAACCTGAGAAGGACTGTTGATGTTGATGTTGATGTTGACTGACGTTTCGACAACCTTAGCGGTAGTCATTTTCAGAGACAAGTGAGGAGAAAAAGTCAAGTTTGCCGTATTTGTTGTCTGTTACTCTTAACTTGACTGTGAAAATGACTACCGCTAAGGTTGTCGAAACGTTAGTCAATATCAAGAACAGTCTTTCTTGGGACCACTACCCTGGATGATCTACACCTACAAACATGAAACAAAACTTCCGGCTTCAAACCAGTCATTTTATAGTTGATTTAATAAAAAAACTGATCGAAGTTCAACTTGCATGAGACGGGACTAAATGATACGTTGCATAAAAACATCAAGTCGTCATCAATAGTAAATCTTATATGAAGTGCTGTTACCGAAATCTACAGACCAACAAAAAATCATGATCGAAACTTCTATCGCAAAAGGGTAGACGTCATGTACAAAAGAAAAGTACTGTGGCATAAACTTATAAAAATATTCATACCTCCAATGGGATCGGTGGGACTGACCGCTTGTTTGCTGAAGAAAATAATAGTAAATTAAACATTTATAATTATGTTACGACAACGTGTATCAATAAGTACTATTGCGCTAAATATACAATAAATAACATTATAAAAAAACGTTTCAAATTTAAATGTTTCAAATTATTATTTCATAAAAAAAATAAAAGATGTTTTTGCGTTTGCACTGGCTTATACAAACGTCAGAGACGTTTGTGAGAACTCTCGAGCAGGTGCAACCTTCGAACTTTGGTCTCAAGCTTGCACTGATCCACCCTCAAGTTTTCCCAACACAGTAAACATGTTTAATTTCTTAAATAAAATAAAACGTCAACTGACAGGTGAATTGCTCTATTTTCCATCCGAATCAAGCATCATACCATACTAAAATTGAAAGCCACCATGAAAGGGTTATGGGGCCAAACCTTTCACCAGCGAACAGGCTCGATTTTCAAAAATGATTCATCGAAAACGCGCTTGCGCGATATTTTACAAATGAGAATTAAGCATAATTGACTTTAGATGCAAAGCTTATTTGATTCCCTTCAACATACACAAGTTTCATCGAGAACTAGCTACTTTCATACACATTTACACCACAAAAAGCGTCATTGTTAGGGTATCGTTTTAGTATGTAATGCAACAATTGAACTACCGACAATAAATTCCTGAAAGAGCTTTTTAAATTTTAGGGCAGCGGAACATTGATAATCGGAGGGGGGCGATATTCATATGTTGTAATCCGTAAACACAATTGATTTCAATAGAAAATAATAAAGTAAAACATGTATATATGTATAATAGCCCCCCCCCAAAAAAAAAATTATGAATGTTTCCCCACCCATGCCAATCACAGCACGCTTGTCGCCCTTGCCAATCACAGCACCGGAAATGATGCTCTTGATGCAATAGTAGCTAAATGCAAGCGACGTCTTAGCTAGTGTTTTGTGTTTTGAAATAGTTTTCACAACGTTCTCCACAGCTCACTAATAATACAGTTTTTATTCAAGTTCTTACGTCTTTCCGGAGTTTAAACGATAGAATTCGAAAGCAACTCTATATTTTTTATGAAGCAAGTTAAAACGTTAATGTTTGTTCTTACGTCTTGAAGGAGCATCAGGTGCAATATAGTCCTATAGAAAAGAGAAAAATATTCAGATCATTTTCTACTATATTTTTATACATTATTACATTAACACGTTCATAACAAGGAGGAAATAGCTAAGATAATGATTTCAGAGCCTAGAACACGGTTACACATGTAGACCTTTGGGAAAAATCATTGCATTTGTCTTGAAATATTATAACCATAAGAGCGAAAAAAATAATTCATACATATGCTAACCTCTTCTGGTTCAATTGGAGGAATCGGCTTCCGTGAAAAAGGTGAACTCTTTCGAGCTTTGAAAAAAAATGTGAACAGTTTCATTGAACAAATTTACATTTTGTAAAATTGTGAATTAATTAAGGCTGACTATATATCTTCTGATAAATGTTGACAAAATAGCTTCGACGCAAAATAAGTTTTGCTTATCTTCTCTTATCAGCAAACCAAGTTACCAAGTCCTTATATAAATATCTCCTGTCCCTCGTGAGCTTTTTTTTTAATAAGCAACCAGCTCGATCTATACTGACGATACTATATCTAACAGCTCAAAACCAGGGGGGATCAATACTCATATGACAGGAGGGGTGCAGATTTTCAAAGGAAGGCGCATCGTAATTCTACAGTTTTTATGCGAGTTCTTACGTCTTTCTGGAGCTTCAGGCGCGATATAATCCTGAAACGAAAAAATTGTTGTATGTGATAAATGAAAAGCTTATCGCAAGTACTATAACAATGAAAAACGAATGAGGTTTATAACTCAAACAACAAACTGGAAAAAACGCATTGGAATCATACTAATTACACGTAACGTACCTCTTCGGTATGAATCGGAGTCGTCACAGCTGGTGAAAGAATAAATTATTGCACGACTAAATTAGTGGTGGGTAGAGGACGAACCAGACAATCGCTGAATCTCATTGAAAAGACTTATAAAAAATGTGGCGTTGATGAAATAAACAAATCGTAACAAAAAAATAGATGACAGTAATGTGAATTTCACTTCCAGAAAATAATCACCAAAACGAAAATCGTGAATTGACGAAGTGTAAGTTACACGTCGACCATTACTAAAAATATTACGTTATATACATTTGCCATGATTGAGGTCGTTGTCGTATTAATTTGAGTGTACATAAATCAATACAAATTTCAACATAAAGCTGTTTTTTAACAACTCAAAATAAGAAAAAAACGATTTTGAGTTGCAGATCTCTTCACCAGTTCCACATATAGTACGCACGAAGTTCAATTCAAACAATTTTTTCTTTCTAAAAGCGTTTCGGAAACGGAAAATGTTTTTTTTCGATATTTCCTAGTTTACTCACACTCACAAATATAGAGGTTTTCAGTTCATTTCGTACGACAAAAGAAGTACATGTGCAAGAACCGTATTGACACAACGACATTGTTTTTCGTCCCTCCCAAAAAAAACCCCACGTGACTAATATTTTAACTGAAATAACATAAACTTTCCAACAAGCGGATCATTATAGGAAGTATATATGCATAAACACGCCATCCTCGACAGTACGTTACTATACGATAAAGGTGAAGAGGAAAACGGTCTAAAAGGTAAACTATATGAGAAGAAACCTTCGCCAGTGAAGTGAAGTGAAGTGAGTTGAAGTGAGGTGAAGTGAGTTGAAGTGAGGTGAAGTGAGTTGAAGTGAGGTGAAGTGAGGAAGTGAGTTGAAGTGAATGAAGTGAGTTGAAGTGAGTTGAAGTGAGATGAGGTGAGGTGAAGTGAGGTGAAGTGAGATGAAGAGTTGAAGTAGATGAAGTGAGTTGAAGTGAGGAAGAAGGTGAAGTGAATGAAGGATGAAAGAGTTGAAGTCAGTTGAAGTGATGAAATCAGTTGAAATCGAGATGAAGGAAGTGAATGAATGAATGGAAGGAAGGAAGGAATGAAGGGAAGGAAATGAAGGAAGGAAATGAAGGAAATCAAAAGGAAGGATCAGGAAGGAAATGAAGGAGGAAGGAAATGGAAGGAAAATGAAGGAAATGAAGGAATGAAGGAATGAAGAGAAGGAAGGAAATGAAGGAAGTGAAGTGAAGGAATGGAGGAAGGATGAAAGATGGAAGAGATGAAGTGAGGTAAGGTGGAAGTGAAATGAGGTTTTAGGTTTTATGTAGACATAAACATAAATATAGTAGTATAATGTAACATTGTTTAAAGTTCTTACGTCTTGTTGGAGCTTCGGGAGCGATGTAGTTCTAAGGTGAAAAAGAGGTGAATTTTTAAATACATAAAATTCATATTTTCCGCAAAACGAGCACGTTATCCTTTTTCGCTTCTCTTACCAATTAAATCCAAAGCAAGAATTATCGACGGTTACAAACAGAACGCCGAGCAAAATATTGTAAATTCAACAACTTAGAAAATAAAAGACAAACCTCATCCTCGTGAAGGTTAAAATTATTGCTCGGAGGCCAATTCTTTGTAGCTTGAAAAACACAAGCAATATAATTCGAAAGCAACTCTATGATTTTTATAAAGCAACTTAAAACGTCAAGGTTTGTTCTTACGTTTTGCTGGAGCATCAGGTGCAATATACTCCTATATAAAAGACAAAAATTGTACACATTATTTTCTACATTATATTTTTATACATTATTACATTCATAGCAAGGACCAAATAGATGAGATAATAATTCCAGAGCATCAAAAACATGGTTACACATGTAAACTTTGGTGACAAAATCATTGCATCTTTCTTAAAATATTATAAACACAGAAATGGAAAATTGAAACTGACCTCTTCTGGTTCAGGAATCGGCTTCCGACGAAAAGGTGAACTCTTTTGAGCTTTGAAAAAAAAATATCAACAGTTTCATGAATCAAATATTTAGCCTTTGAAAAATCATGAACAAAGGGTGACTATGTATCTTCTAATAAATGTTGACAAAATAGCTTTGACGCAAAACAAATGTTGCTCATTTTCTCTTATCGGCAAGATGAGTTATCAAAACCAAATTATCTCCAGTCTGTTATGAGCTTGCTTTTTTCGTAAGCAACCAACTCTATCTTTACTTACAATACTATAGCTAACAGCTTAAAACCAGGGACGCATCAGTGCTCATTTGGGGTGAAGATTTTCCAAGGAAGGTGCATCGTTATTCTATAGCTAAAGTTGCAAGGGCCTCGGGCTATTGTGCACACAAACATTTATACTTCAAAAAATCTTGATCGGTAAACTTACGTCGTGCTGGTGCATCAGGAGCAATGTATGACTGGAACAAAAGAAGATCGATTAAACTTCATCACAGAGGACACAAATACCATCAAAAAAATCTAAGATGGCCAAAAGATGCTCAAGACCAACCTCTTCAATTTCCACTTGCGGTGTAAAGTTTGGCAATTTTTTCTGATTTAGTTTGCTTGGAGCTATTTGAGTAGAAAGAAAAAACAACAGTACATAAAGCGATCCGGATACAGGAACGCGCGTTTGGGATGATGAAGATCAACGAGCCAAAAAAATATTCCTTGGTTCGATTGTTATTTCAGTTTCGAAAAATGCAACACAACATAATGGTGAAGCTTTTATTGCAATGCTTCGCAGACTCTAAGTTTAGCTGAATATCTCATACATTGGTGTTACCATGCGTACTTTCCCCTCTCATATGAAAAGGACATAAATTGTAAAGTAGACTTACGTCGCGGAGGCGTTGGTGGCTCGTACGTGTCCTAGAAAAAATACAAACAAGAAAAACAGGTAAGGAAAACTTAACATGGCTTACACATTTGAAGATGAAGATCGTCGAGGTTTATAGAGTCCTTAGAAGGACTGTTGGTGTTGATGTACACTGACGTTTCGACAACTCTGGCGGTAGTCATCTTCAGAGTCAAGTGATAAGCGGTGACTGTATCTAACTACTTGCAGTGAAGATAACATTAGAAAAGTTGTGAAGGTTTTTAAAATGAAATTCCACAATTTGGGGTAATCAACTTCATATGTAATCAAAATGCAGCACAGAAGCAATTTTAGAATTTTGCTTTGTTGTACTAATCTTCAAGTAATGTCTTAGGCGTAACAGATAACGACAATAAAAAACATAGCAAATCCATAGCAGAAAAACTACGACTACTCGTAAAAAACTCACAGCAAAAACTACCAAAACTGTACGTTTTGAAATTGACAACACACTTTAAACATTAATCTTGCTAAAAACTATATATTATGACGTTTTTTATGCAAAGCAGTGCCCGAATCACAGCACTGAACAAATGCTTTTGGTTCACATCTTTTCTACAATACCGCTTGAGGCGCTGCTTAAAATAGCATTCAACTTTCTGTGCAAGATGAAGTATTTTCGTGTATAGCAGAGCCCGCGAATCACAGTACTTAACATTTTATTTGCTTTGCTTTGCTTAAAGCATGGCTTAAAACAAGATTAAACTTTCAGTAGGCCAGATGAAAACACGACTGTTACACAAAATCAAACACTTGCGGTGAGTACCTGTGGAGGTGTCGGTATGATCGGTTTATCTTTCAATTTATTTTTTGCAGTTTTAGGAACCTGAAAAGATAAAAAAATCTTGAAAAATATAAAAGATCATCCGGATAGTCGAGGTAAATTTTGTTTTTTTTTGTTTCGATACAGACTTCACAGTCGTTAATTGTCGGCAAACTGTGGAGAACTGGCCACAACAGGGCGTACATTTCAGTAGCCTAAACTTGATACCATTGCAAATTACTATATGGCCAAAAAACGAAGCGGGATGATAAATGAATTATAACTCTTTTAATCCCATCATATAAGCAAGGCCAACCGTCAAAGCCATCTTTACGCTCAACCACTCGAGTACGAAGTTTCACGTCATTCGAAAGCCAAGCACATGTCCTTCTATATGATGTCTTCATAGAAGAATTCATCAAGCCGATGAATATGAGCTTTTCACAAACGAACGTACGTCGATCATTTACATGTGATAATAATGTAAACATTATTTATCGCAAATATACTTTTGTGATAAATAATGTGGTTTTTAAAAGTAAATAAAGTAATAAATAAAACGTACACCTAACGGGTATGTCAATAGGACTTACGCATTATTACAGTTAAGGAGCAGCCGAGTTATATCAAGCGTTGCAATCAACCGGAACGAAAAATTAATGAATGTCACTGTATTTGGTCTGATGAGTTTGGACCCTCCCACCTGCTTGATATAGTTTGAAAGTTCGAAATAGGGGGGGAGCGCTTGAGCTCATCCGACCGATATTGGTGAAAAAAATTGCATATCATACATGGTCAAACGGGTAAGGTATCCGTGTATCGAAAGTCGGACTCAATCATTACAATAGTTCATTAATCATATACCTTTTGCTTTGGTTGTCTTGCAGAGCGGGGTACGGGGGGATCTTGTGGGATGACTGGGGAGGCTGTTGGTTTCTTCAAAGCTGAAAATAATTGTGAGTATAATATAAGTATTAATACAGCAATGCCAAAAAATAATGAAAAACCAACAAAAGAGAAACGACTCGACTACCTCTCGGTGGTTCGGGAGCCTCGTAATTTTCCTGAACAAAAATTAGATAACTTTACAAATTTGAAGTGGAGCAAACATTAGAGACTTTTAGTTTGACGTTGACGGCATACCGAAAAGTCACGTGATCATGGCTTTGCGGTTTACGTTGCGGTTTGCGGTTCAGGTTTTAACGCCCTTCTTGCGGTAGGTGATCTACGTAAGTTTTTAGTACTTTCGACACAACCAAGTGACGTTTATGGATCAATGGTATATTTTTATTTGACCACACAACATGAAAATTCCTTTTCTATCGATAAACTTTTAAAAAAACACGAAATTTTTCCGTAAACGTCGAACTAAAACTCTATTGTCGCAGCAAGTACACGTATTTAGTCCTGCTATGTATTTGCTTGTCCAGCGCGCGCTTTTGTTTCTGTTTAAATCACTGGTTTACATCGTTACTTTTTGAGCTTGCGAACACTGAACTCAATTTCGCCACTATTGCGAACACTGAATTCAATTTCGCCACTATTGCGAACACTGAATTCAATTTCGCCACTATTGCGAACACTGAATTCAATTTCGCCACTATTGCGAACACTAAATTCAATTTCGCCACTATTGCGAACACTGAATTCAATTTCGCCACTATTGCGAACACTGAATTCAATTTCGTCAAAATTGCGCACACTGAATTCAATTTCGCCACTATTGCGCACATTGAATTCAATTTCGCCACTATTGCGAACACTGAATTCAATTTCGTCAAAATTGCGCACACTGAATTCAATTTCGCCACTATTGCGCACATTGAATTCAATTTCGCCACTATTGCGAACACTGAATTCAATTTCGCCACTATTGCAAACACTGAATTCAATTTCGTCAAAATTGCGCACACTGAATTCAATTTCGCCACTATTGCGAGCACTGAATTCAATTTCGCCAAAATTGCGCACACTGAATTCAATTTCGCCAAAATTGCGAAAACTGAATTCAATTTCGCTACTATTGCGAACACTGAATTCAATTTCGCCAAAATTGCGAACACTGAATTCAATTTCGCTACTATTGCGAACACTGAATTCAATTTCGCCACTATTGCAAACACTGAATTCAATTTCGTCAAAATTGCGCACACTGAATTCAATTTCGCCACTATTGCGAGCACTGAATTCAATTTCGCCAAAATTGCGCACACTGAATTCAATTTCGCCAAAATTGCGAACACTGAATTCAATTTCGCTACTATTGCGAACACTGAATTCAATTTCGCCAAAATTGCGCACACTGAATTCAATTTCGCCACTATTGCGCACACTGAATTCAATTTCGCCACTATTGCGAACACTGAATTCAATTTCGCCAAAATTGCGAACACTGAATTCAATTTCGCCACTATTGCGAACACTGAATTCAATTTCGCCAAAATTGCGAACACTGAATGCAATTTCGCCACTATTGCAAACACTGAATTCAATTTCGTCAAAATTGCGCACACTGAATTCAATTTCGCCACTATTGCGAGCACTGAATTCAATTTCGCCAAAATTGCGCACACTGAATTCAATTTCGCCAAAATTGCGAAAACTGAATTCAATTTCGCTACTATTGCGAACACTGAATTCAATTTCGCCAAAATTGCGAACACTGAATTCAATTTCGCCACTATTGCGAACACTGAATTCAATTTCGCCACTATTGCGCACACTGAATTCAATTTCGCCAAAATTGCGCAAACTGAATTCAATTTCGCCAAAATAGCGCAAACTGAATTTAATTTCGCCACTATTGCGAACACTGAATTCAATTTCGCCACTATTGCGAACACTGAATTCAATTTCGCCACTATTGCGCACACTGAATTCAATTTCGTCACTATTGCGAACACTGAATTCAATTTCGCCACTATTGCGAACACTGAATTCAATTTCGCCACTATTGCGAACACTGAATTCAATTTCGCCACTATTGCGAACACTGAATTCAATTTCGCCACTATTGCGCACACTGAATTCAATTTCGTCCCTATTGCGCACACTGAATTCAATTTCGTCACTATTGCGAACACTGAATTCAATTTCGCCACTATTGCGAACACTGAATTCAATTTCGCCACTATTGCGCACACTGAATTCAATTTCGCCACTATTGCGAACACTGAATTCAATTTCGCCACTATTGCGCACACTGAATTCAATTTCGCCACTATTGCGCACACTGAATTCAATTTCGCCACCACCTCGTCTAATTTATAAGAAAAGTTAATTGAAAAAAAACAAATTAATTATTGTTTGCCAAAGTCGTATGGACTACAATAACAAATTCCGCCATTTCCTCGACCCACAAAATGGCCGACGTGGTGCATTAACGCGCAATGCATCTTGGTTCACATGGATTCATTAATAAGAACGATGTCACACCTGCTGCTCCTCAAAACGTGATTTCAAGTTGCTGATTAAATTCGATTTCTCTTTCGCAGGAGGCGGCCATTGGCGTTCACTTAAAACTTTATTAACTGGATGATCAGGTTTTGGAGGCCGAGGAGGAGCTGGTAATGAGAATTTAAGAACTTTATTAATGTACGATTGCTAATGCGCATTTAATATACATGACGAGTATTTTTAAAATAGACATGTTTCGACATCTCATGATGCCATCTTCAGTATAATTGAAATAATAAATGATACAAGGTTTATATAAAAGTAACATGATACATAAATTACAACAATAAAAAGGAAATAAGATAAATTAATGGGGAGCGTCCGAGCGTATTATAAACTAAATATTGTATTGAATTTAAAAACTTGAACATTGAGGTCAGGGTTAGTTTTGTTAATGTGGAGTGCTTCTTTGATTTTGAGGTGTCGGCAGTGTCGATGATATTGAAGCAAGAGGGTGAATAGTTGGTTTTACATGAGTGAGATTTAAGAAGGTGTCGTAGATATGAGAGTTTTTGTCTGTTGTGGTATGTTCCCTAATTCCGGTGGATAAATGGCGCGAAGTTTTGCCAATGTATCGGGAATTACATCCCGCGCAGTTGAATTCATATACATAGATACATAGATAGATAATTTTATTTTAACACGCGTACCATTGTCAACATACAAGTTGATTTCCACATGGGGCGTGTGCAAAAATGAAAATTACAATAGAATAGTGAACTACTTACATTTTACGATACACAAGACACTAAAATGTACATTAAATGAAGTATAGCCAGGTTAGAAAGCTATTTACAATTAGTTGAGTACATATTTGTTTTGGGAAAGTGGGATACCACCATAGATTTAATTGAATCAGGGATTGGGTCTTTGAATGAGAAAAGGTTTTTGATTTTGAATGATGTGAAAATTAGTCGAATGTCAATATCTGTACAGAAGAGTTTCATAATGTTTGTAAGTCTGCGCTGTGTGTGTCGTGAGTAATGTCCGATGTATGGTAATTTGGAGTATAGAGTTGTTATTTTGGAATTTTCATTTGTGTTGGTCGTGATCGTCGTGTCAGGAGTTTCGGTGTCTAGTTTGAGATTGTTGCTTTGTTTGCTGTCGAGATATCGTTTTACGGTTCTGTTATGAAAGTGAAGTGGGAAAGAGTTTCGTAAAAGAGTGGATGTGATGTTTTTTATGTCTCGTTGAAAGCCATTGTTCGTATTGTTAAGTTTGTATGCTCTGCCGATTAGTGTGCGTATAAGTCCGGTTTTGTATGAAAGTGGTGTGAAACTAAAATAGTTCGTCAGAAGTCCTGTGTATGTTGGTTTGTGATATGTAGATGTTGTACAGCTGTCATGGGATTTTGTTAGTAAAATGTCAAGAAATGGCAGTTGATCTTGTTGTTCAGTTTCAAATGAAAATCTAATGTTTGCGTGCTGTGTGTTAATGTAATTATAAAACTAACCCTGACCTCAATGTTCAAATTATTAAATTCAATACAATATTTAGTTTATAATACGCTCGGACGCTCCCCCCATTAATTTATCTTATTTCCTTTTTATTGTTGTAATTTATGTATCATATTACTTTTATATAAACCTTGTATCATTTATTATTTCACTTATACTGAAGATGGCATCATGAGATGTCGAAACATGTCTATTCTAAAAAACTTGTCGTGTATATTAAATGCGCATTAGCAATAGTGCTTTTACGAAATTATGGAAATGTACGATTCCTATATTATGAAACGCAATTAGACTACTAACCTGGATCTGGAACAACGTAATCATCCAGGGGTTCTGCATCTTTAAATGAAATGAATAAAGAAATTTTGTGACACAGGGGATGGACAAAAAAGTAACCCTCCCCCCTTAAAGTTGTACGTCAATGCATGTACGCGTGACAAGATTAAAAAACTGATTTTTTTAGTATGCTGACACTCTTCAGGAACAAAAGCTTACGCAAAACATTTTCTTCATATAATAATAAAGTGATTTAGCAAACACGACGTTTTGTCTAAGACGTCGTGAAAATGGCGTGGCATGCGCCTTTTGCTTCCGGTTCAATCTACGACGGCAGTCGTGTTAACGACGACGACGTGAAAACATACAATTTGACGTGGTTTTCGACGACGGCTGAAACAAACTTAATTTCTAGTGATTTTTCATGTACGGCGCGAACAATTAGTGTAAACGACTTTTCAAAAATTCTCAAATATACGTCCAAGTACCCACCCTGGTTAAAAGTACAATTACTCGCAAAACGTTTTTATCAATAAAATGGAAAAACAGACGTAAAGATGATGTTTTTCACAGCGCTACTAACCAAATAATTTTTATAATAGATCAGTGGCAGACAATAGGTAGGGGGGGGGTGAAGACTAAATATTTTGTATATACCTAAATACCGTAACTGCCACATTAAATAATATAAACTATTTGTTATTGTTCTACTTCTTTGCTGTATACACTTTCCATCAGACGCATCAAACTTTCTTCACTTTGATGTTCTGTGTAACATAAAATTTCTGGCTATCTAAATTTTAAAAGTATTCTGGTAGGCATGCCCCCCGAACCTCCATAGAAATTTTATGCCTTGAGAACGAGCCTCCTTCTCTTCCTAAACCCCCAAAAAAGAAAAATTCATAAGGTCCCCGCCGCTACTACATATGCAACGGGTACTCGCGGTTGCGCGACGCTGCATTGGACCTCAGGGTTTAATTGGGCTGCAATTCTTCATAAAATTTCACAATATCTTATCTATAGAAATAACCGCAATAAAAAGATAAAAAAATCCGAGAATAAAACCACATACCTGTTGAAGTAGCCGCATCGAATATTTCATAATCGTCAGCTGGCTTGAATTCAAAGAGCAAAATGAATGAAAATCAAAACAGAAAGAGAAAAACAATTCTCTTTATTGTAGCAGGGAAATTAGCAATGAGAGAATGCTTTTAGACAACCTACTCTATTCATAAATTCATTTATGAAAATGAAAATTGATATCGATATTTTTGCAATAAAGCCTTTTATAGAAACAAAGAACTTTTCATTGTTCACTGCATTATCTCCAATGTTCACATTTTGACTTTAATATCAAGAAATGTGTATCAATTAGTTTGATTACCATATTTTTCTAACATTCAAGTGGTTTGAAAACACAAAAGCACTAAAACTAGGCAGCTATTGTTTCACAAGTTATTACAACTCGTAGTTGTACAATTTACTGGTCTAAAATATCAACACATTAACGTCATTACGTGAAAGTTTTGTTACAAGTAAGTTTGTTTGGTAACATGTAGCTTAAAATGTTCTGTTAGTTCTACTGCCTAGTTCACTCAAAATCAATACCGAGCTTTTTAGCTACAATTAACTCGAGAAGTTGAGGGTCTACGGTAAGTCAAACTAAATTCCCGAAGCTTAATCTTCGATATATTTATACATCAATGTACCTTAAAGCCGGTCGCTTGCAAAAAAATTATTATTTTTGTAGAAATTCAAATCGGTAATTTTTTCTTTAAGGTATTATCAATTTCAATTTGAGCAACTTTAATTTAGTTTGAATAACACTAGATTTGTCGATAACATGTATTATTTGCCAACATTTAGAACTTCACATCCCATATACCAAACTAAATAGGAATTGCACTGACAATAACGCAGTTTCCAAGTTTAATACAACTAACAACAACAACAATAGCGACAATAACTTTAAACTTACTTCATTTGTCGTGGTATCATCGGGAAAAACAATGGGTCCCCTTTCCTCGAGGTCAAATGCAGAATGGGAATGAACTAAACCAAAAAAACGATAAGACATTCCCTGTGATATTGCTAACTTATTTATGAGTTTTAGCTAAAGCTGGCAGCTTACAGAACATGTGATAATGTATGTGGGCGACCTGTGGGCATATCGTTGCATCGTTCTCATCGTGGGCTACATTTATAGAGCTTCACGCGAACAAAACAAATTGAAACGCAGGAAAAAAAGAGAGTCGAAAACGAATACAGCCATTTGCAATTGACCGTACGGCGCGCATAAAGTAAACGTTTATTATAGTTTCAAAACTTGACGTTACTAACGGCTAACTCGTTGTTGCTAAGGCATACACGTAAGCTATAAAAAATGTTGTTTTTGCTTAATAAACAACCGTGACATGTTGAAATTATGCAAGTATGGAAAGACGCTTGAAAACGTTGAACTTTATCGTTAAATATAAGACTTTAAATTGGTATTGGTGAGACACAGTGTGTCTTTGTCGTAGACTCGAAGAGCGACACTTTGTTATTAACCAATGACATCTCAGGCTTACGCCTTAGAAACAATCAGATAGCTGTATAGCAACGTCAAGTTAGCCGTTATTAACGTCAAGCTTTGAAACTATAACAAACGTTTATATGCACGCCTCGCGGTCAATTGCAAATGGCTGTATTTGAACCTTCCTTGTCCCAAAAATAGAGAAATTCAACAAACACCACGTGCAGTCTACGACGTCATGAAATGACGTAAAAGTGGAGTGTGTGGGCGCATGTACCGCTGATCTCGAAATAAGCTGACCTTAAAAATAAAAAGCCTTTCTAACATATGAATGGGGGTGAATCCTGCGTGAAAAGTGAAACTGTTGTTTTAAGGCCGATTATTCTCCATGGTACTTCATGCTATCGCCACTAAGGTTGTTTTTGACCTAATGCATTATTTTAAAGCATGAATTTGCCATTCATTTTTGCCAAAATTTTCATTGTTTTGTTTGTTTCCTCCAATACATTTTTCGATGTGTTGGTCTGGGATGTATTGCAAATATTTTTATAATGTGTGCTCTCTGTCATTAACAAGCATGGTAAAAAATAGCAAGTCAAGTCTTGAACGAAGAGAAAACGTGCTGCTTGTATAAGCCGTTAAAATAAATTGTCATGGCCTATTTCATGTTATAGTAATGTGATAGTTTGAATTTACTGGTAAGTATAGGAATGGAATGATCAAGCGTATAAAATCACAAATCATAATCCTATAGGTGAAAAATTTAAATAAATGCTTCATAATTTGAAGTTATGCAATGTTAAAGATTTATGAAAGGCTTTACTAAAAGCCTTTAGTAACAGCGGCGGAGGCTTCGAAAGTTGTTTACCGTTGATATATAGTTGCTTGATCCATTACTATTTCGAGATCAGTGCCATGAACAGATAAGGCACGTCATGACGGTCGTGTTTGATAAATTTCTCTAATGGCTCATCCCCATGTGCACTATTCGATGTATGCGTGTAGAAGTTGCTTCAAGATAGACAAATTCATCGCAGCTATCGCTTGCAAGATTCTTCAAACGGTTGTGTTCATATTAATGCATTTAGTGTCATTCACAATCAAAGTTTTCATTTTGTGATGTGAATGTCAGTGTGAATGTGAATAAAAGTTTGAATGTGAATGTGAATAAGAGTGTGAATGAGAATATGAGTGTGAATGTGTATGTGAGTGTGAATTTGAATGTGAATAAGAGTGTGAATGTGAATGTGAATATGTGTGTGAATGTGAATGTGAATATGAGTGAGAATATGAATGTGAGTGTGAATGTGAGTGTGATTGTGAATGTGAACGTGAATGTGATTCTGAATCTTAATGTGAATGTGAATGTGATTGTGAATGTGAGTGTGAATGTGAATAAGAGTGTGAATGTGTTTGTGAGTGTGAATTTGAATGTGAATAAATAAGAGTGTGAATGTCAATATGAATGTAAATGTAAATGTGAATGTGAAGGTGAGTGAGCTTTTAGAATGCACACGTAACGATTTGACATTTCATAAAGTAAAAATTTGATAAAACCTTCGCCTGATTCACCATTTGGATCATCATACAAGTCCTCTGGTTCGGCATCATCTAACAAACCAAAAACCATATTTAACATTACCTCGACTTGCTAAATTAGCAAAACATCTCAAAACAAAATTCATTATGTAGCTACCACCAAACTCTGCTAAAAATTCAAACAAAAATCTAAAACATCAAGCTTTCGTTAATCCCATCCACCGTCAACAGGATATGGGAAATCGAGGGGAACAAGACAAAATGTTCCACATCATAGTGTGAGCTGTTAAATCAGGCAAATTCATGTGAGAACAGCTAACCGGAATATTCGTAGTAACTTTGCTCCAACATGACAAAATTTGGATCACAAACAAACAAAGTTCGTTAAACATATCTTGAATTCTAGAACTATCACATGCTTAACAGGACAAGAATAAAAGAGCCCACTTTTTTTCCGGAAATAAGAAAGCATTGACACAGTCACATGTTTGTAAATGATGATCGTCCAGGTTAATAACGTCCTGAGAAGGACTGTTTTTGTTGTTGTTGACTGACGTTTCGACAACCTTAGCGGTAGTCATCTTACAAACCCAACGAACCCAACGAAACGAACAACTCAGTGACAACAGCAACGATACCTTACATCAAAGGTACGTCTGAGACTATCTCGCGTATCTTACGACCATACAACATACGTGTCGCACATAAACCAATCACAACGTTACGACAAGTACTAACGAACATAAAGGACAAAGAACAACCCAACGAACGACAAGGTGCAGTTGACAAAATAAAGTGCTCCGACTGCCACGCCTCCTATATCGGGGAAACTGGCAGGAACTTAAACATAAGACTTACTGAACACAAACGAGCTACTAAGAAACAAGACAAAGCTAATCACATTGCCGAACATCACCGAATCACAAAGCACAACATTGACTGGGACTCAGCAAAATGCATTACTTACAGTACTGACTATAGACAACGGCTTACATTAGAAAGTTGGTATACCAACTTGGAACAAACCCCCCTGAACAGATCACAGCAATTACTGGCACCTTACAAACGACTTATTCACAATACAAACAAACGATCAACTAAAAACACTACACTTCACATTAATTCACAATGACAATACACAATTGACACCCACACATTACAACTAAAAACATCACACCTAAATCACACATCACAACTAAAAATAAAATATTTCACTTCACACTAATTCACAATAACAATACACATTTCCTGTACACACAATACAATGACGTAAGAACCAGAAAACAAATACGGCTAACCTGACGTTTACTCCTCATTTGACTCTGAAGATGACTACCGCTAAGGTTGTCGAAACGTCAGTCAACAACAACAAAAACAGTCCTTCTCAGGACTTTATTAACCTGGACGATCATCATTTACAAACATGTAACGATATTCCCGGGTTCAAACGATTTACTTTATGACACAGTCAATGGAATGAAGTGAAAGCTTACTCACAATTTTCTGGCATGTCATAAATTTCGTCACCATTGTCACCATCGTCACCATCAGTGTAATTGACACCATCGCCAGAATTTACAGCATTCTAAATCGAATCATCGCTTATAATCAACAATAGCTGTCATCAAAAATCTTTTTCAGCCGACAATTTGAATAAACATGAGAAAAAACATGACCCATGTAGCTTCCTCCTCTCAAAACTCAAGTTACGTTAATAACCCCTCATTAACCGAGCGCGAGGTCTTTATGGAGACGGGGGGAAATTACCGATTTAAATCACGTACACCTTCAGAAAAATCATTTAAAAAATCAAAATATTATAGAAAAATCACGTGATTTTTTTAATCATGAGCACTTTTTCTTGGAGTGACTTGCCAACGAGTAGAACGACAGTTCACATGCAGTTGGGTAACTTTACACAACCAAGACAACTAAGTTACATTATTATTCACTATGTGAGCATTCTCGGCTGTGATTGGTCAACTACCTGCAGATAATTCTCGATATCTGTTGGTTGTGACGTCATAACCTACAGATAATAGTTTCTACAAATATGGACGCCATTAAAAGCTGGTTTTGAAAACAAATCAAACAACAGCGATGTTTGCCACAGTTTCTAAAAAGTATGTGAAAGCTTTTAAAGGAAAAGACTGCGGAAAACACTATAAAAGTGGCAAAGCTGGCTTTGAACACATTTACAACATATTTAAACAAGACGACCTTTAATAAACCGTCGGACAAAAAGAAATTGGCGAAGGTTTAAAAAATGTTTTATATTGATATGTTTTGATAATACTTCAGTGAATAATAAAACAATTATTGAATTCGTGTTTCGCATGATATCAAGAATTATTCAGACGGATGTCATTGTTATCTGCCAAAGCGAAGCTGAGATCTTGCTCTATCTCATCCAATATTTGCTTACTAACACTCGTTTTCTAAAGCTCACTCACACTCAACGTGTGGGGCTTCATACGACCCACGAAATTATTCGAAGACTGCATTTTCAAATCCACTGATTGCTTGATTTGATACATTTTATAGCTGGAAAAACGACTTTGCCCTTAATTAGAGAGCGCACGATTTTTATGTCACACTCGGCTAGTGTAACTCAGAGTGAGCATTTAGAATTCGCGTATGAGACTTCACAAAGTCTTTATTCAATAACAACCAAATCTTCGGCTTTATAATGTGGCGATTTACGTATACGTTACAAAAAGCCTAGTGTAAATTTCGGTTTAAAAGCTTTCAAACACTTGACATTTTCTGCCCCCAAAACCTTCTCTCCGATATTCTATCTTTCTCACCTCATTACCATGTAACAACCCTTTGAGATCGTGTTGGTTTGTAAATAAGCACTTAAATTGATAATGTTTTGGAAATAAAGTCGAAACATTACTTTTGAAATCTTTAGTCTACAAGAGGATACAATCGGAGTATGTTTTCTCCCATGTTTATTGATAATATGAGATACATACGGTTGCGCTACTAAGTTATACGCCTTAGTCATTTTTGGAAGTTTCGGGGAAAAGAAAAAGGAATTAATACGATTTCATAAAAACAGTCGAATTTTAAATCGAACATCATAAATTGAACATTTACGGTTCGTTTTTTATTGGTCAATTGACTTCGGCATTAAATACACAACACGGCAGCATACGAAGAAGTAGCTTTAGGCAAAAATTTCAAAATCGAAAAAATATGACTTAGACAAATAAAGTCAGGACAAACGTGATATCGATATTAATAATTTATAAGTTTATCAAATCAAATAATGCTACGACCAACAAATCACAGATACGATTGGTTTAAAAGTTTATCGAGTCAAATGATGCTACGACTAACAAATCACAGATATGATTGGTTTAAAAGTTTATCGAATCAAATGATGCTAAAACTTACATGGTCCGTCATCATACCACGCATCAGATTTTGGCGAATCGTTTCCCTTCTTTCCAACGAAAGCTAACACAATTAAACGTTTTTGAAACTGTGAAATGATTTTACACTTAGACATGATTCTCGAAATATTTGGATTTGTTTCGAGAATAAAAATTCATCGTAAGCTATACAATCAATAAATTTATTGTCCATTGTTTCTGACATTTGTATAATGGAGCATGAAAGATGTTATGTTAATATGGTCAGTCAAATTTACCTGTGGTTCATCTTCATCTGGAAGATCGTAGTCATCATCAAATGAATCATCCTAGAGAATACAATAAATGTTTTATGATCAAACATATTAAATCAATACGAGATTCGGGAAATGAAATTTTTTCAGGTATCCCCATTGGGGTGTTAGATTTTGTCATCCATTGCTATCATACTGTATACTATCCCTAATATTCACACACAACTAGTAGGCTTTTCTTATTCCAAGGTAGTGCTGTGCACTGGAGTACCGGAGGCAGGCCGGAGTTAGGCCGGAGCTCAGGATATTTTTGCCTGCCGGAGCAGTTGTTTGTGCTGCAAAATACTGTCAAACTTTGGTAAACGTGTCTGATCAAAACATTTTTGTATCAACGAACCATAACTATCGGCTAAAATTGAAAAACTTGCATGAAAATAAAACATTTTATGCATGACACAAAACGACGCTTGATTGCGTTGCGCTAGATGAAAAACCGGAGTTTGCACAGCCCTAATAGCCGGAGCTGGAGTTTGAAGCGATTTTATGATTAATGTACATAGAAGTTCCTTTCAGAATCTTAAAAAGCATTTCTATTCCGAAAGCAGCAATTTATTGACAATTGAAATGTAATTATGTGTGAGATACCCCATCGAGATGCAAGAAAAATGAACTTGGTATCAAAAACAAAATTTCACTATCCTGTGCATATCATGAATGAATCTGCAATTATAACATCATGTTTAATCCTTTGCTGCATAAATTGTTTTGTGGATCGAATTTCATCTTGTTTCATTACTGTTGCTCGGAAGCAAAAGCATGAAAGAAAGGGTTATAGACATAGAACTGACATGCAGCCGCATCCATGGTCAGGTCACGTTGATTGCAACCCCTCGCCGTCCAAATTCCTTGGTTAAAACTCCTGGTATGCGGTCTGCATTGAAGGGATGAGTTTGATCAACTTTTTGGTGGACGGCCATTGCAAACATGATATTTTTAAATATTAAATTAACTCTTTGCTGCATGATTTTTTTATCAATTGAGTTTCATCTGGTCGTGTGGTTTCATGATTGCTGCTCGGAATCAACAACGTACAAGAAGTGTCATACTGTTTTTAAAACTATTTTGCATTTGCTAAAAACCAGTGACCTTGAATATTACAAAACATGTTTTATTTGGAGTTAGAGTGCAAGCCATCCCTTCCTTCAGTGACATAGCCACCCTCCCCTTCAGTGACATAGCCACCCCTTCCTTTAGTGACATAGCCACCCCCTCCTTCAGTGACATAGCCACCCCCTCCTTCAGTGACATAGCCACCCCCTCCTTCAGTGGCATAGCCACCCCCTCATTCAGTGGCATAGCCACCCCCTCCTTCAAGCCACCCTCCTTCAGTGACATAGTCACCTCATTCAGTGGCATAGCCACCCTCCTTCAGTGACAGCCACCCTCCTTCAGTGACATAGCCACCCTCCTTCAGTGACATAGCCACCCTCCTTCAGTGGCATAGCCACCCTCATTCAGTGGCATAGCCACATAGCCACCCCCAGTGACATAGCCCCCTCATTCAGTGGCATAGCCACCCCCTCCTTCAGTGACATAGCCACCCCCTCCTTCAGTGACATAGCCACCCCCTCCTTCAGTGGCATAGCCACCCCCTCATTCAGTGGCATAGCGACCCCCTCCTTCGAAGGCATAGCCACCCCTCTCCTTCAGTGACATAGCAAGTTTGCCACCACACAAGTTTGGTCATGCATGTAAATTTCAGATCATTTGCATTATTCATTCATTTAGAAATATTTTGTTTTAAAATGAGCGAACACAAATATATTTACATAGCACAACCAAACCTGCAGGCTGACTATATGCCACTCCCTACTTTTGATTAGCTACGTATGAAAAGCAGATTATCTTTTTTTTCTCACCGAATCGTCAAAGTCACTTTCTTCTTGGCCTGCAAAAGGAATGAAGGTCAGTATAAAAAAAAAGTTGTCGTTCAAAAAAATGCTAATAATCAATAATAATTAAACAATGTGGATGCAATCTTGATTGTGATTGGCAAAGAGCCTACGGATATTGACAGTTATTTGTAGTTGAGATAATTGTTCATGTAAAAGTTGTAAACAAATCGGGATTTCTACACATTTTACAAACTGTTTTTGCTTGAATTGTTGCAATGACATAGAAAAAAAACATAGAAAGTGTTATAATATCAGTCGGAAAAGCTTTCCTCGAGTACTTACTGCAAAAAGATAAAAGTGACCTGCAAAAATCTTTTAAGGTCAAAGCACAGAAAACTTTATGGCTTCCGTACAAAATAGTTTAAAAGCTTCTGTATTCATAATTCTTAATTATTAGATGAAGTTGAGCATGATATGGAGTATTATCAGACCGAGGTCAATGTTATCTACCATGAGAAGTTTGTGTTTTCACTAGTCACATTAAGAATTATGTCACCTGCAAATGATTTTCATATTCATTGAAGATGGTAAGGCTTTGAGAATTATCTTAAAAACCCCAAAGCCAATTACAATCAAGATTGCACCATCAATGTGTCATAATACCTTCTTCTTCATTACTAATTTGAGAATTGCCTTGAAATCTCCTTGAAAATGTAAAAAAGCACATTGGGTTTACCTTACTGTAATGGTACATTGGGCTGGGTTCACCATAATTAAAAAAACCATATGGGTTTACCTTACATTACTGGTACATTGGACTGGGTTCACCATAAGTAAAAAAGCACATGGGTTTACCTTACATTACTGGTACATTGGACTGGGTTCACCATAAGTAAAAAGCACATGGGTTTACCTTACATTACTGGTACATTGGACTGGGTTCACCATAAGTAAAAAAGCACATGGGTTTACCTTACTGTAATGGTACATTGGGCTGGGTTCACCATAAGTAAAAAAACCATATGGGTTTACTTTACGTTACTGGTACATTGGACTGGGTTCACCATGAGTAAAAAAAGCACATGGGTTTACCTTACGTTACTGGTACATACGTACATTGGCTGGGTTCACCATATGTAAGATAAAAAATTACAAAAAAGCTTTCAAATGAAATTCCCATTCCTGTTCAAGGTGCTTAAATTAAATCTTCTTTGACTATACATACATACTTCATTAAATTCTGAACACCTCCATTCCTTTCCCTTTTCTCCTGGATTTGACTAACGACATCCCAAAAATTCCTGAACAAATTCACAATCATAGATGAAGTCAACTGCGCAGTTTATAGCTAATTGTATTCAAACCAAAATAATAAATTCAAATTGATAAATACCGTCGGCTGTGAGAATTTTGAATTTCCAAGAAATATCTAACATCCCCCCACTGCAGGTTCTAAATGTTGCGCAGATCAATATTATAAGCATTCATTTGTTTTACATGTTATTGTGTGATTTCCAAAATAATAAATAACATACCAGCAACTTCTGTCCATCAATATGCCTTTGGTAAATGCTATCGATACAATCCAACAGGTTTTGCTAAAAAAATCATTTTGCCACATATTTATTCTTAGGGCCTCTTTTCACGGAAGTAGGGTCACCATATCAGAAAGGTTAGTCTAACAAGCACATTAAAAATATCTTCATTGGTTGTATGAGATGAAGTATATGTAGTCGCAAGGCAATCTTTTTTTGGTAGAGTGGTCCTACCATTGCCCAGTTTATGTACCATCAAAGATGATGGCATCAACAGCTTGTAGTGTTGAAAGTAGATAAACACATTTTGTCTCTGTAGAGCATTTATAGGGTGATCCTGGCGCTTTACATCAAATATATGAGCCACTGAAAAAAATAACTGTTGCTCATGCCGATTGGATCAATGTTTGGAGCTCACAATAAAAGTGATCACATAGTATTTTTGTATGTAACCTTTGACATGGCTGAATCAAAACACAAGTATAAAACATATTGACGTTATATCACAGTAATTGATAGGGTTAACCTTTCTGCTATTTTAACCCCTTACACTACATCCATGTAAACTGGTCCCTTAACTTATGCATATAGTCATCCCCTTTGATGTTGTCAGAAAGCTTTTATGCTCAAAACAGTTACTTTTCGTATCACAATCAAAAATTGCATGCTTGAGGTAGAAATAATGCGAAAATGAAAGAATTCTTTGAAATTGTGCAGACGCCATACCACAGCAAGGAAGTAGAACCAATTTCGCTTTACACATAATTCCAAATCATACAACCTTAAATTTTTCAAAGCAATATGTAAAGCTGAATAAGATGTATCAATGAAAGCAAAACAATAGATTTTATTAACTCAAACGGATGTAGAAAAAGGTCAATCATACACAAAACAAACAATGCACTCAACAGATAAAATATTTTAGAAAAATTTTTCCGCACCTCGCGAAGTAAATCAGCGACCTCGTTCTCCTTCCATGAAAGGACTTCACTTCTAGATGGAATAGGCATTCTTTACCTGTTATGGCAATCAAAATTAGCGGACTTTTTAGTCAAAGAGAATCATCGATGAATCGTGAAAGTGATCAAAATACAGCAGGCCGGAAGTCGAACTCGAAGAAAATCGTGACTCGTATATTAAATGAATTTTAAAATGCGGAAACGCAACTGGAATGCCAGAAACGCAATTAAATTAAAGCTCAGATTATTCATGACGTTCTTGTCAATCAGTTTAGAAAGAATTAAAATATGTATACGTTTTATACCGGCTGGGAGGTTCGTTTTGAAAAATAAATTTTCAAGAGGTCTCAGAAGCGGCCAGGGACCGACATAAACGATAAACAACATTTTTATTTTTTGTTTTTAATCATGAAGCAATTTGTGTTGTATTAAAATCATCGATGTGGCTTGATCGGGTTTGATGTTGACTGTTGAGACTGAAATTGGATTGTTTTCAACAATGTTTACCTCGTCAAGATGATAAAATTCACTCACGCTTTGACAACTGCAATGTGAATACCCTTTGTTTCTTCCTTGAACGATTCATATCGCTTTTAAATCATTTTTAAAAATTTAAAAAGCACTGACAATTTTTTTCAATTTTTTGGCAATTAATTGTAAAATTTTTTCTGACCACGTGACCACGATCAAGAATCGTAAAAGCCGCCTGCTGCAGCAGCCAATCAGATTGGAGGAGATGAAAAATACACTTGCCCACTGAACTTTCATGACAACGTTGTTATTGCAGTTCACTGCACTTACGATGATAAATCAAACATGGCTGCCTCGGCAAATTTTGGAAGATATGTATGTCAACTAAAACGGCTGACTTTTAACTATTGTTCTTTGGGTGGAAGTAGCAAAATGATGAGGTACACGCAAGTCTTGGAAATTCGTGTCCCCATGCCACGCATTTACTATGTTTTTAAAAACACAGGACATTCGTGAAGGAGAGAGTTGAAATAATATCAAAGTCGTACCCAAATATCGCAGTATACGTGACTGAGCGTCCCAACCGACATCCTCGTATTGTTGCGAATTTTCGTAAGTGATCATGACATGAAATATTTTCATTACTTAAGTATATGGATATATGCATGCACTCATTAACCCATCTGTCATATTAACATATTTTCTTAAAGTCAATGATAGCAGCATGGTGATTCCATTAAAAAACGATAGCGTTGAGCAGATTGACGCTTGGGTGCACAGACTGCGAAGTTCATCTGGAAAAAAACGACAGGATAAATACCGATGGCAGACACTAAATCCGTCTACTCAAGGAACTTGGTCACCTTATGTTAATAAGAATGCTGTTAATTGATTAATGCATACTTGAAAAGCAAGAAACAGATTTGAAATTTAAGAGTTTTCTTCTTCATTTATAAATTAATAGATTGTATTATTCCTATTGAAGCAATAGTTATAGATGTGACAAAATCAAATGCTGTGATATTATGTTGTGTTGTTATGTTGTGAAATGGTGCTGCTTTCTATCGTCCCAAATTGTTATTTTTTGTATGAGAAACACATAGGAATACACTGTTTTGATGCTAAAAAATTCTTCATCACTTGCTCTACTTGTGCTCAATATTCTGAAATGTATCATTAAATTGAAAGATATTGATGTTGAAAGCAAAATAAGAGGAACACTTTGAGTGGACTGAGAAACCAAATGTGTTGTAAAACATTGTTTCATGAGTTAATGGAGAAGAACAGCATCCAAGAGCTGATGTAGTAATGTGTAAGTTGCGAGAAAGAATAGCATCGAAAATATGTGCGATGTTGTGATATGAGAATGTGCTTTAAGGAAAGCTTTAAAACTCAAATTGAAATGCTCAATTGAAAGTGAATGCTATGAAGCAAATGAAATCAAGAATAAGTGTTATGATTGTTCATGTTGGATGACCTCTTCTTCAATTGAACTTTTACCTAAACTAGCATTAGGGTTAAGAGTTGAGAACATGCTTGTAATTCAAGTTTGTGCATGCAGATAATAAAGACAGTAATGTAATTTAGATAAACTGTCTTATATGTTGCCCTATCACATATGCTGTCCACCTGGCTATGAACTAAAGTCAATTGCCTTGTACTTCTGAACCACAACTACCATTTGTTATTTTTTGACATTGCTACTGAAATAATGTTTTTATTAACACTAAATATATTGATAATATTGTCTACTTCATTGCTTTTGAAAGTTTGATGTTTACAATATGAAATATGTATAACATAATTTAGACTTTTCACATTTTATTCCATTTTATATTGCCTTGTATTAATTGGATTGGGGCTAAGGGTGGTGCCAAAGGGGGGCTACAGCATCCTTGCCAGGGAACCACAGCCCTACGAATTTGTTTTTGAATGTTGCATCTGACAATGAATGATTTTATTATTTCAAAGCAAACTTCAAATTTTTGCGTTTGCTACGCTTTTACAAGCTAACGAATAGTGTGACCGAAGCCATCAGCCAAATTGCTTTGTTTGAAAAAAGTTCCAAAGAGAGCGTACGACTTATTAGTATTGAAAAAGCAACAGGAGCAGTATTTTATAAATATGTTTTGGACATCTACAAGATCGTAAATAAAGTTAATGTTGAGTTTGAGAAAAGATTTGAGTCATTATAGCTTTGAGGACTTGCTGCTTTCCTCACTAATTTAAAGACATTAATAGATGAAAACACTCTAATGGCTTTTGCTTTGTCATTCAATGACACAACCACCAATCGCCTCTCTAAACCTTACTAGATGTTCAAGCCCTTGCTGAAGAAAACTTAAGAACAGCAAAGCATCACAGAAAGAGTATCCCGCAAGTCTATTTAGAGAAATTATAAGCAGTGACGTAGCCAGCCCGCCAATTTGATCCTGCTATGTAAATTTTTCTGTGTTCACTCACTGTAAAAATAATAAATTTCTAAAGAAATGAATAATGTTAATGTTCTAAAATTTACGTAGCAGGACCAAAACTTACGGCACAAAATAGACATCTAACAGAAGGCTTACTCGACTAAAATCCATTGAACTAAATATAACTGGAAGGCTACCTTCTGATATATCGGTAACACACGAAATGAAGCCAAAATTTTGCGTGATCTGACCTCCAGACACGCGTTTCTGGTAGTCAAATCACGCGAGTTCGGCCTCGCGATGCGTGATTGGAAGGAGTGAGTAAAGAGTCTGAACGAATAAACTACATGTTTTGGCCAAGCTTTAGAAAGGAAAATTACTGAATTTATTTAGTTTTGCTGCGTTTTCTTTTGATATTAATACAGGAAATTTAAGTTTCTTGCCGACCAAATAATTTTTACCCAGAAGGCTTACCGATGGCAAAGGATTGTGCTCGGATTTTGGCGAAAACTTTCAAATGTAAAATCCCAATGGGTAAGTGTTTATTCATTGTATTCATAAAGTGTTTACACATTAAATTTATTCATTGTTAAACAAGATTAGCTTATTGAGTCGGTGCCTGTCGCTTGTTTTGCCTTTATTTACGATCTCCCTCGTATATTTTTTACCGTAGTTGAAAAGACGCAGTGTGAAATATTTGTCTGCGATATGCTTTGTCAGTTGAGTGCTGTGATCGTCTTCGATAACAGCCTCGTTAACACCATCTTCGTGATCTCTGAATAGAGGAAAGGTCGATTCCAGATTAAAATGTTGGCAAACTGCAATAATCATACTGTTCTTCAACTTTGCCCTGTTACTAATATGCTGATTGTCGTTGCCTGTCACCGTTGCTTTGAAAACGTGTTCGCAGAACTCTGTACAACGATACACCGCTGTGGATGGAATCTGTAAACCACCGTTGTTCACGAAGTTGACGAAAGCTGACGCTTTTCCAGCTTCATGATATTTTGTGGCAATATAATCATGGTCATCTACGGATAACGATTTTGGTAAAGGACAAAGGCATCGTTTGCATTCTGGGCAAGATAAATTGTTGACTAACTTCGAAACTATGTATCCTGCAATATAAAATATAACGTTCGAAATAAATTCGCTGTTGCCTTCTTGGAGATGTTGCACCATTGCATTAATTTTATTGTCAGTGTCTCGGGCAGCAGTTTCTTGTGACTGATTATGTAATGTGGGTGAATGTTTTCTTGTACGAAAAAGTGGTATCAGGTTGTTGCAGCCAGTAAAGTCCAAACAGTTTGCATTTTTTGATGCAGTAATGGCATTTCTCATCAACATTTTTCAAGGGCATACTTCATTTGGAGACTGTTGGGGTTGTTGTTCCATCCACCTCTTGAGCGAATGCAGGAAAACAGGAGTTCAATATGGTCCTGTGAATATTTGTAGGTTAAGAGATACTTGAATGGATTGATGGATGAAGAGAGCATCTGTGTTGCCATTGAAATAGTGGATTTGATGCAGGTAACAAACCCAATTACAAATGTTTTGCTGAGATGTACAAATTGGTTGAGAGGAAGCTGTGTTGGTTTTAATGATAGTAAATATTCTGCTGATGATGATAACACTTCTTGCCATGTTTCCTGACTTGAAAGCGAAGAGGTGCCTTAAAACCCTTACCCAGTGGATTCCGGAATTAAGGATGTCAAAAGTCGGTCGATAATGCGAATAAATGTCACTGTCCCATTACTGCCAGAGAAATTTGGTTGTTTAGCGGATTTGTCTAAAAACTCAATAGCATTTGCCACAGAGGAGCTCAATGTTTGTGCAGCAAGTCGCACATTCATTTTGTGTTTGTGAAAGTTAAGGTGATTACTTAAGTTTGTTTGTTAGGTTTAATCCTTCTTCCATTTGTAGGTTTTGAAGTTGTTCTATGTAACTCCACTTTATAATGTTTTCCTTGCCATCCTTAAAAGAACCAAGTTGGGCCAGTGCATTGCGTGCAAGCTTTAACATATGGCAAGGGTCAAGAATTACAAACACATCTTCGCCAGTAGTTGGATGGGTAAATGAAGACCGCATTTCATCATATGTACCGTTAAAGTTGCAACCAAGACTTTCAAATGTATGAAGATTTACAGCAGTACCATCAGCTGTTACAGACCATACCTTTAAACCTGCCTTTGATGCCTTTTCAAGACATTGTATTACCAATGATGCTTGGTCTTTACCATTGATTTTGTCAACCAAAAGTACCCAACGGGCATTTCCAATGACTTCTGGTGCCAACTAATAAAAATACTAGTGCCTCAGAAGCCAATTTCTCTGTTTTATGATTAGGAGTGTATCTCCAAGATTAACAAACCCTGAATACTGGTCATCTTCTGGATTCCATATTGTTTGTTTTCATTGACATTGCATCAATAACCAAACAGCAGTCTCTGGAATTTGGGGAAGCAGCAACTTCATTTGATAGTGATTGGAATGCATCTTTAATGAAACCAGGGTCACATTTCATGGACGAGACCATTTTTCATCAAAGATGGATTGGGTAGTGGAACAATGGATCGAACATATTTATAAGCTTTTGGAGAATAAAAATATAAAGTAAGTGCAAATTCTTTGATTTCATCAGAGTATCTTCTGCCTGAACGAGGACATTTTAAATTATCTCTAATATTGTATAAAAATCCCAACTGAGTATCATTGAAAGTGGACAAAAGACTTTCTGCCTCTTTGAATTGATCACCAACTTATCTTTTAAAATCTTGACAACTTCACCCATGGTTTCAACCTTTTGTTTTGTGCGTCTCAGTTGTTGTTGCAAGTTTCAATTTTTGTTGAAGCTTATTTTTAAACAAATCTCTTTTTCTTCTGTAGATGTTTTGGAGATTTTTGGGTGGAGAAGTTTCATCAACGGAATCAGAGGTAGCTGCAAAAGGTCTTTTATTTGAAAGCTCGAGTCTATTCAGCAGTGCGTTTGAGTGGGTTGTAGAAGTTGAAACATTTTGAACATGCAAGCTATTGGACATGGATGGTATGGCATACTTTTTTAGTCGGCATTTGCCATTTTGTGAGGGGGGGACAATGTAGTCAGTTAGTTGAAAATGGTCACTGCATATCGATGTGCACTTTTGCTGTCCATGGTACTTCAAGATGGTTTACTTGTTGAACAAAATGCTCCCATAATTTTATGGCTGCCTTGTTTTTCATGGGAAATCTGTAATACATATAAATATTCATGATCTAGTATTTTAAATATTATACTTCCAGTAATTTCACTACAAATCCTTGTCCAGTTAAATAAAGTTGTAAGCCCTGTACTAACAATATGATACCAGTTATATCTACTTTACACTTTTACTGTGAAAAGTATTATTTTATTGCAATTGTGACCAGCGAAACAAATAAATACTGTATATGACTAAACTGTCAAAATATAGAATTTATATATGTTAGTATTTAACTGAATTTTATTAAAATTTCATTTTGTAGTTGAAGCATGTTTAATCTTTCCAAATTGCAGTTTTGTTTGATGTCATTTTTCAACTTATGTATTGGAATTTTACCTGTGAAAAGCAACAGTTTCTGCACCTATGTGGTGAGAAATAGCCCTGTTCCTGCACCCAATTATCACACATGTAAGTGGCATGTTTACTGAACAATCCTGAATACTTATCTTTGTCCTAAAGACGACAATTATGCAGTGAAAATAACTTTTGTTTGCAAAATCAAGGAAATATACGCTCTAACGTTAAAAAAAGGACTGGGGTGAGAAGAAGCTATACTTGTTTTTCTTCGTAAATATTACTTTAAAACATAATTTTGCTAACGTTCTGTTATGTTAATGTCATTATTGGTTTAACGTTTTTTAAGAAATTTTTAAAACAATACCATGCAAATTTGCAAGATGTCAAAATCGCATTTGTCGAGGCTTGTTAAGTTTGTTTTTTCAAAAAGGCACGATTGCTTGATTGATCTATTACCGTAATCAAACTTACTATAAATGACCTGGAAAATTTACATTTTTTGCAATTTACTTCCAGTTTTTTTTCATAGTTTTTGCAAAATCCGCTGTCAAAATGACTAAAACACTGACATATTTTGTTTTGGTCGTGTTTATCACAAGCGTGGAAAGACTGGGAACGATACTGTCGACTTAGGCTTCAAATTTCTGGGCGAAGGTAGCCTTCCAGTTATATTTAGTTCAATGACTAAAATCGTGGCGTACTTTTCACTACGCATGCGTGAATTCCCATCAAGATACTTTCACAAAATCAATATGGAAAAGTATTGCACGAGAATGCCATTTTACTAATAATTCAAGTTTAAAGCAAAAGTTTGCCAAAATTTTTACAAGGAGTTATCATCTTGCGAAGGAGATAAGGTTCCAAGCTTTTGTAGTGTGAAACGATATATTTGTAAAAGCATCTATATTTTCTATTATGATCTGGCGGAAGTATCTTACTGGAAGGCGTGTCTCCTTAGAATTTGCTTCAGAAAAGGAGGGGACACGAACATCAAAGGTTCCGACGCGAGTGGACCTTCTGTTAAGATATCTATTCTGTGCTTACGGGCTGGCTTTTGAAAACAAGTTGTGTTTTTTTAAGATCTACGTGCATGCAGTAATTTATAATGAGATGTTTCATTTTATCTTAAAACTTGAAGATTTGTATCGAAAATTTATTAAGCAACAATTTTTAGCGTGTTCACTAAAACCAAGGTTCAGCCTTCCTGTTGGGGATCCTTATTCGTAGCCCCTCTGTCGAGTAATTCCTGGCGTTTCATCCATCAAGTGGGTTCTTGTTTGCAACAGCAAAGTTAAACTCAAAATTATGAATTTTTTCTGAAGGACAAGCAATATAAGACCTTATTTACACTTCATCAAATTTGAACGACCTTAAATTTTGGTTTTATGTATTAACAAGATAGTACATACTGAATGTCTAAACATTGTCACGTTTCGTTAGTCCAGCATACTTTCTCTAAAACATAATTTATAGAACTGGCCATTTTCGTGTTTGGAATTATCCATTCTCCAACTAGAACTGACCATTTTCGTGTTTGGAATTGTCCATTTTCTAACTAGAACTGGCCAGTTTGGAATATGTGAGGACTTAGGATGACCCCAGCTGCCCTGCTTGTTGATAAAACCAAAGGTAAAAAGGCGGGTGAGCGAAAATATCATTTAGCGATCCCTTGTCTTTCTGCTGACTGACAATCAAAATCCACTATGTTTTTTTAACTACTACAGATGACCGCGCACTCATAATTTATGGCAATATAGGTGGATATGTTCCAACCATTAAGCTCTAAGATTATGGCTAAAAGTTCGTCACTGATGACATGACAGAAACACAATCAAAATTTGACTTTGTGGTATGTCTCGTTTAATCTTATTGAATAAAAGTTCAACCACGGAAATTCTTAAAGTGGAAAATTCTGATCGCTGCTTGAGCCACTTTTGTTATATAACCTGCATTTGCACCAGTCATATTACAAAAAAAGCTTACCAACGTCTCTTGGACCAGAGTATTTCTACTAACATTCTTTATTTTTTTAAGAAATGTATTTTCTCTGGTAATATGTTCTCCCTAAGGCAAAAGTTTTCACAAAAACGATTAATTTATTTGCTACTAAGGGTATTATCGGAACGCTGACATATTTTCAAACTTTAGCTGCATATTCTGTAGTAAAACATGTACGACAGCCGAATGTCAGTGCATGAGAACAGTTTATAGTTGTTTAATGACATCATTACAGCACCAGTAGCAAATATTCAAGATCTTATACCATTGACGTATTTTTGAATTACGACCTTATAGACATCATAAGTGCCTTGTTGTCCCTCGTAGCTACATACAAACCCGAAGAGATTTAACAATAGTTTTTCTTTTCAGCAGCAAGTCACATCAATCATCTTGATTAATAATAGTATATTTTACTTTACTATATTACTTGTATCGTAGCGCTTAAAACTTTGTAAAATAGAAACTATTGTAGCTAATGAAATTACACAAAGCTCAGAATTCTTTGTCATCTCAGCTATAGATCAAAACCAAAAGAATCAATAACTACATGGAAAAATTAAGCTGATCAAACTTAATGCGAGCTGTAATTTGCGAAACACCAGAATCTTGTTTTTCTTACACTAAAGCAATCATAAAATAGTAAGTAAAATCCTTCCACTCCTCCTCTTTGCAAACGAGACAAGTTTGCTCAAAAGCAGAGAGTCTTAAGCTACAAGTCCCGAGCTTGTGACCGGTATATCGGAGTTAAAAGGTGAAAGGACAGTTACTTTGGTAACGCTTTACCCTTTTGCATGTTTCAAATTTAGAAAGATTGCTTTTGGTTCTTTTGTATGGCACGAGGATATTATCATATTACTTTTCTCGCTCCCTTATAAGATCGCGTTTTCTCGTCTGTCGAAAGTGGTTTTAGGTTGTTTGAGTGAAGCCAGATAAGGAAAAAGTATTAGAGGTTTGAGATTGAAGAATTGAAGTAATTGTCATGTATAGTTTCTGTAAGAGCAAGTGTGTAATTAATTGATTTTCTAAAAGAATCATATATTTGTGCTGGATTCCCGCACTTGGTACCTTACACAAAGCACTTCATTCAACGCGTGGTGTGGCTGCGATGTAGATGACAATGGTTTTGTTGCCGTTTTCTTTGAGTTTCGATATGTTTCAAGCATGAATGGTAAACCAAATCATTTAAGAAATAAAAAATGTTTTAAATATGTTTTCACAGGCTTATGCAAATCGAGGAGACTTTTGGGAGATTTTAAGAGCAGAACAACGCTCCGAAATCGAAGGTCGAAAGCTCAGTGGCGGATCTTGGATTAGTCAAAACAAATTACTGCTGCACATTTTGGAATATATTTACTTTTCTAAGACCCTCAGAGACAAGTCCATTGGTAAAATTATATTCTTAAGAGTTCAAAACTAATAGTGCATTTCTGAAAGTACTTTGAATTTCGAATTAAGTATCTTTAATTTATTTTGCTCGCTGCTGCCTGCTGTGACTACCCCTAGATCCGCCACTGCAAAGGTTTGCGCCTGCTCGAGAATTTCAAAAACTTCAAAAGCATATTTTATTTCTCTTATAAAATAATAATAATGCAAAACAGGTAACATTGAAAAAATGTTTTGATTTTTCCTACAACACGCGTTGAAGATTGATTTGCAAATTCTCTTTATAGTTGATTTAATTGATTAAACTCAGATCGCTTTGCATGGAAACTCAGCTATAGACCAATCACCGCACGCCTTTTTAAATAGTTTTTCTTTTATATAAATGGTTACTGACTACTGAGAAAAACATGGCCGGAAGTCTACATTGATCTACGTACAAAATGAAGTAAGGAGTGTGACAGTGTACCTTTATTACTAAATCTAATTATTTGTCATATATGATCTAAACTAGAAGTTACTATCGCAAGGAGAAGCGCTGCTCCGGACTCCGTGTCATTAAAAAATTGGTAGGAACAGTGCGACACCGTTAGGAGGAGAATGGGCCGAGGCATGTCAAGAATAGTGTGCTGCCATTTTTGAGGAACTTTGGATAAAAGTTTCAATTTGTACATTCTCGTGAGGTTATACCATTGTTATAAAAGAAACAGTGTATCATCCATCAAGTGCCGCTTACTGATTCCGACATGTTCAACTGCCAAATATACCGTCTCTCAAATATGGCCCATATACAAAGCCAATTCTTCTGGATCCGGGACTTCGATATTTTGAAAGATACAAACCTGAAATCTAATTTCAAACTTTAAGAAATGCTACATGTTGTGCAAATAAATTAGATCTCATTTTGATTCTGCGTTCCGTCTTTAGTCAATGCAATTATTTATGACAATCGATCTTTAACCAAAAAGTTGTTCATTTACATCTCTCGAAAACTACGATTAACAAATAACGATTACAGAGACGTTCACAATGGTTTTGAATGACAATTACTCGCTTTTTCGTATATGGAACATACTTCATCAATTAATCTGGTATTGAAAATAATGGATTCGCCAACAACCAAAACACTTGTTGTATAAATCACCAACTGACTTCTTCTTTCAGTTTTAAGGTATTTTTCTAATAATGACGAAAGTTCCCTTTCACGGAGAAACAGGGTGACTACAGAGAAGTTTTCTTTCATTTCGAGCAAGACTTTTTTATATTCAGACAACATTTAACATCAATATAACATCATTCCGTCAACATTACTAGTTGGGATTGTCGGTGCTTTGTTGAAGTAACTCTTCGCTTTGGCACTGTTAAGGAAAATCAGCAGAATATTTATCAGCGGCACGGAAAAACCTGACACCAAAATCCAGAACGAAAACTTTAGCGATGAATTGTCTTTGCTGGTAAATCCTTCTTCAATTTCGCTACTCTTTATGACATTTTTCTTGATTTGTTGATGATAGAGTCCCGAGAACAAACTGACTGCACACAGCATGAAAAAGACTGAAATTAAGATGTATCAATTAAGAAAATCCAATACCAGAAAATCATTTCATAAATTAAGCATAAAAAAGTTCTTTTTTTAAAGTTCCAAATATTCTATTGAATTTAAATTCTAATTTTTAAATTCTATTCTTCAAGTTCTAAATTTTTCCTCGTTTGTCACTTACATGCAGCTCCATTTGCAATGTAGAGACCAAGTGACCCAAGAACGACATAAGACGACTTTGTAAACTCGTTATAGAAACTAAGTCCAGCACACAGTATCAGCATTAAACCAGCAAACACAAGACATGCAATTACAGCATACAGAATCTTCAAATTGAAAACACCTTCAAATTCTTTGAATACTGTAGATAAAGATATTAAGAGAAATGACAGACATGTATTATAATATCACAAACACAAAATCAAAAACAAATGCCAGTTTTTTACAGAAAAGCTGTTTCCCATTGATAAATATATAGCATTGGAAATCAGGCACGGTCAAAATGTTCTATTCAAAACACAACATTCCCAATATACTGAAATTGATAATCAAAAAACGACTTTAAGTCTACAACGTCAACTCTAAAGTACGGGATTCTACATCCATTCAGTCACGCTGTTTAGAGTTAAGGTTTGACTTCATGCAAGTTTAAGCAAATGCTTATTTGACTTTGCCGACAGCCTGCCGTACATACACAACACACATATAACCTCAAAATCAGGCACCATGCAACAAATTTGGTAATTTCCAGAAGTTAGTTTTATATCGTCCCAAACGCTATAGAAACAACACGATATTTTACTGGACAGTTCACAAGACTTGTTATACAAGATATAGGCTCTTGGTTTTTCATATTCTAGGATCGTTAATGTCATACAGTGTTCTTAGAGAAATTCATTTTGTGGTACGATTCATTTCTTATTACTTGAATTGACTAAGGCTCATAATGTTTTTTGGAAAAAAACCCCAGAAAACATTAAAGAGTGTAGTACATCCAGTTCAACATGAAAGTGCTTGTTACAAAATTCCTTCATTGTATTTTATACGTCATTTATGTGTTATATAGTCGGCTATACATCGTTTGGTATCGTACTTGCTCTTGCCTTACGTCAAGGCAAAATGTTACTTTAAACTTAAACAATAATAATTGAAGTAATTAGCAGAACGTAACTGCTATACCGAGAAAATAGAGCGCACAACCACAAAACGATCATCTCGGACAAGTATAAAATAAAGAAGGGCTCACCTTCAAAGCACTCTTGCTTGATTTGACTGTGAGCTGTGGGTTTTCTTCCCTGGCAGCCTCTTATCAATCCGAACTCTATCCAGCCTCGGTTGCTGCTTTTGTTTTGCACGATTTTTTCCACTTCACAATGCACCCAGTTATTGCTTAACAAAGCTTGCATAACAGCCGCCGTAGCACCAAGGGCAAACAGTCCTGCGAAGAAAAACAACGCGCCTCGACGGCACACTTTGCCCATTCTGTAAGACAACACTAATCTTTTTATTCAAGCCGAACCTATAGATGGATTTTACTTTTCGCAAGACTATGAATTTTAAGTAAAATAAAACGAACCATGTACGTTTCGAAAATCTAAGCATTAAAAATCGTTTATTTGAATGTTTAGATCGTTCCTTAGTAACATATGAAAAGTATGTTTACACATGACTTTGAAAGGAAAATATGTTGTAAAATATACTGGAAAATTTTCCCTCGAGTAATTTGTCTGCGAAAAAGCGCAGAAGGCCACGCCTTTCTTTTTCGAAATCAAAATTAACATGCAGTCTGTATTCTAAACAAAAAACGTGTATAATAATGTGATCCATACCGTTCTTGAAAGTTTCTCCTAGTTAATGTACTCATTTGTGCAGTTTGATTTAATTAAGCATGCAGAAGCCTAAATAATTGAGGGAGGGGAAGCAATTGTTGCTGTACGTTCGATACAGACGACTCGAAAACGACCTAAACTTTCATCATTCCATTTTCAATGTATGAATCATCCGCATGACGTCCGTTTCAAGTAACGAAATTCGGTCCGAGAGTTTTTCCCTCGATGAGATTAATACTTGATGAGGACACGTGCCTGCTGCCAAGAGAAAAGTTGAATCGATTCGAACTAGTCTATGGTTAGAATAGCTGTGTGTGATGTCCGATTTGCGATGGATTTTGACTACAAAAATGCGCTATTCAGAACCATAGATCTATACAGGCAGGGCTGGCTCTACCAGCCGATATCTCACACGCTTTTGGAAATCCATATAGTAAAAAATTGTTCACAAAAGTTAGCCCTACAAGGCGAGATCTCGTCTGATAGGGCTGGAATTTTTTAACGTAATTGCCGTTGGTCTGGCTAAGCCTAGAAGTTTGCAAGTAAACAGAGTGAAAAACAGCCTTACACAGGGCTCGCGTCTCAGAGTTATTTTTAATTCAAATGGAACCTCGCAAGATTTCATGTGAGCCATTTTTTTTATATTTCGCAAAGTATATTTTGCCACCTGAACAGTAAAACTGATGTTTAACCCGTCGGACAATTTTTCGGTACGAAAAACGCTCTAATTTTAAGAAAAATATAAGCGATATAAAATTAAATGAATTACGTTTCGACGCGTCTTTTTCAAGCAACAAAATCACAATTACGCAGCATTCATTTGTAATTACGTAGGACGCATTCATTTCTTCGGTCAAGGTCCAGAAGCATCGAAACGCTGTAAAATCATTAAATTTTATATCGCTTATATTCGTCCTGAAATTATGTTCAAAAAGTATATTATACTTAATAACAAAAAAAGGATCACAATTGAAAGTGAAAAAAGGCAAATATCATACTTAATTTACTCAAACATTCCACAAAACATACCCTGACATACTCCCGTATTAATCCGTTGCAATTCCACGAGTAAGATTCGACTTGTTATCCTTTGGATAATCCAAAGTACATCATGTAATCGGGATCTATCGGTTAAAACCACGACTTCCAAAAAAAATCATCCTGCATGTAGCCTGCATGTGATCTCGTTTCACACATACGTAGACTTTTCAACAAGACAGTTTCACGATTACACCAGCGAAAGGGCGGAGAATCTAGAAAAGAACGCTTATATCTTCCAAAAAAATCTTACCCATGATAGAAGCTGTCTCTAAACAAAGGTTTTACTACAAAGTTATGCCTGCAAAATGCAGCAACTTGAAACTCGCAAAATTGTTCTATCTGCATAGCTTGTATTTCAAAAACGAGAAATGTACATCTCTTTTTAACGACACAACACAAACGTTCAAAGGAAAACACAAACGTCGTTTGTTACAAAGGAAAACACAGGTGTTGGTATCTCCATAAAAATCATGTATTTTTCAAAACCTGCAACGATTAACTCTCGCAAAATTTCCACATTACTCTTCAAACATGTTTCAAACCTCAGAGAATCAAGGTTCACGTGACATTTCATATTCCAACACATCTGTATAAATGACATCTAACATCTACACAGTAATTTAAAGTAAAATACAACAATCGTGTATAGTTCATTTATACAATATCAAACTCCCTCGCTTGCAATAAGCATTTGATTAAAAATTACGAGGGGAGTTCGTATGAAACAGCTATCGTAAACTCTTTTCAAAAATCGAATGTTTTTTCCTATAATTGGTCACAATTTAAATCTCACCACGATTTTTTATATTAACGTTACAGGATAGGGCCAAGCCACAAGAGGCAACTCGACCGGTCAAAATCTATGTGCTGTCGAATGGCCAAGGACAGGCTAGAAGAATGTGCCACAGTCGCTAGTTCGACAGATAAATATGATGAAAATAGATTTCGCTGACTGCATGATTATGCAGAAAAGTCATTTGATTGAATTGCCTATAACACAAGAGTATCCTGTATATTTATCCTGTATTCCAGAACGATAAAATCCTTTATTGCCCTACAACAAATTCTATATTCCTAGCAAAGTAGGAGTTATGTGGGTTATAAATCTTTTTCATCCACATCGTCTAAGTTAATTAGCTCTAAATCTTCGGCAAGTTTACTGGGTTCACCTTTACCATCGTCTCCTTCTAAAGTATCCGAAATACCAGAGGCCGAATTTAGTAAGTTTTCGTCGTTTATCGAGCTTAGATCCTCGGGCGACATTCCTTTTAAAGTCGACACGATTAGATCTTGTACGAAAAGACTTCTATTTGCTCCGCTCGTCCCTAAATCCACTTCTTCGCTTTCTTTAAGTTCGTTATCACAACACCTAATAAATATCAAACACGAGAAAAATTTCAAGAAATAGTCCAATGACTCAAATCGTTCAAACTAAAAAATCCCACCAGTTTGATCAACATGCAATCGAACAAAAAATGAAAACATAAAAATGAAGCTGGATTTACTTGACACCATCTTGACATTCAAACAACAATACAACGCGCCCGCTGATTGGTCTATAGCTGAGTTTACATTAGCCTGTGCAAATCGATGTGAGCTCAATCATTTAATCTATCAAACTGAGTATTCGCAAATGAATCATGCATACATTAAAACACTTGCTGTTATTTTATAAAAGAAATAAAATATTTTTTCCTGTTTGCAATGGCTTATGCAAAAACTTGGAGACGTTTGAGAGAACTCTCGACCTCGCATTGATCTGCTCTCGAGTTCTAATGAAGGTCTCCTCGGTTTGAATAATCCCGTGCTAACACAGTAAACATCTTTCATTTTTAAGTGAATGTGTTTATGTTCATTATAATAAATGCTAGGTAATATCAAACGTGAATAATATCAAGTGTAACATATAATATCAAATGTCCTAATGAAAGAGATATTCTACAAAGTCCAACTTCACTTCTTCGATAATCATAATTTAAAAAATAAAATATGTTTGCTTTTTTGGATAGGCTTATGCAAATCGAGGAGACCTTTGGGAGAACTCGAGAGCAGATCAGTGCAAGCCCGATACCGAAGGTCGAGAGTATGCACGTGCTCGAGAGTTCTCGTATTCAACTGTCGAGTAAAAAAATTTACGAAAGAAACACAGAAGTACGCAATAATATAATTGTATTTGCATGCATTTAATTATAAACTGCACATTCATTGCAAATCATTAAACGTCTGCGTCTTTCGTACATGATTGTTTTAAACCGTTATACATCAAACAATTTGCCATGCAAAACACAAGACGGTAGAAACTTTGAAAAATGTTTGTTTTGTCTGAAACATTATACGAATATTTAACACATGCAAAAAATTCAATACTAGTAGCAAAGTGTTAGTTGTCACTTTCGGGGCCCGCGAGCATCGGTAGATGGCGGATGTCCCCTCTTCCCACTTTCCAAAGAAGCAATTTCTTGGGTAAAATTCTACCTCCCACGTAGTGAATGTTCTCGTACTGTCCTTACGCCACCAAGCCCCCACACACACACACTTAAACACACTTTTTCACATTACAAAACGAAATAAAGCAATTACCTTGTTAAAAGAAATGACGAGTTGGAATTGTTAGAAGTTTCGTTCCGCGAGGTCGGCTGCGTAGTCGACGTTGTCGCTGACGCAGTTGTATTCATTGGTCTTCTTGGCAACCTTTCTAATCTCTCTCTAGTTTGCTGCACTTGTTGCCGTTCGAACTGCAGTTGCTGCTGTAAAAGTTGCAGTTGTGATTGCACAGACTGCTGGGATTGTTGCGCACTTCGCCGCACACCGGAAAGTTGCGACAAAAGTTCGGCTATTGGGTCGATTGTATCGCGCACAGATGGTGGGTTAGGCACAAGCTGGGGAGTGGTTGAAGACGAGTTTCCTATGTTCTGATTGGCCGTCGAGCGTCGAGTACGAGCTGGTCCCAGGCTTCTACCACCATGAAGAATCCGCCTCACACGACTTCCCGTAGGTTCATCGTACAGAGTTGTTAAAGATAACAAATGATGCTATATACGGTCAGCCTCCCGTAAGCTTACTATTGGGTACCACTAAGCTTACCACTGTGTACCACTAAGCATACTACTGTGTATCACTAAGCTTACCAATGGGTACCACTAAGCTTACCACTGTGTACCACTAAGCATTCCACTGTGTATCATTAAGCTTACCACTGTGTACCACTAAGCATACCACTGTGTATCACTAAGCTTACAACTGTGTACCACTAAGCATACCACTGTGTATCACTAAGCTTACCACTGTATATCACTAAGCTTACCACTGTGTATCACTAAGCATTCCACTGTGTATCATTAAGCTTACCACTGTGTACCACCAAGCTTACCACTGTGTATCACTAAGCTTACAACTGTGTACCACTAAGCATACCACTGTGTATCACTAAGCTTACCACTGTGTATCACTAAGCTTACCACTGTGTATCACTAAGCATACCACTGTGTACCACTAAGCATACCACTGGGTATCACTGCTTACCACTGTGTATCACTAAGCTTACCACTGTGTATCACTAAGCTTACCACTGTGTATCACTAAGCATACCACTGTGTACCACTAAGCATACCACTGGGTATCACTAAGCATACCACTGTGTATCACTAAGCTTACCACTGTGTATCACTAAGCTTACCAATGTGTATCACTAAGCATACCACTGTGTACCACTAAGCTTACCACTGTGTATCACTAAGCTTACCACTGTGTATCACTAAGCTTACCAATGTGTATCACAAAGCATACCACTGTGTATCACTAAGCATACCACTGTGTACCACTAAGCTTACCAATGTGTAATTACTAAGCATACCACTGTGTATCACTAAGCTTACCAATGTGTATCACTAAGCATACCACTGTGTACCACTAAGCTTACCACTGTGTATCACTAAGCTTACCAATGTGTATCACTAAGCTTACCAATGTGTATCACTAAGCTTACCAATGTGTATCACTAAGCTTACCAATGTGTATCACTAAGCATACCACTGTGTTTCACTAAGCATACCACTGGGTATCACTAAGCTTACCACTGTATACCACTAAGCTTACTACTGTGTACCACTAAGTCTATACCACCAAGCATATGTACCCCTAAGTATATACAACTAACCGCATATGTAGTCTTAATACCACTAACCTCATAGCAAAGAGAACAAGACATGCATATAAAGAAGACAAAAAGGATATGAAATCGCGTATTGATTGGGACTTGTGTTCCATAGTTAGATGAGCAAGAAAATCATCTGTTACATGATTTGGATCACCACGAGGTAGTGCTGCACAAATTGGGCAAACCTATTTTTCAAAAATGAAAACATCACTTTTCGGTATTTGGCATAGCATGTACATATATATCAGGGTTAGATTTACTGGTGGAGTGCGGAAAGGTGCTCGCTCCTTTTTGCCTTGGCTGGAATAAAAATATTGAAATATTGAAACCTATGGCAAGCAATCAAGCTAAAGCAATCTTGATTTGTGTTTAATAGAGAACACTACCAAAAAATATCTCCAAATTAAGGTGCACAATGTAATAAGCCTTAGCAAAACGAGTGCAGCATGTAAGGTGACGTGTTCACCAAAGTGTACACCAAACTAGACACTGAACCCCCTAAAAGATCATTCTCGATCCATTCCTGAAATAGTTGTAAATTAATTTCAAATTATCTGCTCGAAACACAGAGGTTGACTTGCATGTGCTTATTAGATCAAAAGTTTCACTAAAAAATTTATGAAAATACAATTATTCAATTATCCAGCACTTCCAATTCCATCTCTTTCCGCCAGGGCAAAAAAGCAAAGGAGGAAAATATCAAATATTTCCAAACTGAAAACACAGCTGACAAATTAGAAAGTGAGAGAAATTTGCAGAATTTGCTTATAAATTAGTTTCAACTTGGTTGCAAAACAGCAAAGAAATGTTCTATGGCTTTAATGTTTAGTATTCTTAAATCCACAAACTTTGAGGATTTTATCACCTAACTGACTTTTGCTGACTAGAAGAAGTGCATGTGTCTAAGAGTCATAATATCTTAGCTCTAAATTTGTCTTATAGGAAAGGGAGAGCACTTGTAAACAAAGCAATACATGCATTTGTAAGAGTGCGGACACATACTGTCCATTACATTTTGCATTATAATCATGGTGATTGGCTAAATGTGGTCATGTGAGTGTCTTGCCGCCATTTTAGTTAAAATTTTATCATAACTATTTTCATCCAAGAGTCACGTAACAAAAAAATTTTAAACTGGTTTATGTTGCATTCTTAATAGCAGCAATCAAAGCAATCAAAAATGTAAATGTATGCACTTCCTAGTGGTAAAAATAGTACTGAAAGTTGCATAAATTACACCCACTGCATTTAATAAATGTTTTTCTATTACTACAACATCCAGGAACAAGTAAATTCCAAAGCTAACAATTGCTGTTTGATGCTTTACATTTGCCAGTTTTTAGAACAAAAATGGACGATGCTCGGTAATTTTACTTAAGGTGTACCAACTCTTTCTTATGAAGGGTGTTGCATGCAACAAGTTACATTATTAAATTAGCTGGTAAAGGTTGCAATCTACTACAGTTTTGGCTGGGAGTGAGTTCCATTTAAAAAACTCTTTATTGTCCCCTGTAGCAGATCGGCAACAATCACCTAACCAAATAAACTGCTATCAAAAAATGCTTAAAGATACATCACTAGTTCTTCAAACCATTAAGATAACTTACCACCTCGGTTGAAGAATCCGGATGTTCAGCCATAACATGTTCTATCAAGTTACTTTCCGTAAAACCAAGCTTGCCACACAATGGACAGCAAAATGACTGTGGCTGATCGATTGTCAATGCTTCGCCACCATAATACAGTTCTGAATGAAACAAAAAAGTGCTATACTACGCAATTACATTATGAGCTCGAGATTTTTATGAGGTAATAGTAGATGAGGAAAAAGACTATTCATACTACCATTCACATTATGTCATATATGGTGGCAACTAGGTCTTCTCTAGAATTAACTTTTGAAGAAAACAATCAAGTTTCTTAACAGAAACCTGAGTTGAACGGGAAATGGCAGGCACATATTTTAGCTACTTGCCATGTATTGCTTTGCCACTTGCTATCCAATGAAAATTCAACGTAGCAAGTGGTGTAGCCAATCAAATTATTTCAAAGCATTTCACAATACAATACTTGTATGATTCTAATAATTAGTGTTACAGTTATTGCTATCATAATACTCCCGGCAGACTGCATAAATGTTTCTAAAATAGTTGATACAAAATATTCTACACACCAAAATCACTTCTTGTTAAAATACATTGCATTGGATGATCCTTTGTGTGTCTTGTTGTTGAGGCACCACTGTCGTAACATTGTGCACAAAGATCATAGTCGTAACATATCAAACACTTGAATCTTTTACCAGTGAAGTTGTTCTTACCACAAGAATCACAACTTACACCTAATAATAAAAGACTTTAAGTTGTTAAGTTGTTTTGACTACGTCAATAATGATGATAAATTGTCATCATGAACCCAGTATAAATATTGTCGCATGTTTGTAGATGTAGATGGTTCAACAATTTCAACAACCTTAGCTGTGGTCATCTTCAGGATCAAGAGAAGAGTAAAAGTAAGGTCTGTTATATTAGTTGTCTGGTTTATATGTCATTGCATTGAGTGTGAAGGAAATGTGTGAGTGTCAATTATGTAATGTGTTCATGGATTTAGTCTAAAGAAATGTGCTCGATTGTTTGAGGTTGTGAATAAGTAATTTGAAGGTTGTATAATTGTTGAGATATGTTAAGTGGATTTTGTTCGAAGTTGGTAAACCAACTTTCTGACAATATCCCCGTTGTCTGTTGTCACAGTTGTAAGTAATGCATTTTGCCGAGTTCCAGCCAATGAGTGTTTTGTCAGTCGGTGATGTTTGGCAATGTGATTGGTTTGGTCTTGTGTTTCTTTGTTAGTTTCTTCCAGTGTTCCAAATATTTTGTCAGCTAATTTTAAATAATGTTATATCAGGAAGTCTTTCCACACATCGCGAACAAAAAGGACGAACACAGAGTTAGCATGCTGAATATCAGGAAAACAGACTGTCGTATTCATATTTTTTCTTAAGATTAAAATTCAATTAAAATATACATTTAGAGATATGATACCACAGTCAGCCATTGACATCACCAACTCGTAGCATCAAAATATATGTATAATCAAAGACTTCTATAGCCTATAGGGTCATACTCGAGAAATTTCATTGAATATAAAAGTTAAAAACAGCGAGCAAACAAAAAAAATTTAAATACCTTCATGTCTTGACATCTCAATGTATCAATGTAGAAATTTACGACGTACTATGAATGACTACTACAAAAACACAACAGACTGAACTGTTAAGAAGTTTGGGTGCTTTAGGTTAGCGTACTTTTTTAACGTTTCCTTAGGTTAATGTAGCATTTAAGGACCCGAGAAACACATTCAAACATACAAAAAGGTCATTTTCAAAGCCGAAATTGTTTAAAAATACAAAAATATGTACATTTTATTTTCGATTTGTCTGAGTGTTTCGACTTTCGAAAAGCTAACATGGTTTTTAGGAATGGGAACTAATGTTGAGCCCGCAATAATACTACAATCACTGAGTCACTGATATGTCAGTGGCTGGAACTCAATACAACTGTAATATTAATATTATAGTTTACTGGCTGGATCAATGACTGCAATAAATGCAAATAACAGATGGAGCTGCCAAGAAGGGGGGACTCATAAAAGCAGCCAGCCTGTATATTGCATAATCTGATAAACACAGCATTAGAAGAATACTATGAATTCAAGGACATTGCTTTATCATTGAACTATTAATGTCTATGGGGGAGATGAACTTTCAATTGTCAGAAAGTTAATCGATTGATCACGTGAGTCCGTGACTGTTTGTTTTTCACAGCCACTCCTACGAACTGTTCATCACAACCAGTGGCGAAAACAGCCCACACTATTACATCTACAACGCAAAGTGAAAATGAGCTTGCTTCTCATGCGCAGCTTAAAAGTGGTTTATTTATGGCGCACAAAACACAGAAATAGTTCTTGTGTAGACTAAGCAGTGCAAATCTTGATTTATTAAAGTACTTCACATTTTCAACCAGAAGCAACAAACCCCCACTCCCCAAACAGCAAAAGTCCTTTAAAAATATGGCCAGACCAACAGTAGACACACAAACTTTCGCAGCATGTTGCCATCCTTTTAGAGGGTTTTTGATAATTTGATTTCCCATATAATATCAGTAAGCGTTCGTCAGTTATAAGTAAAATTACTTGACAAAGAGTTCATTGGTTGTTTATTGATGTTACAACTATCGGAGTGCAGTGAAATTATCAATTCATCCAAAGTTTGTTTATTTTGCGGAGAAAGTAAAAATTTTCATTTCGAACAATTATGTGACATTAAACAACAACAGGTGGTACAAACAATGATGTCTGTTGTGTATCCAAACAACAGGGATAAGATAATTATGTTTCAATGTTTGAAAAAAACGATCCAAAGAAAGTTCGAACAGCGCGTAAAATTGAACTGAAATGATATACATAGCTAACTGGTGAGTAAAAATTCAGAAAAATACTATACTTCAAGGTCAATTTCGGCCAAAACGCCGTTATATTATGAAGCAATAGATTTGTATAGTAGAATTTCGTAAGCTTTCAAAAGTTGTGCGTGTTCCATGTTCGCGATGCGATAAAGCAAGAGACATAGTTTAATATTATTTGCAGTCGGTTTTTCTTCTTTTTCAAGCAAACATTACAAAAATCCTCCATAATCCCCTCGTCGTGTTTCATTACATTCAAATCATTCAAATAACTTGCATCTTCCGTCAATGTTTATATTTAAAGTACATTAAAAATTTTTTGATTTTTCGGTTCTTGGCGCGGCCCGGTCGTCATTAATTTAAAATTTGTTACATCAGCCAGCATTCAACATATCATTAACGTTCAAGAAAGAGGCTAAATTCGTGGCTGTCCTTCATATAAGGGACATACGCACTCCAAAAATTGTGGATGTGCCTACACCCGGACACTCGCGATTTTCCGAGTACCTGGTAAACATGAAATGAAAAAATAGCAAGTACTTCTTGAACTTGCTTGGAAAAACAATAGTGAACCTTCCTTTTACATAGATCGAGCTCGGAGAACAACTTTAACGCTGTAGGATTAGATTAACACGATGACCTTTGTCGATTTTTTCAGGATAATCTTTATCGTGGCATTTGAAATACCGAGTTCGGTGTCAAAGAAAGACATTAAAGACTGTAGATCATTTAACAAGAGACCGAACATCATATTTATCTTGGCAGATGATTTAGTAAGACAAAAAATATTTTATAAGATGAGCCTCGTCACCTTAACCCTCCCTTCACGAATCCTATAATGTTTCAGGGCTGGGATGATGTGAGTTTTCATGGCTCGAACCAAATTCCCACACCTAACATTGACAAACTCGCCAATGAAGGAGTCATCTTGAACAGTCATTATGTCTCGCCAACGGGTACACCCACAAGAGCGGCTTTGCTCACGGGAAAGCATTCGATAAAATTAGGTAAAATCGCAAGCAGCTCGATAAATTGAAGATTGTCGAATGCAAGACATTTGACTCAGTGGTAAATATTCCCATAGCTTTTCAATATTGCATTAGGTCTTCAACATGGTTCCATAGCTAGCAGTCAACCGTACGGTTTGCCGTTGGACGAAGTTATCTTGCCTCAGTATCTCAAGCCACTGGGCTATACAACACACGGAATAGGAAAGGTTTGAGATAGTAAAGTAACGTTTGAAGATTTCGGAAGAATCAAATTGCTTCCGAACCTATTTCTATATCTGGAGTGCAGCTAGAAAAATTTAAATCCACCATTTAAGGGTTAGGAATATGGAACCGATTCAAATATTTGGTACATGAAATCCATAGATAGTGTTCAGTTTTGGCGATTTGAAACTTTATGAATAAGAAACAAATAGTTGAAGCAAAAAAGGTAGAATCATAAAAAGAAGAAATTAAACCAAAAAGGTTTTTCAAATCGACATGCGCTCGGATTTTGAACAAATGGAAAAAAAATAACTTATTTGTTTTTCTATAAATCGTTTGCCAGTGGCATCTAGGATTTTACAAAAAAGAATATACACCAGATAAACGTGGCTTTCATACTTTCTTCGGCTTTTACAACGGAGAGGAAGACTACTGGAATCACACGGTACATCAGAATTACAACGGATTGGATTTAAGACGAAATGGAAAAGTACGTTTTATTTCAAGATGGCCGCCGACTTGTCATACTCCATTGCTAATAAAACAATTCTTCCACAATCCACAGGTAGTTGCGGACCAAAAAGGACGCTACGGAACGAAAATTTTTACAGACGAAGCAGTCCACATCATCGAAAGACATGACAAATCTAAGCCATTTTTTGTCTATTTTGCTCATCAGGCTGTGCACACAGGGAACCCAATTACTCCCCTGCAAGCTCCAATTGAACTCATTAAGGTATTGTTAACTGCTTCACTTTAAAAAAATACTTTTGAAAGTCTAATTGTACATACAAATCCAGTCGCAAAACCGATATGTTAAATTGCAGAGTTTTCAATACATTCCCAATAAGCAAAGACGGATTTATGCAGCGATGGTGAAAGTCTTGGACGAATCTGTGGGCCGAGTGGTCAAAGCATTGAAGAAGAAGAAAGTCTACGAGAATACTGTCATCGTGTTTGCCACAGACAATGGTGGAGCACCAAACGGAATGGAGAAGTACAAATAGATATATTTCAATTGCTGTGTTGTGTATAAATTTAGTGCTAATAATATGTATTTTATTATTCACTATATCTTATATAAACTCTTTCAGTTATCAATTGGTCGACTACCTGATATTTATCATTATGACGTCATATTTACAAATAATTCCTGGTAGCAATTTGTAAGCATGACGTTTTCTTTGCAAGCAGTAGTTTTAACAATTTTTAACTCCAGAAAAAGCCGGTTTTGCGGAACAAAATCAAGCACTGGTTTTCCACTGTTGCCAAAAACAATATGCAGATTTTTTTGAAGGAAAAAAAATCAATAAAGTGATGAAACAGGTTTTGAATGTATTTATACAACAAATTGACGGGTGAAAAATTGAAAAAACTGGCAATATATTGAATAAAACAATCATTGAATTCGACTTTCGCATCAAGAATTATTCACCTTCGCTTCGGCAGATAACATTGACTTCCGTCAGAATGATTCCTGATTTCATGCTCAACCTCATGCAATATTTGCTAAACAGTTTTCAACTTCGTTTAGAAATTGGGGTTGCAACTTTCCCTTGCGAGGAGGCAAAAACACGCTTTGGGAAGGAGGTGTGCGAGGTGTCGCTTTCGTGCACAGTCCACTGCTAATCGACAAGAAACGCGTCAGCAACGAAATGATACACGTCACGGATTGGTTACCAACCCTCTACAGCGTGGCCGGAGGTGATTTGGACGACATAAGGATAAGGTTGGACGGCTACAACATGTGGGATGTCATATCGCAAAGTATGCCATCTCCACGGAAGGAGGTGCTTCACAACATCGATCCCATAACAAAAACGGCTGCGATCCGCATGGGAAAATACAAACTCATAGTGAACCAAGATATGAATTATTTTTCTTCTTGGTACAGGGTATGATATTGTTTTGTTTACTTGCATAGATTGGCACAGAGTTCACATTCTATGTGTAAGAATTACACTTATAAAAAAAACAACAACACAGCTTTGTATAACAATATAGTGTTTGTAGAGCAATGGTAGTCAACTGATCGCTACAACATTTGATCCAAATTTTAATTCACACCTCCAGATTTTTCCTCCAATATTTAAGCGATCTCTGAGATGACCTAAGAATCTGCTTTCTCCTGTATGATTTCACACTTATTATATTCACTCATTTATAAATCACTAGGTGTGCTATTATAGTTCACCTTTATGTAAGGTTTTGATTTAAGAACACTACAAAACAACTTTTTAGAGTAAACATATCTTTCTGACGTGGCAATATTACCATAGCCCAAATAGATCTCTAGTAACTTTTGAATTTTATGAACGTTACCGTGGCCTCCTGCGGCTAGAGTCCGTGATATTGACAACACAGTTCTAGATTGACGAACTTTCACAATTTCGACATCAAAATTTCGCCATTATTTTGTTTTCGACAGAGGTTTCATTCAAGACGAGACCCCGATGATCATTTTAAAGACGTAAAACTGAAAATACTAACTGGAGCTGAACTGACGTGCTCTACGGTAGAAAAAAGAGATTCGACATTTGACTGCGATCCATCCATATCACCATGCTTATATAACATTGAAACAGGTGACATTGCTCTATATACTCTTTGTTTACGACTGGATAAGACGACTTACATATGAAAAAGTATGTTAAGTCCAGCCGATATTTAGGGAACGCATAGTATACATTGGTATAGCATAATCTATATAGGTATAGCGTTGTATATATAGGTATAGCATAGTGTATATAGAGAGCCTTGTTGCATGCTTAGCCTTTACAAATGCAATGAAAAACCCGACGAAATGTTTGATGAACATGGAATGTTTGTGTTAGAGCAAAAGTTAACCTTTAATGAAGTTTTTAATAAATGGCAATCAAAAACGAAGCGCGCTCAAACAATGTCTGTAATTTTATTATGTTGTCACTGGGCAAGTGTTTGTGAAGAAATCCTTGCTAGAACTGCGGTTTAGACGGAGGCCATGCGCGGTTTGCATTCATGCAAAAGATTGAAAGCAGAATTAAAGGTGTAATTTCCAACTAGTAAAAGCGCGAGATTCCGTAGAAGTAAAACAACAGCATTTTTTTGAAACTGTTGCAACATGCTATATTTTATTTAGATCCTTGTGAATATGACAACCTGTTCTCAAGAAAGCACAAAAAAGCAGCATTGTTGTTTCACCGCCTCTTGTACCATCAACGTCACGGTAAGCCTGCTTTGAACCCGGATGGCGATGAAGCAGCGAATCCAATATACTTCAACGGAACGTGGTCACCGTGGCAAATCCTAGAAAACGATTATCTTGTGCGAATTGCAAACAGGAAAATTCCCCATCCACAGGATAATTGTTAATGAAAAACGAAGATGGCTGCCAATTAAGTAAAACACCATAAAATACTAACTTCAACATTCGCAATGATACCCAAAGTACCAAATCAAAGCCGATGAAATCACACAAACTGCTGACACATGTTTTGTGGAATCGACGACTACTTCCCTCTGCAAAATAGAGTATATCTCTCTAGTTTATCGAAGCGCTGTTATTTTTAGCCCATCAGTTTCAGTTTCCTGTAACGGTCTTATTTTTACAACACAATCTAAAACAAATTTCTCTGTTCATATAAACAGCAATATTGCATAATGCACAGTTCCATGTATTCTTCGATCAGTGTGATCAAACAAATTTAGTTACACGATGTAGGTCATGAACAAGGCTATATGTTAGCTTAGGTAGTTCCGAGTAGTCTTAAATTTTATGTAGTAGCTATATAGTCAAACCTTAGACAAACGTAGGTGTAAGTAGTTAGACCATACTCTTAATATATAGAAATTAAATGTAATTCACAATGTAAATTAGTACATATTATTACATACTATTAAATGTGAAATTAGACCGATTAAAGATTAAAGATGATTAAAGATTAAAGCTGATTAAAGATTAAAGATGATTAAAGATTAAAGCCAGTGTTTATTGCACCTGGAAAGCTAAACATAATTAGTTGAAGTGTTTCTAAAGCTCATGCCCGATATAATCTACAACGAAAAAACTCAACCAAGACTGTAGATAAATTTCATTCACAACTACAGATGGCCTCAAAATATTGTAAATTTAGGTAAAACAAAGGAAAGGCAACAAAAACCCTGATTAAGTTGGTGATGGCATCAAGAAGATGCATCCGTCCTCTTCTAACTGCCTTGTAGGACGAATTCTTGTGGAAATTGGAAGTGTAACTTTCCTTTACGAGTTGATAAAAACACGCTATGGGAAGGAGATGTGGGAGGTATCGCTTTTGTGCACAGTCCATTGTCAATCGAAAAGAAATGAATTGTCAGCAACGAAATGATAAACGTCGCAGATTGGTTACCAACCCTCTACAGCGTGGCCCGAAGCGATTTGGAGTTTGGACGACATAAAAATAAAGTTGGAAGGCTACAAAATGTGTGATGTCGTATCGCGAAGTACGCCAACAATAAACCTCGATCCATTGAAATTACTTGATCGCAACTTTAAGATTAAGAACTTTACGATTTAAGATTAAGAACTTGCATCGATATTCTTCCAAAACAAACTCTCGCTCCTTTAGAAGAAAAAGCTCGCGAACTGATAGAAAACCTACTCCACTCACACAGCCCCACACATAACAAGCGATCTCCACAAAGTCAAAAATGAAGTCCACAAAGATAAAAAAAATGCAAACAACGAGCCGCAATGGAACACTAGAATCAGAAAGAAAAGTTCGTGAATATTCTACGAGAGTGTCATGTGCTGCAGCACTTTTTGTAGAAATATAAATGCAAACCAAACCAAACTCCTCGCAAATTAAATCATTAAATCTTATTGACGTACTTATAATACAAAACTGACAAAATAAACCATCTAATGTAAAGTAGAATATTAAAAAGTCAGTGACCGGATAGAATAAGAGAAATGGCATCAAAAACGAGATTGTTATAAACAAGATGTAATCTAATGCCGCTGCGCGCTTTCGCCTTTGCTTTTTCAGGCAGAAATCGACTTAACCTCCGTCCTCACGCTAACGAACTAAAGCAGCCAATTAAGTAGGAAGAGAAACATTAGCCTGGTACGTGGACAGCGCGATAATTGGGGGAGGGGAAATAATTCATGTATTCATCACATAATCGATTTCAAAAGAATATATATATGGCTTATCATGCATATATGAATACCCCCCAATTATCGTTCTGGTCACGTGCCTGATATTAGCTTACTTGCAAGAAAAAGGCAGCTAGAAGTTGGATGAATGAACAGTGAGTTCTTGTACCCAGTCTCCTTAGACTTCACCGGTCACATCAATTACATAGACTCAACTTATGAATGCAAATCAAATATGTACGTTATTTTGTCTAAATCAGATAAAAAGCTTTAATACTTGGAAAAAATTTCATTCTCAATATAAATGATGGTTTATTTACATTTATAATACAGAAATCTCCGCAATTAATGCACAAATTTCATTACCAGTACGACCAAGGTGGCTGCTTGATAAACAATTCGGGGGAATTTGTAACATTCACTGGAATCTTGATCACTGCACTGTTCCTTCCTTCTGTTTTTAGGGCCTCTTTAATGTGCTTACTGTTAATGATAAAAACAATGCAATACTTATTTGTATTCATTTATGTGGATGGCACGTAAGTGCTATTCATCAGGGCTGGTTGCACGAAGGCTGGATAGCGTTATCCATTGGATAGCAAAAATTTTAAAAATTGTAAAAAAGGTGCTTATCTTTTTCTTACCACAAAGAAAATTTTTGCTATCCAATGGATAATGCTATCCAGGCTTGGTGCAACCGCCCCCAAATGTACTCACTATTGCTATGGATAAGAGAGGTAGCCCTTACTGCCTTACTCTTCAAATGATGTCAATGAAAACAAAAAATACTGTATCATAAAAAATGGCAGTCAGAAAGGCACTTTGTAATTCCACCACATTTTGGAAATTTTCTTTTTTGCATCAACATTATAATTTGAACATTGCAACTACTGCCCAACAAATCAAATAAACATCAAGTGCATTGTGTACTGTAAATGATGTACTATTAACACCCCTATCGAATAAATGCCTTATATCTATTAAACGCCCCCCTTGGAGTATGAGTTTGTATTAGACTATTCTCTCTCTAAAAAAGGACCTGTCTTTATCAGAGCCCCACCTATAACTTTTATGAGAATGATATTATTATAGTGGGTTGTTGATTGGGCAAAGAAACCATACATTCAGTCTTAGTTTGGTTTTTGTTTGTTCAAACTAAGGCAAGAGTGCCTGGTCAACTCTTAGGTCAACTATAGTTACTTATAGAGATAATATACATCTCACCTGTCCTCGGCCAACATTAAGCCAGCAGGTATACTGACTTGTGTAACAGAATCATCTCCAATCATATTGACAGTGATCTCATCATTACTGAAGTCATTATCAGCTATCAGAACACCTATCGCTCCTGCATTTTCTGCATGCTTTGCTTTTGTTACAAATGGGCAATCACTAAAAAGATATGCTTTCGTGAAACACTCCACATCTTAAAGATTAACGTTTCTTTACGATGCAATGTTACATGTACATACCCTCTCTCTACCAAAGCAAACGACCCGGAAATCAACTGCGAATTTTCTATTTCCTTGCATGCAAGAGCCGGCTGCACTGGAACTAAATGGACACGATTGTAGAGTGTGTGCTAGAGAAGTGAAATTTTAAATGCATGTATTTTGACTTCCCAAATATACTTGGCAAACTAATTATTGAAACATAGAGGAATATCATCTATAGACAACCTAAACAATTATTGAATTACGAGAACAGTAATTACAGTACAGCACACTTGTCACAAATGCTGTCAACTGTTTCTTATAACAAGGTTTAATGCTTACAAACGAGTCGCCAAAATCTCGGGCAGGACGCACTTTAAACACGTAACCGATTTTCGAAGGTTCGACAACGTGAAAGTAAATCAACTCGTTGCTGCTAAACATCATAACATCAGCGGCTGAGTATACATCTTGTCCTAAAAACAACAAACTTTTGATTGCATTGAGAAAAACTCCATCTGTCCGTTAGTGTGATTGCAATTTTTAAATAATTTAATTTACATTACCAATCAAGTATTCCCTTTCTCCCAAAAAAATGATCAAAATGAAATGTATTTTCAGCAAACTCTCCATTTTCATTTACAAAGTCAAAGCATGTTTACGCGTTGTTATACAAAGCTCGTCTCGAAATAGCTGTAACCGCTGTACATAAATATCGTAGAATCGCCAATAAATTATGAAATGCATACGAGTGATTATAAGCATTGAGTTCTACGAACAAAAGTAATTATAAGTTAACTTGTAACATATATTATTTATAAGCTATTACAAAAAAGTCAAAATATTCAAATGCAGGCTTGAGGCTTCAAAGACGATCAAAAATATGAATTATATCTCCTTCGTGCGATCGTTATTCTGTATTCAGTCGAGTTAAGTACTACGTATTGTTTAGAATTTCTTGGTTCATTCTGATCACTTCTCTGATAGTGAGTTTGATTGATAAAAGACAATCAATAAGTTGCAATGTGTCAAGCTTTCGCTGTTAAAAACTAATCATTTCCAACACAATCAACACCTGCAGAATCAGAAAATAATCTTCTAAAGCATTGTAGGAAAAAAGTAACAAATAACAGCACGAACTTTTCGCCCGATAATAGAGATACGAGTGGCATTCACATGCAAATCAATACACTTCTGACTTGTATTATACAAGTCAAAGAGTATTTATTAATCTGTTGAGTGAACAACATCTCAAGCATGACAGAAAACTGTTTTGAAAAAAAGTTGTTGACGATAAAGCTAGTATTTATCGCAAAATGGTTTTAGTGATAATGATAATAAAATAACTGGTAAGAAATCTCGAGGATTTCTCTTTCGGTCTTTCCCACATGACCACAGTCACGTGACTAAAATCTAGACAAATTAGAAAGGTTTGGACAGTTATCGGGCCATTTCATTGATTATTAAGCGCAAAACGCATACTTTACATTTCGGAGAAGTTTAGTGTAAACAGAAAAATATGTAATATTATTGGAACTATGTTCATTTGGCTACTTCATCTTATAACCGTATACGACAGCCTATCAAGACGCATGCGCGCGTACCTATTTTTATAGTTGCATGCATTGTTACAAATCTTCATGCATTTATTTTCATTTTTGAGCATTTAGAGTTTGAAAAATACTTTTCCATGTAATTTTGGCGGAAGAAATTTTTAAAATGTGAAATGAAAAGCTATGGTATGGCATAAAATTAAATATTTTATTTATTAATGAATAACAATGATACCATTGAAATTATTATGCACCAAATTGTGATTTGTTCAATGTCGACGTCGTTAAATGTGCATGTCTGAGAGGTTTGCCACCGTTTGCAAAACGTCGTTGATGTAGTAGCTACTTGGTTGCTTCTTTTTTTAGCTTATTTTTCATCGGCGTATACTTTTTGATTATTTTGTTTTCTATGTCCTTTCAAAGAATGCTGAGAGGTTTACACACTTGTCATCTTCTAAACCAAAATTTATTTGTCGTACGTAATAATGATGCATAAAAACAAACAAAGGATAAAGCGTGGAGTTGAGTTATTGTCTTTCTAATGGATCTGGCCAAAAAGATAGAACTTTCAGCTTATACCTCTTTAATTCCCTCGCCTATGGACGTATTTCATAGTAATTTAATACCAATTTAATTACATTGTTGGTTCGATATTGATAGGTCTGTGTTCTGCTCAAACACCGAATGTCTACAACAGCACTGAACAATCAAGAGGAAATGTCTCCACAGACGGCAGGCAAAAAGAATTGTTTTTTCCCTCTAAACCAAGGTAGATCACGCAAAGTCTTGCTAATGACGTTTTGTTAGATAGTTTCGAATAATGCAACTAAAATTAAGTTACGTTTCTATAGCCTCCATCATCTCAAACATTACGAAATATATAGATACGTGATGTGTCTTTGTATTTTTTATATCAAACAAAAAAACAAAATGTATGTAAACTCAACATTTATAGAAAACACATTTAAGCCTTACTAAGATTCGCTATGCACTTATTAAATTGGTATTAGCTGATTTGAAATTTGTCAACACAAGACTGCAAAGAAATCTTTTCTAACATGTTTGATAATTTCAGGCACGAGAGATCTTTCCTCGTCGTGTTGTGCACCACAGGGTTTGCACGCATGAAAAGCTATTACTTGAAAAGTTCTAACAAACACGCATGCGTCGTATTAGAACACACGCGATGCATGAATTGGCGACTGATTGGCGACGGCAAATTTTCTCTTTGCCAACGCCATGATGCATGGAGGACAAATTACACCTCGAAACTTTCCATTCTAATTCCTAAAAGAGAATCTAGCTTCAAACCTTTTCCAACGAAACTCTATAAATAGAGTCTGGGCATGAATGTGATCTAAAATCAACTTCGTTCAGATAGTCCATTCAGTTTTCACAACCGACACTATCAATGACAATAAATCATACTTATTCAATTCAGCGCACGCTTGTTTGTGCGGAGAACCGATGAGGCGATGGTTTTTCCTGCCCACACGGAAATGAAACCGGCCTCTTTACTTACCCATGAATGCTTAACATGCCAGTACGGTGTGATGTAGATGTGATTAGATGCAATTCGTTATTTTATGATACTTACATGATACAAATAGGCATTAAGTATGTATTTAGTTCCCGATGTTTGTGATGGTAACATTTTAGTGGTCATAGCAAACATTTTTCAGATCGTCTTTGGCTACAAAGAGTACATTCCAGTGCATGCATAAAAATGGAAGCGCAGTTAATCTGAACTTTACTTTTTTTTTACCGAAAAGCAAAGCCGGTTTTAAGCCTAGATAAGTTTTTTAACTGCGACTGGCCACCATTAAACTTGAAATATTTATGTTGTAAGGTCATTGTGAAGGCCACGCCCAAAGTTACGCTCTATTTGTCGCTCTTGCTTAAACATTTGCAAATTAGTCGAAATACCAACACGAAAGTTCAATTCTTGAACTTTTGACGCGATTTACTGTCGTGATACAACATAAATATTTCTTTCATCTTTCGACTGGCTTCCTGTCTAAGCAGATATAAATGACTTTAGCTAACTTTGTTTATATTTTCGGTGATTACCGACAACAACTCTCTGTTGTAAATCCAATATAACTGATAATATTGTTCTATTTGTGTAAGATATTAATTGGCTGTTTGTTAGTCACCAAACGGAAATCATCACCAGTACCTGCGTGCTGTACATCAGCTTTCATAAAAACTTTTAATTCCACCGTTAAGTGCTATTATAAAAGAAGACAATCTTTGAGAATATATCCAAACTGCTCTGACATTGCACTTGGAAGCTAGAAGCTTTTGAAAAGGAAGTTTCAGGGTGAGAGGTACAGTGACTTTTACTATTGCAGTTAAAATGAGCTTAATACATCAATCTGTTTCAATTCTAGTTTGCATTGATTCATTGCTTTTGCTACATGTTAAATTTTCAAAATTATTCGTTGGAAATATTTATTCGTTGCCGCTGCATGCTTAACAATCCTATCACACTATGTATCATATATTTGATACAATCTGGTATATAATAAAGGTCTCAAAACATGGAGAAAATGATCTTTTTAGAAGAGCAATATAATGTCGCCCTTCATCATGTAAATTGCTGCTTGTTGGACAGTTTATGTGTGTTGGACAATTTATGTGTGTTGGACAATTTATGTGTGTTGGACAATTTATGTCTGTCGGACAATTTATGTGTGTTGGACAATTTATGTATGTCGGACAATTTATGTGTGTTGGACAATTTATGTGTGTTGGACAATTTATGTCTGTCGGACAATTTATGTGCGCTGGACAATTTATGTCTGTCGGACAATTTATGTCTGTCGGACAATTTATGTGTGCTGGACAATTTATGTGTGTTGGACAATTTATGTCTGTCGGACAATTTATATGTGTTAGACATTTTATGTCTGTCGGACAATTTATGTCTGTCGGACAATTTATGTGTGTTGGACAGTTTATGTGTGTTGGACAATTTATGTCTGTCGGACAATTTATGTGTGCTGGACAATTTATGTCTGTCGGACAATTTATGTCTGTCGGACAATTTATGTGTGTTGGACAATTTATGTGTGTTGGACAATTTATGTGTGTTGGACAATTTATGTGTGTTGGACAATTTATGTCTGTCGGACAATTTATGTCTGTCGGACAATTTATGTGTGCTGGACAATTTATGTCTGTCAGACAATTTATGTCTGTCGGACAATTTATGTGTGTTGGACAGTTTATGTGTGTTGGACAATTTATGTCTGTCGGACAATTTATGTCTGCTGGACAATTTATGTCTGTCGGACAATTTATGTCTGTCGGACAATTTATGTGTGTTGGACAGTTTATGTGTGTTGGACAATTTATGTCTGTCGGACAATTTATGTGTGTTGAATAATTTATATGTGTTGGACAATTTATGTGTGTTGGACAATTTATGTGTGTTGGATAATTTATGTGTGTTGGATAATTTATGTGTGTTGGACAATTTATGCTTGTTGGACAATTTATGTGTGTTGGACAATTTATGTGTGCTGGACAATTTATGTCTGTCGGACAATTTATGTGTGCTGGACAATTTATGTCTGTCGGACAATTTATGTCTGTCGGACAATTTATGTGTGTTGGACAGTTTATTTGTGTTGGACAATTTATGTCTGTCGGACAATTTATGTGTGTTGAATAATTTATATGTGTTGGACAATTTATGTGTGTTGGACAATTTATGTGTTGGATAATTTATGTGTGTTGGATAATTTATGTGTGTCGGACAATTTATGTGTGTTGGATAATTTATATGTGTTGGACAATTTATGTGTGTTGGACAGTTTATGTGTGTTGGACAATTTATGTCTGTCGGACAATTTATGTCTGCTGGACAATTTATGTCTGTCGGACAATTTATGTCTGTCGGACAATTTATGTGTTGGACAGTTTATGTGTGTTGGACAATTTATGTCTGTCGGACAATTTATGTGTGTTGAATAATTTATATGTGTTGGACAATTTATGTGTGTTGGACAATTTATGTGTGTTGGATAATTTATGTGTGTTGGATAATTTATGTGTGTTGGACAATTTATGTTTGTTGGACAATTTATGTGTTGGACAATTTATGTGTGTTGGACAATTTATGTGTGCTGGACAATTTATGTCTGTCGGACAATTTATGTGTGCTGGACAATTTATGTCTGTCGGACAATTTATGTCTGTCGGACAATTTATGTGTGTTGGACAGTTTATGTGTGTTGGACAATTTATGTCTGTCGGACAATTTATGTGTGTTGAATAATTTATATGTGTTGGACAATTTATGTGTGTTGGACAATTTATGTGTGTTGGATAATTTATGTGTGTTGGATAATTTATGTGTCGGACAATTTATGTGTGTTGGATAATTTATATGTGTTGGACAATTTATGTGTGTTGGACAATTTATGTGTGTTGGATAATTTATGTGTGTCGGACAATTTATGTGTGTTGGACAGTTTATGTCTGTCGGACAATTTATATGTGTTGGACAATTTATGTGTGTTGGACAATTTATGTCTGTCGGACAATTTATGTCTGTCGGACAATTTATGTGTGTTGGACAGTTTATGTGTGTTGGATAATTTATGTGTGTTGGACAATTTATGTGTGTTGGATAATTTATATCTGTTGGACAATTTATATGTGTTGGACAGTTTATGTCTGTCGGACAATTTATGTCTGTCGGACAATTTATGTCTGTCGGACAATTTATGTGTGTTGGACAATTTATGTGTGTTGGACAATTTATGTGTGTTGGACAATTTATGTGTGTTGGACAATTTATGTGTGTTGGACAATTTATGTGTGTTGGACAATTTATGTGTGTTGGACAATTTATGTGTGTTGGACAATTTATGTGTTTTAGACAATTTAGCATGTCTGCGAGATCAACCATGCACTATGTGACGCAGAAACGGCCAATCCAAATAGTTTAGTGTGTGAGTTTGCACGTGTCGACGCAATGAAAACCGGAATGCAGTCTTTGATGCATGGTTAATGAAAAGTATTTTCAAGCACTTTTCTACAAACTGGCATGAGTACTGCTGTACTGAGAAGAAAGAACGTAGATCTCATTGTGAAGAACGAAATTGGCATTAATTGACAATTCTAAGTACCATTTTCATACACATGAAATACTTATTGATTTTGAAAATTCTTGCTCGTTTTCTACCACTGGCAACTACTCACTGTTCAATTGATTATTCAAACTCAATCATCCTCCATGCTTATCCACAACCCCACAAATAATTTCATCATGCAAACGCCACGGATATATTAGAAAACATGTATACATCATACATACATTCAGCGAATACTTCATTTAAAGCATGGTGAACTTAAGAATTTAAAAAGGACCATAGTTTCTTCCTCGCATAATCGCATTTGTCGTTTAAGCTGAAACTCGTAACTAAAGAAAGCAAAATATGGTCAGCTGCTGGGCTCCATGCATCTCATGTGAGGGCATGATACTAATACAAGCGAAAATTTAATCATAGACAAAGAATGAGGGTTATTCATGTGTATATCTGTGCAATAGAAACTTGTGCTGATAAATATGTTAGTACCACATAGTAAGTACCCCATCCCACCAAAAAATCAGTCTTCTACCGTCAAACAGTCGAAGACTATTTAAAGTGCTGGAAAACATCCCTGCTTGGGTTGTGCAATAAAATTTTTTTCTTAAACGTATATAACATTGCATTTCATTAATAAATAATGAGTCAACTGTCCTTTACTTATAGAAGAATTCGGCACGTCTTGGTGAACATGATGAAGACTTTTTTGCTTCTCTTTGTGGTGATGGCCCTTTTCGCGTGCAAAGGTGATTCCAAAAGACATATATACAGCTTATTTATTAATCAACATCTTACCGCTAATGATTCCTGGCTTCGGGTTTGCATCTTTGAATCAAAGACTTTGATATATATTCAACGGTAAAACCTGATATCCGTGAAACGTTTTAATAGCCTGTTATCGTGATAACATTCTTTTAGGAGAAATTCACCTCGATCCTTTCGAGCTTCAAAACACCTCGGATCAGTCATTTGTTTGAACAACTATACTTCGGCTATTTTTGTCGATTATTTCTGAAGACAGTTTAAATATACCCCAACGCATAACATGCACGACAACTTACGGGCAGTTAGCTGGCGAGGGCTGTAATCGACTAGATGCGAGTTTTGCTTCATTAACCCTTTGCTGCATGGTGTTGCTCCAGGGCAGCAACCAACGAACGCGATGGGCCTTGATCCGCGAAAAAATTCATGCAACAAAGGGTTCATCTCATCAATTTTCTAGGCATTTCAAAATGCTCTTGTAATTAAGCCTGATAGCAAATGAATTGACAATTTCAACCATGCACGATGATTGATGAGAATATTTCAAAAAAACATCACGAAGACAATCATGTTATAGAATGAAATAAATTCAAAATTCGCGTGAAAATTAATTCGCAATTCGCATTTTTGTCTTAACACAGACTGTTATTGCTTTCTTTAGGTCACACCTTAACCGTTATGATTCCTTGTAGTAAATTGGCTTACAGGAAAGTTGTGAACGTGGGTACCAAGGTCGCTTCTTCACCTAGTATTTCAACAGTAGTTCCGTTGTACGATAAAACTTGCTACAATGAATGTTTGACAATCTGTAGCAGAGAAGGACAAGGACGATGAGACAATCGTGTTTGACAAATGCTACGCTTTCTCTTCTTTTGTTGACCCTTTGTGCTATTGCTTTGGATGGACTGGATGGGGTGGATTGGATTTACCCGACTGGCGTCATGCTGATGGCTTCGAATCGGCCTACTGCAAAGCATAGTTTTCAGGAACAATCTCCAAAGTTTTACAAAAACACTTTCATGATGAATGTAGTTAACTAATACCATTAGTAATATTCAATATTATAAAATAACACAACCAAACCGCGCAAATACGGGTAATAGCAAAAGTGGGTCGAGCAACAGTGTGAATTTTTCAACTTATGAGTTTCCGTGGCTCGGTCGACCTTTTATTTAATAAGATTGAACGAGACTTACCGTTATGTCGAAGTTCGATCATGTTTCTGTCATGTCATCAGTCAGGATTATTGAGTTACAATATAAATTATGAGTTGGGAAAATGGGTCTGGGGCAAGCGCGGAGCCACTATTTTTCTTCCTAACTGCACGTGAAACTAAGGGCCTGTTCATATGAGCACGTTGGCGAGACATCTCGCCTATCTATGATCATGCTTTGCTATAAATTTACTATCAATATTTACTTTGCGTTCGTAAGAGAAAGCGTACTGGCTCAGTTGCCGAGATATTGGCTGTATATAGCCACTAACCCCTCGCAAGAGCGAGCTTCGGCGAGATTGGACAAATAATATTGTTTTATTGTATCGATTACAGGAAGTTAAAAATTAAAGATGGCTGCCAATTTGCAATTCCTCCGTTTGCTAGTAAAATTTGCCGAGGGAGTCATGTTTATTTCATCGTGGCTAGTTTACGTTAATTTGTTCGTCACGTGGGCTAAACGCGGGGAGCACACGCGAAAGATACAAAATGTCAATGAATTCGATGTAATATATTTCAATTCAACAAATTACACAACTCTAAAAAAGTTCCCCATTCTTCGTTCATTGTGATTTGTCGAGATTTCCCTTAATTTTAGCATTTTATCTTTCCCATTGAAGTGAAGCATAGTGCTCCTGCATCCAGCAGATCCCAATGCTGTGAGGTACTCATCCAATTCGACGCAAATATGGAACGCCTTTACTATAGGAGTGTATAGGTTTTATTGAGGGCAAGAACGGGGGGGGGGCACCTGGAATGATTTTCTTCCGTCTGACGTCTGCATGAACAATCAGTCATTAGTGCCGAGCAAAAACCTGCAAACCAAAAGCGAAAACAACATTTTACGAAAACCTCATTTTCTCTGCATGAATTATTTCATTAAATGACCGCAGGACGAACAGCTGTAAACAAGGTTCGTTGATTCTCCAACTAAGATTACACGTTCAAGTCAGCCGCCGGGGCGAAACTAGAACGTTAATTAGAATGGGACGGCTGAATTTTCATGCATTCAGCTCCACATAACTGAGTTGTTATGAATGCGATTGTGATTTAAAAAAAAGTAAGTCGGGCAGAGCTGAATATATGAACACTCCCGGTTTCGCCGAAGATTCAAGTACCAGCTTAAAGAATCGTTATCAACCACAATGCAACGCGCGCTCCATCACACACAGTTTTGAATAGTTATTTGCCCATCCAAACAGATACGCTTATGAAAAATATCACGAGCAAGCTACTGAAAATACACTTTTTCATCCAAAAACGGCACAAATTTTTATACATTCACAAAAGATGCATGGAATATCCACGGAGTACAAACTGAAACAACGTTTGTCTATTTATTCATCCAAGAAATGGCCGTGAAGATCGTTGGAACGCGCGTTGCATTGTGGTTGACAACGATTCTTTAACAAAAAGGAAAGTGTTACAATCACAAGCAATATGAGACAGGTGCGACAGGAAATGACTAATCGATTCCCAGAGTGGACAAGCAAAGGAAATAAGATCCTACCATTCATTTCTACACAGCACTGCCTCTTTCCTCACCAATCTTTTGGGATCGTCCAAACATTTTGATAACGACTTGATAATTTGGTTTTTGTACGGATACAACTTGTGCAATAAAATGGCAAAAAACAAACTTTAGAAAAACGAAAAGTCGTCATAAATTATAAATAACTAAATTAAACAATGCTACTCTGATCGAACAAAGCAACCGCTGCACAGGAAAAGTATTTCCAAGAGCCGATTGCGTGTTCCAAAAAAATGTAAAAATACACGATATTCGTAAGGAAAACGTCATTCTTTCAGCGTAAAACATTGAACTTAATGTAACTGGACGGCTACCTCACGCAAAAATTTGAAGCCAACAATTCAACAGGTCCCAATCTTTCCGCGCGCAGCCCCCAAAAAACTTCATTTACGACGATAAGCTAGAAAGCGGGATTTAAGCCCCAGATACGCGTGTCTGGGGGTGAATTTAGCTTCAAGCAAGTATAAGCATGTTTTTATAAATAAGGTAACCTTCCAGGACAATATTTACTTCAATGGTATAAAACGAGACATTGGTCACGTCAACCAGATAATTTCTTAGCGTGGTTGCTTATGAATAAGAAGAATGTGTAAATGTGTCAACTTACTTCGTGATAAGGTAGGACAGTCAAAACACCGAGACATTTTAAAGACATAGAACGCATTTGCTAAAAAAACCAAAAAATAACGTGTACATGTAACAAGATGAGCGGGGTATATATAGGATCATAACTGAGTTAAAGAACGAGTCTCGTGGTAATGCTTTGCGCGCTTAGTCAGATATATGGCCATTCTTGGGGCACCTAAAAATGGCGACATAATAGGTTGTTGGTGCTGCAATTTGTCTACGTCTATCCCCAAAACTGGAAGATCAAAGTAAAATAGGCCAAGAAATGGAAAAGAAGCAACGAGACTTAGCAAAATATTTTATTGCCGTTATTAAAACAAGGACTAATTTCTTACGCATCAGTAAATACAGTTTTCGAATCGCCTTTTATGGCGTTCTAAAGTTGCCTTTCAACGGATCTTGTTCGTCGTAGCATAAATGCCAGTCTATGCAAATTCTGACCTAGGTAGATGGTATGTATATATATTGCACTGACGAGTCCCTTGAATGACGTCACAAATGTAAAACGTTCCAAACGACAGACAATGTCCATCAAAATGCCAACTTTCAGCAAGCATTAAAATGGAACGATAAGACCAAATCATGAACTTTTACACCGATGTGTTAGAAATCACACCAGATTTAATGTCGCCAATGAAAATTTTTGCTGAAAGGGGAACTTGAAGTATAGCTAAAAGCCTTTCACACTATCCAATTGTTTCGGTTACGACTCTTAGTTGCTTGTTCAGACGGTCCGATAATTTTGTTGATACTTATGTTCGTTTGGATATCTATAGTCATTTGAACAGCGATTTGTGTTATCCAGTACATTTATCGATAAGTTTTTCGTATTTTTGTTCTTGTTTCTCAGTGTTTTTCAATTCTATGTAATTTGACTAGTCGGCTTCCTTTGATCTTGTCGGATGAAAATAGAGCAAGCTCTACTTTCATCTGATTTTTTAGATTGACGGATCCGACTATGGGAGGCTTACTTTATATGTGTTCACACGTTCCGTTTTTAAGATCCCACTGAATCGGATCCAACTGAATCGGATCGTGTGAACGGGCCTTAAGAAAGACGTTATTTTACAAATGGTTAGTCAGAATGTATCTCTGTATCAGACATGGAAAGTAAACACAAGCGCGCAGAGCCTTACCGTGAGACGAATTCTATATAAAGACATCTTACCAAGGATGGTGCATTCCTCGCCAAGTGTAAGTACCTCGGTACGAGTGACGTCACATACTGCGATAAAACTGTGGGCAGCTCGTGCGTCAGGGAATAAAAAGTCTTCAGAGTGGACAATTGGATGCTGCTTTCGTCACATGACAACGATTGAACCAGTAATGGAAATAACTACAGAATGTAAATGACGTCACATGACATAGCTACACAAGCGTCAAAGACATCAAGGACAGAAGCTAAAAGCAGAGAATGTCGCCCTTCATTGCGCATGCAGCAAGGCAGTTAACAGGGCGAAACTAGAAAGCTAATTGGATATTCATAATATACGAATATTCACCTACCAATCAGCGTTCTAGATTCGCCCTCGGCAACAATTACGTCAGGCCGAGTTACATAAAAGCTGTGGGTAAACGGGTACCAACCATCGCGAAGGTTTCCCTTGAATGGGGTTTGTGAGGAAAATTCGAAGTTGAACACTCCAATTAACCACACGCATGTGCCGAAAAAACAATACATCGCCATCAACAATGTGACGGTGATATCAACATACCGTTGGTATTTCGCTGAGTAACACCTGTTTTGGAAGCCCGTTCATGATGTGAGAAAGAGCACATAGATAGAGATGCTTCGTTTCTAAAAATCAATCAAATACGACAACTTGAGCCAAGGTTCGTACAATGCCAAAGTAACGAAGTTTGAGCACACAGAGCAAATGAATTGCACACAAAGTAAAAAGCGATAAGACTTTACCAAAAAATACAAAAACTAAAAAACGTTTCGAAAGAATCGAGAGATAATGGTGCGGTGACATATAACTTGAAAAATATATCACGTTGATCGGTTAGTTATTGTAAAGTTCTGACATTAGACCTTTAGGACTCGAGTTACTTTTTTGAGCAATAAAGGGTTAAGATACAATTTCAACTGCACTTTTGAGTAGAAAGTAGTCAAATGACATGTTAAAAATAACTCGATGAAAAAATATGAACGCAAACACATTCAAGCACGTCTAAATAAATTCAAGTGCTTTCAATGCCTTGAATTTTTCAATTTAAATTCACGGACATTCGAGGACATTCAAGTTCCTCACGTGTTGAGCACGTGCATCTTTACCAACAAGAGAGTGTTTCTGCTATTTACCTTTTCTACTTGAATGAAATAAATTAGTAAGCAGGGGCGAAACTTGAACAAATATTCTCTGCTTGTACATGAGCTGATATGAAATAACGAAAAAAAAAGATCAAATAACGGTTAAAGATTGGATGACGCTTTGTATATGAGTCCGGACCTTCATATTTGCATACGACGCATTGACCATTACGTCATCAGAATCCAACATGACGACGTAAAAACCATCCGCAGCGCATTGACCAATGACTTGATCGTCGAATAACTTAAGCAACTGCGATAAAAGAATAATGATTGCACAAAAAACGTTGTATACTGATCTGGAAGTTCTTATCCAACATAACTTCATCAAAACATACCTTATCAACGAGTTTCAGCCCCAGATTATGACCTCGTATCAGCAACGCTTTAGAAATCTATGAATGAGATCATATCGTCACGTTACTAACTCTTTCCTAAGTCATAGTTTCTCAATTTGGGGATTTTAGCCTAAAACCACTATTTTGTCCAGCGGTCTGTTCTGTATTTATTACCGAAGTCAATTGACCAATCAAAAACGACTCAATAAATATTCAATATATGATGCTCAATAAATACTATGACTGTTTTTAACAGAAGTGGATAAATAAAGAGGTGCACAGTGGTGCTCATCCGTGTAGGCAAGGGTCAACAGGGGCGCATAGAGGGATGCAAATTGGAAAAATAAAATTAAAACCCATCCTTCTTTTAACGGAAAAAGCTTCAATGACTGTATCATTTTAGTTTATTGACTGATTTATTTTTTTAATAAAAAGGCGTCGATAATGTCTATTTTGTTGACCAAAACGGGAACTAGTATCCACCTTTTATAGTGAGTACGTTAATAAATAATTGCTTTCTGACCGCTGAACTTTAGCTGATTACTAAGCCAAGAACACCCCCCCCTAAAAAATCCCTGCTGCATCCAGAACTGACTTATAAAATTATATATTAATTCTTTTCTCTTATCCAAAAATGACTTGGCATAAAAGTTAGTAACGGGGCGATAATAATAAATTCTATTTTTTATCAGAACGTCGCCAGGGGTAATGATTAGCGGGAGGGGCGGGGGCGGGTATTCATTTAACCTTGCCATGATCCCTAAAATTGCTTACCCATATGAGAGAAATGGTTGCTCTCCACTTTTCGTCTTCAGTGCGATCTTTTTCCAACAACGGATCCAGCTTTTCAAGACACTTTCCTACTTCCACGTCGACTTCATTCTCTACATAAAACCCGCTTGCCGTGAAGAGCATCGGAAAGCTACGAAGCCCACGCATCCGCTCCCATTATGAAATATGACGGTTGGAATTGTAATGGTATTTTAAAAGTTTATCAAATACTCAGACTAGATCACATCATACGCAGTAAGATGTTTATATAAAAGAGGAGTTCTTGTGTAAAATTGCCGATATAAAAACAGAAAGAAAATTTTTAAAATCCTCTTAAGAAGTAGAGGACTACATAAAACATTCCCAAGTGTTTGGATCAGGTTATCTAAACACTTGAAACCATTTAGTAATTGTTTTTATAAAAAAAAACATAGAAGAGCATAGCGTTGTAAGCTTTATAAGCGAAATTTCGAAAGCTAAATACCAATGTTGATCTACGTTCGCATTTATTCCGCCAGAAATGCATTCCTAAAATAATTTAGGCGAGAAATCGTCTTTGTTTTCAGACATTTTCGAAATTCTCACATGCCCTGATCCAAGCACGGGCATCGACCAATCAGAGCACGAGTTTTTAATACGTCATTTCATATGATCCTTACCATCTTGTATTCTGTTGATTAGACCAGCCAAGCATTTCGAAGCTTCAACATTAGTTAGTCGATGACGACATTCCACAGTTACGTTAAGCAAGCGTGAATACAACTCTGGAGTACGAGGATGCATGATCTATTAGAAAATGAGCATTTTCCTCATGAAAATTAAATACAAGACGCCGTATTGGATAATATTTACCTTTTTGGGAACGTTGCATAATACGGATTTTAACAGAATGACTAATTGTGTGCGTTGCCACGGCGACGATGTCTAAACAACGAGTAGTAGAACTGAATACATGAAGCTATTCCTATTTAGGGAAATAAAAGATGTTTACTGTGTTTGCACAGGCTTGTGGAAACAAAGGAGACCTTTGGAAGAACTCGAGATCAAATCAATGGAAAACGAGGGTTAACATCTTCTCCAGAGTTTCCGCAAACGTCTCCGAGGTTTGCATTTAGCAAGTGCAAACATAGGCGGCCCAGAAATCTGTTTTACTGTTTAGGCTTTATATGCAATCAATTTAAATAGTAAATATATTCTTGATTCATATGCAATGTTTATCACGCAGGCTATCTCGCGCGACTTCCACGTTTGCATAGTCTGAACAGTCTAATATTTTAACAAGGTTGGCAACTCTCAACATAAAATTACCGACCGTTAACACAATACATTCACAAAACTGTAAATATCTCATAAATACATAGCAAAACACGAAAAACAACTACATCTCGTAATTAACGAATAATTTTATGATATTTTTGCAGTTTTTTAGCATTCAAATGTATTTCTATGCATTTGAAAAACGTGAATGTTTTTAGGGTTTGTGGCAAATATTTTGCAAAACCCACTTATCTTGTGATTCGTCATATTTTTGAATACTCAAACGCAAGGCAGATTGGTTGAATTTGTTTTCGCATACATTCAGATTGGCTGCAATTTTTTTCAATTGTTTTCACATAAAATTTTGCGGAAATCAAACACAGAAAATACATTGACGTTGCGATCTTACATCCAACATGTTCAACATATCATGATCAAATGCTTCGTCGATTTTATCAAATTTTGCATCTACCAAAACTTCAAACACGATGGAGATGATGTCATTACAGCAACTACAACAAGATATAGCTTCAATTACTTGAGTGATAATAAGAGAGTCACATGTTTGTGGATGTAGATCGTCCAGGTTAGTAGAGTCCTGAGAAGGACTGTTGTTATTGATGTTGACTGACGTTTCGAGAACCTTAGTCAACATCAACACAAAGTGTCCTTCTCTCTCAGGACTCTACTAACCTGGACGATCTACATCCACAAACATGGATTGACATAACCGGGTTCAAACCATTTACTTTATTAAGAGAGTCACTGCAATCTTCAATCACAGGAAACCTTCCTCATGAAGAGTATTCTTACATTTTTGTGCAATTCTTTGATCAGTTCCGTTGAACTCCAATCTTGAACTTATGTAATATACAAAATTCAAAACACGCAATAAAACTCACCGCTCAGGCAACTTAGACGAAATTATCCGCAGCAATTTGGAAAATGTTTCAAGTACTGTCGAAGCGAAAACGAATTCCTCATCTTATGAAGAAAAAATACCAAAGGAGGTTCAAGAAAATATAATCAGCATTCGCCAAAACGACGATCACTATATGAACATACTTGCCAGTGAATTTGTGACGGCAAGTTTTAACACGCGAAGGAAGACAACGTCTTTGTAATAATCAAGAACGTTGAATGATTTCTTTAGAGAATCTAAAACACAAAATTTCGAAAGCATTGTTTCAAAATTGGCAGGCAAAATCACATACAATAAATGAACAAAAAATTTTTTTCTTGTACAATCACAGGTCACTGGAGAAACGTCTCACATGTAATTTTAAAAGATGTAGGTAGTTTAGTTGAAAATTAGGGTCTTGCATTATTCGAGTGAAAATTATTTGCTAATGCAATGCTAAATGCTTCGACAATGTTTCGGCCATGATCGGAAAGCATCGCATATTTGCCGAGGTATTTTTGCAATTCACGTTCTCTTTGGTACGAATTAGTGGGCAAAGTAATTGCTTCGAAGAAATCATTTTAACAGACAAACTGTTGACAAGTAGTTTTCAATCAACTTATTTTATCTTTCAATTCGAAAGCTGTATTGAGAAACCAGTCACCATGGTCGGTTTTTTTTTGGAAAGCCCGCTTGGTTACTAAATCATCACGTTCCTATAACTTTTTCGCCTAAGTCATATTTTTTCAATTTTGGGATTCTTGCCTAAAACTACTATTTTGACCTCTGGTGTGCTTTGTATTTACTGCCCGTGCAGAATACACCAGTGTCCACTGGTGTATCAATAAAAAAACGACTCAATAAATGCTCAATAAAAAGTTTGGCTTTTCTAAAGTTATATTGCCTCTTTTCTTGTTTTCTCAAAACCACCAACAATGACTTAAACATAAAAGTTAGTAACGCAAAGAAATTTTGAGCAACGTTATACCTCGGAATGATACTAGATGTTGATATCTATGTGTCGAAGGCCGTAAGCAAAACAGGTGGGGCTACATACGCTCGATTGACCCAACTTATAGAACTAAGCATACATTTTTAACTAAATTTGGTTTTTGCAAGCATTTAAAATCATAGCAACATCGTCACCTTCAAGAATTCCAATCAAACAATCAATTAGCCGGCCGATGCTTGTTTCATGAACGGAGTTTTCATCTAAAAATTATACAGACACGCTATGACAACGATGCATTATGTAATACTAACGATTAAAAAACAAGAAAATAACATTCTTCACAAAGTAAACAAACCTTTACACAACTTTGTAAGATTGTCAACCAAACAGGGTAAAATACATTCAATATTTTCTTGTTCGGTACAAAATATGGTCAAAGTGTCTATAAGGTCTTCGTGGGTGACACAGGAGCTTATGGGGACTTTGTTCATTCCATTCGGGATCGGCAAATCGTCTGTATCGAAACAAATAGTCATTATAGAAAATATAGGTCACGTGATCAAACGCATAGATGTCGCCATTCATAAATGGACAAAGTACCTATCGCAGAAAGTCTATCCACAAGGTTTCCTATGACGTGACGACGAACCAAGAAAGAATATCGGGAAGAAAGATAAGCCAATGCTAGTTTAGTTTCATGCCTTAAAATACACGAACGACGCAGGTCAAAATCCAAGTGCACTTTTTAAAATAAATCGGAAATTGTTGAGCACAAATTAATCCACAACTCCAGCGACATGAGCCATTGACAAACCTCACGATTTTCTCGTCATCTTGAAGCATTATCGCGAGCAAATGACCGAGGAACGATACCAACTGAAGAGCAAGAAAAATGAAACAAGAATAAGAAAGAAACGATTTACAGACATTTTTTGGTTTCTGATGTTCGAATGCGTTGAACCTTTTGTTGAACATAGTACGATTATACATGACGTCCCGAAAAAAACGGAACTCACATAAAGTAATTATGCAATCGCTAAATTTATTATGCACAATAATGCAACTAGCATTCAAAACTGTTCAATGAACTTGACAGTTCTGCGCCTGTGGAATTCAGCACGGTTTGTACAGTATTAGTTAAAGTAAAACAAGTTAAAAGTATTGTCATACACTGATTTTCATCTTAAAATTAATACGCAAAACCTTTGGAAAGGCAAAGCGACATTAACTGAGTTATGATCGTATTTTCCATAAGTTGCAACGAGCTTCGACAAGCGTACGACTAAATCTAAACAGGCCGTACAAACAGCCATCGCCGATTAATAATCTTATGCAAATTTCATTTTAATGCATGCATAATTATTTGTACATGTTCCGTTTTTTTTTTGGAAGGGTGGAGGACACGTTGTATTTTAGAATTGAGATAAGTAATTAAGACTCACAAAGCAATGGTCAAAAAATGGCATACAAATATTATGCAAAAAAACACCATAAAAATGATGGCTAAATGACAACCAAACAACAAGTAGTAATGAACTAAAAATGGCGATAACCTAAAACACAAATACAATGGTCCGCAAACTGAAACACCAATAATAATCTCTATTCATACAGCACAAATAATGTTCGAAAAAAAACTTTACAAGTTGCCTTGAAAAGTGCAATTGACATGGTGGAAGGTCAAAATGCCTATATATTACTTAAATTGTACAATTTAATTTCCAATACCTCATCTTCCACCAGAATTCCACTGGCTGTCATGGCAACAAGGCCGGCTATTCCGGAGCTACGATGAAGAGGATTTTGGTTGACGAGCAACGAGAAGAACAATCCGAGAAGATTTTCTTTGAATTTCATCAGACAATTCAAAGAATCTGCAAACAAAACCATACAGAAACGCTAGCAGGCGTATCAATGGAGAAAATCAGGTAAAACCACAAGCTACAGCTGCAGTTGTATTTATGCTTTTGGTTGGTTAAGCTGCAAGGCTTCTTTCAACTGTGTTATATTCAATCAATGAATCTCAAGATCACAGGGACGATGTCTACTTTTGTATTGAATTGCCTTGTAATGACCAAATACTGAGATTCGTAGTTCGGTTAAACGCATGTCAACAAAATGCGTCATTGCAAATTTTTACCACTATAGAAGATACATGTTATAAACAAACGTATGGACAAATTTGTTGAGTTTTTGAAAAGGAACAACCATGCAGGCTCTTCAATTCCGCAGCTATAAGTTTTTTTCCAGAAACCCGTAAGATAATGATCAAACTAATAAATGGTTTGAGCCCTGGAGTATCGTTAAATGTTTGTAGATGTAGATCGTCCATGTTCGTGGGTCTCGAGGATTGTTGGTGTTATTGTTTACTGACGTTTCGACAATCTTGACGGCAGTCACTCTTAGAGTCAAGTGGGGAGTAAACTATTCGCCGTATTCGTTGTCTGTTTAATTTTACTCTCTATGGCTATTTCGTCAACATACAGTACGATGACGTATGAGCCATACAACAAATAGGACAAACCAAATAGTAGAGTAGAGTGGAGTGGAGTGGAGTGGAGTAATAGAATAGAAATAGTAGAGTAGAGTAGAAAAGAAAGGAAAAGTATACAAAGTAAAGAAATAGAAAGAAAAGTATAGAGAAATAAAATAGAAATAAATAAAGAAACAAATCAAAAGAGATAAATCAAAAAAAAAAGAAAATAGATCAAGAGCAGTAAAATCAAGAGAGTAAAGTAAAGCAGAGTAAAGTATAGTAAAGTAGAGCAGAGTAAAGTAGAGCAGAGTAGAGCAGAGTAAAGTAGAGCAGAGTAGAGCAGAGTAAAGTAGAGTAAAGTAGAGCAGAGTAGAGCAGAGTAGAGTAAAGTAGAGTAAAGTTGAGCAGAGTACCTTTTCCTTCAAATTCTTTAGCGACTTGTAGGAAACCAAGCATCGCATCCAAGATGGACTTTTGATGGCTGACCTTCAAAAACAATAAGACAAAAGCAAGTTAGATTTGGTCTCGACAAAGGAGGTCTTATGCAAACGAGAACTTTTCCAAGCCATACGATTGGATGATAAATCAAACCTGTTTGACCATTTCAAACTGCTCCAGAAAAATTGGAATAACTTCATCCAAAACTTTCCCGCAAATCACATCTTGATAAAAAGAGAGAAAGTGCTAGCAACGACAATTGCTGATGGAAAAGACTAACTTATTTTGCATTCAATGACGAAAAAACCCAACAAAATAAAGAACTAGTTCTCAGCCATGCCAAAGCCATTTGCATACAATTTTCACAACAAAATACGAATTTTATTCGTTTATTCAAGTGTTTATTCGCTTAAAATTTAGAAAGATTTTCAAGCACAGAAAAGCACATGCACTATTGCGAAGAAACATGGAGCTCGTAGACTTAACATGAAAACGAACCACGAAATGTTTAAAATGACAGTTTGTTTGACAGCATGTGCAGATTCTATTGAGACAAAAACATTTTTTGTATTCAAAAAAGACAAACGAGAAAAGTTGCACAAAGATGTTGTGTGGAGGATAGCATCAGCAGATGGATGAGCAAGGAGTATGTTGAATTTCGGTGACGAATCTGACGTTATAAGAATTATTTTGCTCTATTATTGACCCAACGTAGGACCATATAAAATCCACTTTCGTTTTTTCAACAAATTAATATACACGTGCTAGATGCTAGATTGAGTAAACATGCGTCGCGTTGCGTAAAAATTTACAAAGATCCCCTTTATCAACCACAATCCCACCTAATTATTCACCTTAAAAGCAGCAGAAAGCAATGAACCGCAGGGTTTTCATTGAGGAAATACGTGGCAAGTTAGGTTTGAAAATTCTTTACACTGAAAAAGGGGGGTTGAAGACTTTTCACTTTTCCGAACAACTTACTTTTCGAATTTTAAGCTTTCGATATCTAAGTTTTTATCGATGTTTTTCGATACAGCCTTTACGGGCCCTTACGAGGAAATACGAGGAAATACGAGGAAAACGAGAAGAAAGTCAACATTTTGTAGCTACACACAAGCGTAATCTTTAAACTGCTCACCTGAGGCCATCGACGCATTCTGAAGTATACTCGCTGAAGTTTTGAGTATCTTTTGATCCTGCTTCAAAAAATTTCCTTTAATATCTAAGTTGAAAAAAAAAACTCTGAGACAATTTTTCAATTTTCGATATGTTCGCGACGCACTCTAAACCACATGTAACAAAAATACGAACCAGAAAGCATCTTCGTTAAAATGTTGTTCAAAGTGCCACCATGATTTAGCTTAAAAAGTAATATTTAGCATGTTAATGAGTAAAAAATTATGTTTTTCATCACAAGAAACACAACGGTACCTCTTCGGCCAAAGCTATATTTCGCATAATACTCCGAATCGCCTCCAAGCAAGCTGCCTAATTAAAAAACAGAAAAATGTTAGATAACAGCTTTATATTGCAGGCAGGTTAAAAAAGAAATTCATACTCAAACCTCGACGGACTGTTCGGCTGCCATGAATATCTACATAATCAACAGAAAAAGAGAGCAACGCTATAACTCGAACGATACAAGGCTTGTTTATCACGTCACAAGCAGCCATGTTGGTTGAATTTAACACAGAATTTTGCAATTTGGCGTTGACAATTGCAATTTCAACCAACATGGATGAATATTTTTTTGTTTTTCGATTCATGCGAGCCACCTTTCACAGAATTTAACAGATGAGGACTCTGCTTCAATATCGTTGCCTTCAAAAAGCGCAGGAACACACATATCTTCAAGTTTAACGTGAAGACAATACATGATTTGACCGACAATGTTCACGCCTCGAATAAAAAGTGTTTTTTGAATACGTTTGCTTCGTTTCAAAGCACTGTGTAAATCAGGGTTCGTACAAAGCTATAAGAATGAAATTTGAGCACTTTTCAATGACTTTCAAGCTCATCTTTTAAAAAATTCGAAGACGTGGAAGACCTTGAATTGCACACAAAACACAACTTAAGTAAGAAATCATTAAAAACATCATCAACATGAAAGCAAAACAACTTTTCCCATAGCAAATCGAAAGCAAATGGTGTTTTTCCATAAAACTTGAAAGCTTCCAAGATGGTAGGTTACTTCGAACTTTCTAACATTAACCCTTTAAGACATGATTTATTTTTTCGTGCATTAAATGGTTAAGATACAATTTCAGCTACACTTTTGAAAGAGAGTAGCGCGATGACATGTTTACAAAAACTTTAAAAAAATTGAATTCAAGCACATTTTGTAAATTGGTTCGAGTCGCAAGAATCTGGGAACTTTAGTAATTATTCTAACAACAGGAGATTGATTATTTCGATTCTTGTTTACCCCTCGAACATAAATGCAACAATCTCTTATTAAATGCTAGCACATATAGTTTTAACATTACAAAATACCTCTTGTTTTATATGATTCCACAAAGATGGCACCTGCTCGCTAATGAACCGCGCATCGTAAACATTTGCACACGATGCCTTAGAATGAGAAAGTAGTCACATTTCGAAACTCAGATTTTTCAACTTTCAATAACATTTAAGATAACGTCGGATGAAAATACGTACTAGGGTCAACAAAGCATCTTTCTTGGCATAAATCACATCGGAGGATATCTTTTCAATCAGCAACGGAACGCAAAACTAAAAGGAATAAGAAAAAATGAATGAAGAGTCAAAGCGAAAATATCGCTTCGAGAATAGGAAATACCGTAAAGTCTCGAAAGTAACCACCCGCAGGCAACTTTCAAGAATTAATAGCCTCAAAGGTCGGCCGCTTTCAGGAAGGGGGCGCTTAATTTAGAGTTGTTATTTTCGGCATCACTTAACTCCGATGGTTGACTATTAATCTACGCTTTAAAAACGGTATTTTTCAATGTATTCAAAGTTGGGTAATGTTGTGGTAGTTGACACAAATGTACATGATGAACGTTTTATTTGGATAATGAAGTTTAAATGTGATATAGATAAAGAGCGCGGTTACTTTCGAGAGAGCAGTGTCTTTCGACGGAGCAGTTCAGTGAAGTGTAATATTAACTGGAACGCTAACTCCAATACTCGGGCCTTCTTGAAGCCACCCATGATGCCTTTTTGTCTGCGTTTTTAGACATATTACCAAATCTCGTGAGGTAAAACTTATCATGGCCATTTGTTCTACTTTACTTTAATGTATATCGTCGTTAATTTGTTAAAATAATATCACAGAACTTCTAAAAACGCACAAAAACCCTTCAGAAAAACTAGCATGAGTATTGGCTTCAAAGATGGCGGCGTGGTAAGCGTTCCAGTTGATATTATAGTTCACTGAGGCGATTACTTTCAGGAGTGAGGCTACTTTCCACACTCCACGATAATATCGTGGATAAGCAATATTAAAGATGGATTGGTTAAAATGTACTTACAGGTGCAAATATGGATGTGGACGCCAGACATTTTCGAAGCGCTAAAATAAGCTGCTCTCTTGTTATGGAATGGGGATCATTGGGAGGCTAAACAGTTAATGCAAGTCAATTCAAACTAAAGTAGCCGTATAATGATAGTAGAAGTACGATTATTTTATAGATATCTTGGGGAAATATCGAGAAGAACTCACTGGAGTAAAATCAATAGGGAAATAGCAAGATGTCACTTCGAACAAATCTTCGGCCAAATGGTCTAAAAGAAACGTTCTCAGTAAGTTCGCATGATTTTGCAGCAAATTAAAGCGGTGTACACCACATTATTTGAACCACGTAATGTCAACTTCATTTATTTGCTAAGCCAAAATTGTGACTGTCTAATGGCTTTCATTCTTATAGCGTGTATTCCAACAGTCGATTGAGGGACAACTATGGGAATGATGCCCAAGAAAGCTCTACGAGCCACCATATTTTTCTTAGAATGCCTGAATGTGCTTCAAATGTAGTAATCATGAGACGGACATAGCTCTCATGAAAAAAGACAAATTAGCAAACCGCTAAGGAATACAATAGCCCGCACTTAAGGTTTGGAGTACGCTCACATTCGTCTTTTTCATACCAATAGGAAATCTCTTTACGATGATTTGAACAAGCTCGAAACAAACCAGTAAGTTTCTTGGATCCTGAAATTGACGGGACATAGTCGTTAAAATAATGAAAGCGTTCATAAAAACAACGAAATTGCGATAAATTAGACCTTCTCTCCGTCCATGGCTTGAATATAACCAAAAACAAAATCCGTTCCAAGTGTTTGGAGCTCTAGAAAATTAACACGAACGAATCTCAAAACCAAGATAAACCAAACTTGGATGAAAATAATTAAAATCGAACATAATAGAAAAGCCAAAACAAAGGTTTATTGAGTTGACAAACGACTGGATGAACTGGGTCATTGCACAAATCGAAGGAGTTTGCATGTTAATAAGATTTAAAAACATGATGGCGCGATAAAATACAGAAATTTTATTCATTTTATTTACCAGACATTTTCTTTTCAAGTAGTACAGTGAATAACATGAAAACGTTATATCGATCTGCCTGTAATAATGACTAAAAAATTCACAGAAAAACAAGTTTCAAATCACAGAACATGAGTTTTATTTGAAAAAATACATTATGATAAAACACAGGAACAAATAACATAAGCTAGAATAATTTGATACGTTGTTAGTGAAAATGTTATGGCATTGCTACATTTAAGAAATGCACGAAAAACATCTTTTGTTTTTTTATATAATAACAATTATGCAACAAAAACAAATTGAAAACAAATAACATGCATTCATGAATGATTTGCAAATTGCCTTAATTGATTGAATTGATTGAGCTACTATGGTTAAGCTGTAAGATCGGTTTGCACTGGTTGATATAAACTCAGCTATGGACCAATCAGCGAAGGCGTTGTACTGCTGTATAACTCCAAATGGCGCTCCCTTTCATGGATAAATATCCTGGGTCCATGGTAAATGGTAAATGTCATCGTTCTTCAGTAGCTAGAATTTGCAGGCTTTTTAAAAATAAACAAATGGCAATAACGATCTTATTCCATCATAGTAATTTTTGAAAAAGCCTTCATATTCTACTGATGAATACATGTATAGTACTAGTCGAAACGTTTAGAACAAAATTCCTACTTTTTACAGAGTGTGTCAATTATCTTGTGTTTTACAGAGTGCGTCAATTATTTTGTGTTTTACTAAGTTTGTATTTTGCAGTCGTAGCTAATACACACATTGTTACCTGTACGTGAATCTCTTTGAAAATTGCTTGAACTATCCTAAGAGCTAATCCCTCTTGAATCGCCTGATAGCTTACCTAATTGTAAACATACATGAATAATGTTTGGTAAAGGCAGAAATGAGAAATCGGATGTTATCAGCGTATCAATCCCGAAGTACTATATAAAGTAATAATTAATCCTAAAGTACTGCGCTGCATCCCACAATTATCATAACACAAAAAATCGTAATGTTACAAGCGCAGAGAAAGTTGCAAACAATGACTGATGAAAAACGCAAAAGAAAAAAAATTCACAAAGAAACTGCAATTTTGTCAAAAAAACCTTTTTTTCTTGGTTACCAGCTCATATTACTTTACATGGAAACATTATAGCCTTGATAACAGGCTTTTTATACTCACATTGCTTGCTTTTAAATGTTACAATCTGCAGCCCGCAGTAAGAATTAAATGTGCCACATGAAATGTAAAGGCAATAAAATGCATTGCAATAAGATAACAAAAATGCATGATCTGGTTTAAATATTCAGCTTCACACCGATACAATAAAAACATACCAAAGCCAGTAAACCAGAAAAGACGTGAGGAACCACATAGAAATGATCCTTCAGACGATCACAAAAAAAATCCACCAAAACAGTAACTAATAATAAAGTGTAATAACAGTTGTGATTTTGGAAGAAGTATTTTACAAACAGATAAACTCCCTGTAACCTGCAGCAATCCATTCAGAAACTCAAGTTTATCAATTATTCATGTATGTAGCTTATGAATATTTGAAACACTGTTTCAGCCACCAGATTGTTTGTGTGGACAAAAATCCTACAATAGTCTGTGACCTTGTAAATATGAATGTTCAAAATGGCAAAAATTTGTATAAGAGTAAAGTGTGCTTAGTCACTAAATTATCATAAGCATACCTTCTTTGTCGAGGAGTTCCTTGGTTACAAGTCGACAAAGCAACAAGGACAGCAGTTGTGTTCCCTTGCATCTTTTATCTGTTTCTTGATTGGTAAGATAGGGTCTAAAATTGAACAACAATTCAAACATCTCACATTTTACTACAGCCACAATACATCCAAAAGAAAGTTGAGCAATTGTCTTACACAAATAAATGATAGAAACATATATGATATAAATGATGTTGGAAAAAATCGAAAAGTAAATCGTGCAGCATTAAAACACAGCACCTTACATTTAATTTTACATTTGTTAGAGGAAAAAATGAGAGTTCAATCACCAACTGACAAGATTGTTTTGTTCCTGATAGTTTGGGTAGTTGAATCACATATTAAAATGAAATGTAGAATAATTTCTCTATTCAACCCTTTGAAAACATTAATAACTGTGAAGTTATTGTTTGCTATAAAAGGAAATCAATTTATTCTGTATAGCAATTGACCTTTATGAAAAAAATGCCTCAATAAATCATATGATTACATTCATTTTCATACAAAGCAAGAATTCATATGATATTTATTTTCCAACTACAATTATCAACAATAATAAATGTCTTTCAATTTGATGGTGACCAATGTAAACAAACTTAGTTCATGGTTAATAATATCATGCTTCCAGATAAATGATCAAATAATCATGCAAATCTATCACATCACATGTATCAAGTGCAAGTCACTAAATCAACAAAATTGTGAGAAGATAAACTTATACAAAATGGGCCATTTAGTTATGTTCTGGTATATCACCAGTGATACATAGTGATACACAAGTGATACATTTCTGGGAACGTAACAAAATTGCTATTACTTAAGTGAAAGGTGCAAAGTCACATACATTATGACCCCTGACACTATCATGTCAGCCTTGCTAACTGTAAGAGTTAGACTAATCTTTGAATCAGAGATAACAAATTAAATTCTAACTGATAAAATCAATTTAATAAACATTCAAACAAACGCATAAATTACCCTAACTTTTCCACGATCTGCAATAAATTAACCTCTTTTGAGAGAACAGCTAGAATTGGAAAATGAGATGTTTCAACGATTGCATATTCAACTCTGATAGAAACTTGCACTTAAGAAAACTTTAACCTTTGTTAAACTTATTGAGGACTGCACCGCGTTCTTCCTCCAATTCTTCTTTCATATAATGTTCGATTAGCTCGTCGGCCATGATCTTTTCTAAATTCTAATAAACTGATCCAGTGAACGGACTGGACAGTGGACAGGGACGGTCAAAAAGCACTTCTTGAGGGGTGGGGGGGGGAGAGAGATGATATTTGACATGTAATCTCAACATTTATGTTGTCATATCGATTACACAAGTGGTTCATTGTTGAGACAAACCCGATTGCGAATTTTTTTGTGTTGAAAGCATCGGATATTTTTTAATATCTTAAATTTGAGTAAAGTAAAGTAAATTTAAGTACCGTATTTATACCTCATATGTAAACGCCCATAAAAATATCTTGAGTATTTCTTTATAACAGCGATTTGCCGGACGGAGTGAGAGCAATTCCTTGTGACTTTAAAATTTTCTTTCTTGTGACTTTATTTTTACGAATTTTATGGCAAGCCATTTCGGAAAAAAGGTGGTCGAGAAAAAAATCTCCTTTCAGAAAGCAAACCAAACTTGAGAAACACGTGTTTATCATTGAGTATTTGCAGATGGTAGTTCAGTAAAGCGAATATATTGTGAGAAAAAATTCCCGGTCGAGAAAAAAATCTCGGTCGAGAAAAAATCCCGGTCGAGAAATAAATCTCGGTCAAGAAATAAAATGCAAGTCGTAACAACATAATTCTACTACGTAATTCGGCAAAATGCATTACTTACAGTACTGACTATAAACAACGGCTTACATTAGAAAGTTGGTATACCAACTTGGAACAAACCCCCCTGAACGGATCACAGCAATTACCGGCACCTTACAAACGACTTATTCACAATACAAACAAACGATCAACTAAAAACATTACACTTCACACTAATTCACAATGACAATACACAATTGACACCCACACATTACAAAAAAATACATCACAGCTAAAGCCTAGGCCACACCATCGTCCATATTGACGAAAATTAGAACGAAAACTGCCGCAACGAAAACTTTGAACGAAAACTCGACGAAAATTTCGTTTTCGTGCATATTAGAAGAGTTGAATTTTTGACCTTTTTCGTTGACGAAAACGCATACTATTGGCTAATAATACCTTGATAATATTAAGCCTAGGCCACACTATCGTCCATATCGACGAAAATTAGAACGAAAACTTCCGCAACGAAAATTTTGAACGAAAACTCGACGAAAATTTCGTTTTCGTTCAATATTAGAAGGGTTGAACTTTTGACCTTTTTCGTCAACGAAAACGCATACTATTGGCTAAAAATATCTTGATAATATCAGACTTTGTTCTCAAACATGGCGGAGTGGCAAGAGGTTTTGATAAATCTGATGCGAGAAAAACCAATTTTGTATGATAAAAGTCACCCGGATTATAAGGACTCGAGGAACAAGAAAAGAAATCACTGGCAAGATGTTTTAGATGAATTTAATAAAATTACGGACTTGGCGTGGGATAGTGAGTATTATTGATAGTCCGCCGACAAACTTTTTATATCAAATCATTCATTTCCATTACTTTTTAATCATTTTAGCAGTAACTTTTTCTTAAGAAGAGGTAATCTTTTTCTTTTAGAGATCGCCATTGTTTCTAATCCGTCAAAAATGCCGCTTGCTTATTGGCCAATAATGTTTTGGCTTTGCAAACATGCTTGAAATTTTTCGTCGTGTCTGGCATGCATTTCGTGCACGAATTTTCGTTTCGTTTTCGTTTTCGTCAATATAGACGATAGTGTGGCCCAGGCTTTAGACTTTGTACTCAAACATGGCGGAGTGGCAAGAGGTTTTGATAAATCTGATGCGAGAAAAACCAATTTTGTATGATAAAAGTCACCCGGATTATAAGGACTCGAGGAACAAGAAAAGAAATCACTGTCAAGATGTTTTAGATGAATTTAATAAAATTACGGACTTGGCGTGGGATAGTGAGTATTATTGATAGTCCGCCGACACACTTTTTATATCAAATGATGCATTTCCATTACTTTTTAAACATTTTACAGTTGATACTATTATGAAAAAGTGGGCTAATCTGCGTGATTCATTCATGGAGTACAATAGACAGTACGATCTTAGAAGAGCTAGTGGTGCTGCTGCCACTGACGAGCCGAATTGGAAATGGTGGCGACACTTTGATTGGTATTTGTATTTTAACAGAAAAAGAAGGTTTGCTCTTTGTTTAATATCATTTCAATTTTTTAATTATACAGGAAGTTCATTTAATTTTTTAACTACAGCACGTCATCTAATCTACATAAACGAACAAATGCGCCTTCTCCAGTCAATAAATTGGATGTATTAAATACTCCAACAACCTTTCCTGCGATTACATCAGCTCAGTCATCAAACGAACCATCTACATCATCATCTCTTGTAAACTCACCCAGTTTACCCTCACCCATACCTTCACCATCACCATCAATAACAACACCAACTTCAACAGCTCCAACACTTGCACAAAAAACCAAGAAAGCATGCAAGTGGAAAAACTCCATGGATTATGATGAGATGCTTAAGTCCATTGACCAGCAGTTGAATCATGAGGACAAATGGCATGGGGTTCCCAGTTTCATGAGGTAGACGGACCAGTGCTGGAAGATTTATCTGTCCAAGAAAAGATGAAAACATGTTAATATTTTACGCAAGCTTGCCAGTGCAAGATTGGGGTGCCAATAAATTGGAATGAATTTCCAATTTTACTAGAACCATTCATCTTGATTTAATAAGACAAATCTTAAGTTAGCAAAATGATATTATTTGAAGTTTCTCTCTTCTTATTATTTAAAGAAACATAACATAAAAGCACAATACTTGGAATGACATACCTAATAAAAAAGCTTTTCCAAATTCTGATACTTCAAATGTGCCATCATCACTTTGACTACCAGCTTAACCAATATCTACCAAGGTGAATTTGTAGTTTGCATCACAAACAGCTAAGAGAACTATGCTTTCCCTTTGCTTATAGTTGTGAAATTCTGATCCACTGTGTTTTGGCTGAGAAGATTGGCGTCGACGGAAAGGAGAATGCTTAGGATGATGTGTGGTGTAACGTTGATGGATAGGATTCGAAGTGAAGAGATTAGAGAAAGAGTTGGTGTTGAGTGTATCGAGAATTGGGTAAGGCGCCAGCGTTTGAGGTGGTTTGGGCATGTGGAAAGGAGGGAAGAAAGTGCTGAAATTCGTAGAACGTTGCATATGAATGTTGATGGAGTCCGCAAACGAGGTAGACCGAGAAAGAGATGGATGGATGCTGTGAACAGTGATATGAAGGCGATGGGTATAACGAGAGATATGGCGAGAGATAGAGACGTTTGGCGTGGAAAAATTCATGGACCGGTCAACCCCCCTAGCGGGGATTAATACTGGCTGGTATATAAATGTTGTTTGTTTGTTTGTTTTGTTTGTGTTTTGGCTTCTGGATAGATACATGCTTCCCATCGATGCTTCCAATACAATTTGGAACATTCCACCTTTCAAAACTATTGTGTACACAAATTTTATACCCGTGTCATATTTTATTTTATATAGCATAGTTTGATTGTAATTAGTTAGATTTTAGGAGGGCCACTGGTTTACCAAATTAACTAAATTAACATTCCACACGTCAAGCACTTACCCTTTGGCAATTTCTTTGGAAATTTCGTGCACGAATTTTCGTTTCGTTTTCGTTTTCGTCAATATAGACGATAGTGTGGCCCAGGCTTTACTCCTCATTTGACTCTGAAGATGACTACCGCTAAGGTTGTCGAAACGTCAGTCAACAACAACAAAAACAGTTCTTCTCAGGACTATACCAACCTGGACGATCTACATTTACAAACATAATTCTATACGTCATCAGGCTAGGTCGTGTCAAGTTGCAAGAGAGAGCACACAATTGCGCAAGTTAGCTACTTGCATAGAATAGAGAATAATAGAAGGGCAACTCGCAGGTGAAACCATTGAGTTCTATAATAACTCAATGGTTATTATAGAACTCAATGGGTGAAACCAGAGCCCTCTATAGTATAAGAGTTGGGACAAACGGTCTGGGGCGAGCGCGGAGCCGCCATTTTGGTTCCTACTTGCAAAGTGAAACTATAATAATACTATTGGAAATTGGGTTTATATGCAAAAGAAGAAAGCAATTTAAGCTTATTCCATGGTAGTATCAAATATATTAGGAATCATAGCAAGCTCTTTGCGTTTTTTAACGATTTGCGGCAGACCTGATTTAATTTCATTGGTTTGAGCTTCGTTTGCGGTTTACTAGTTCGTGCTTCAAATTGATCGTGACCCATTGTAAGAAGTATTTTTCGTACGTGAACGTGTTTTCTCGGCTTATGTTCCGACTCTGTAACAAGTTTTCAAGATCTTTAAGCTTGGTGGCAAGCGGCAATGTTATCCTGGCATCAGTGTTATCAAATACTTGGACAAGACTTTGTTCGAAACTTCGAATCATAGTAATCATGCAGATTTGGTCCGGAGAGATTTGTGTTCAAGATTTGTAACAATTTAATGCGAGTGAGTGGTTTATGCCCCCCAATTTAATCCAAGCATGATATTTTTTATTCTGAAAGATGACAGACTTATTTACTTTTTAGTTATTGAAATATGCAATGATTTGACCAAGATGCATTTGGCCTTAAATGTTTTATTCCTTTATATGAAGTTATTTCGCCTTTATCACTTTATAAAGAATTAAAGTTTATTTCTAATAAAGTTTGTTATGGATTCTGCTGAAAATTTTGGTGAAGCATTACTTTAAAATGAATACATTATTTCTATAACATGAAACATTTCTGTTGTTGAAGAACAGTCTGTTTGCTATAAATGGTACTGTTTGTAGTCTTTTATACAGCATATGAGTCTGATCCAATCTTTAATTTAGCAAAGAGTTAAATTTATTGGTTGAGGAATGACAAAACTTCTATATGTGTTTAATGATCAAACAGGGGTGTGTTGGAGGGAGCTCAGCCCCGTTTGTTCAAATTCTATGCCTTGTATTGCCAGTGAAATATATATATCAAAAAGCTAGCAGCACCTAAATATATATCAGAAAGCCAGCAATATTTTAATATATATGAGAAAGGCAGCAACAGTTGTAATATACATTAAAAAGCCCAAATAGCTGAAATTATGGAGATATGCCTCTGTGATCTTATAAACCAAAACCTACAATTAAAATATCATCAACAAGTCTAGAAGAGAAGTAATGTTCTACTTTGAGCTACAGAAGTAGGTACATTTGTACAATTCAATACCAAAATATATTGTACTCAGCTGTTTCAGTGAATATCCTAATTATAATTACTTCATTTTAAATGATGAACTAAAATACAAAATACAACATGGAAAATCATAAGAGTTTCTGTGATTTGGTGTAGTTGTTTTAGTGTGGAAGTGGCTGAGAATTGAGAGGTTTGTAGATTGAGCAATTTCAGAACATAATGAGAAATCATCTTCGATTAAAAACAAGCTTTGGAGTAAGAAAACTATTGAAACTGCATCAGCACGAACTTTGCAATGTTATTTGGCCCAAAATGTTTCTCTACTTGAGTTAAGTTAATTCAACCTTATATCAAAAGCAGTTCAGCACAATCACCATACGCATTCAAATTTCGTAAGTTCGACGTAAAGCATTTCTTTCATTTTTTTCACAATCCTAAAATTTCAGATCTAGGGAAATGGCGGAAATTGATCAGGTGATCAATATTGCCCAATCAACGTAAGCTAAACGGATAACAATAGATGTCCCAACTCTTATACTATAGAGGGCTCTGGGTGAAACCATTGAGTTCTATAATAACTGGAGCGGCTATCTTTACTGGGGCGAGGTCGCCAATAAAATGGCGGCCAACGGACGTATTTCCGCTGAAATGATCGCTTTGCAGAAAAATAATATTCTCGACCTCCCCCGGATTGATGTTATTGATTTTCCCGCCTTCAGTTGAAAATTTCAAATTCAATTGCGAGCTGTATGATAAATAAACAATATTTTTCAAGGCCAAAACAATATTTTTTTCAAAAATGCCTAATCGATGTTCAATCGTAGAATGTCGTAATGTTGACAACACGAAGGACATCGCTTTTCACAGGTGAGTTATTCGCTTATATTGTTTGTTCCTTAAAGATTGAATCGGCATTTATACAATTGAAAGCCCCAAAATCTGTTAGGCCTTATGAAAAAAAATTCTCTTAAATACTGCATACACTGATGTTTTCATGTGTGTTTTTTTACAAAATTCAACAATTTTTTTTATTTATTTGTTGAATCAACGCATGAAGCAATAAATTTACTAATCTATTTCAAATAGTTTTCCTGACGAAGAAAAAAACCCTGCACTTTTTTCGGAATGGGTAAATAGTATAAAGAAATGGTCGCCTCTCACAGTTCTAACTAAGTGGAGCAGAGTTTGCTCAGATCATTTTTCCGATAGCATGAAGAGAACAACAGGTAACAAAGTGTGTCTAGAAGATAGTGCCGTGCCCACATTATTTCAACAGGTGCAGGATGTTGAATGCACGGAGAGCACTGAAAAGGTGAGTGGTCATTTTTCTATTCATGATCACTCATATTGTCTTAAGTCTCCCAGGAGTAAAAAATTTGTTTTTGTTTTGAAAACTGAAAATCACTCAAATAGTTCAATTGCATTCAAAACAGGTCAGGAAACTGAAGAGGAATATAACGAAAATGCAAGTGTGTATTTAGCCAAAAATGGTTATACTGTTTAATGATTGTTTTTTGCTTTATTACACAATACAACAATGCATCAAAATGTGCTAAAAATCTACTACTATTTGAGGTGGCTCCAATTCTGAAAACCAAAAAAATAAAGAAGGTAAACAGTGCTTTGTATACAATACTGTTCTCATTCATATATGATATATGCCCATCAGCTCTCTCATGATACTTTTGTCTTTTCACCAAGAGTCTTTTAACCTGAAATTTAATCATACACATAACAAATCAAACAGCACCTAACAAACGATTTGTTTATTTAGAAAGCAATGTCGAAGCAAAAAGTTCATTTAAAGGTGTGGTATAGTGTATACATGTACTAATTGCCTTTGATGCCTGGCTGATAATTGCCATTGCTTTTTAATGAAGGAAGATGTTATAATTGTGGCCACAAAGGCCACAAAATGAATGAATGCAAGAAAAGTAATGACAAAAATGAAATAACATTTCTTTCATGACCATTGTAATTGACAATTATATACTTTTTTTGTAGAGTTTAATCATTATGAGAAGAATTAAGTTTGATTGACCTAGTGATAAAACATCAGCTGATTAGATGGTTGAAAACTTCAAGTTGCATGCATTATTGTTAACAGAAATAAGCTAATGACACAAACAAATAAAAAGTGTCATGAACTACAACTTCCTTATGAATATTTAACAGGAAGACGTTGCTACATATGCAAAAGATTGGGCCATGTTGCCAAGCAGTGTAGGGAGGAAACCCACCAGTCAAAAAGCGTGCTGAACAATTGCAGCAACTGTACAATAAACCTAACAAGGAAATAAATTTTAAATATTTTTTTGACATTTAGTCATCTTTAGCAGAAATACAAAAGATTATTTATTGTTTTTCTCAAAACTTCATTAAAAGAAAATTCTTATTGCAAAATATGTTGTGTAACTTAGTCTGATTTCACTATATACATTACCACATGACATAAATATGACTATAGAGTACTCTTTAAGAGTTAAGTAAAGAACAAATTCTGAAGAAGAGATGAAATGTGAATCAAAACAAGACATGAACTGTAAAATTTCGATTTATTTCAAAGTCATCCACAGACAGAATGATAATCAAACCATGCATACATATATTAAGAAATGGTTTCTTAACACGGGACTTAAGGCTAGCAAAGAATTACAACTCTTCTCTTAAATTACAATACACTCATTCCACCAGTCTGGTCTCTTGTTTCAATTCATCCTTTTAAAATATGACAGCTCTTCCAACTCCGCTTTCGTAAATATCAAACTATTTAATTTCTATTGCTTGACTTTCGTTACTTAATTCATTCATTGTAAATATATATGTGTATGCATGGTTTGGATTATCATTCTGTCTGAGGATGACTTTGAAATAAATCGAAATTTTACAGTTCACTTCGCGTTTTGTTTTCATTCACATTTTTTTCATCTCGAGATATCTCGTTTCTTCAGAATTTGTTTTTTACTATCTTTTTTTAAATTGTCGGCTGGACATGGCTTTAAGACTTTCTCCTTACCTTGAAAAGAGACCACATCGTCCACATCGTCCACATCGTCCACATGTACATTAGACACGACGTTTAAAAACGTTCAAACGCAGCCAACAAAGAGTTCTTTCGTACATAGTTTATAGTTAATATCTTTCCTCGTAGGAGCCGATAACTGGAAAGCTAGGTTGACTCGCTGTTACGAATTGTAGGTTTTTATCGTGATTTTCATCAAAAAATTGCTTGCCGAATCCCAAATACACATATACATTTTCCTCACTCTTTCATCAGGAGGGAGTGGGAAATTGTGAAATTTTCGGAAAAGCGGTCAATTTCGGTAAATCTCAGCGGCAACGGACGAAATCCGCCATTTTTTTGGCGTCACCAGATATCTAAGGCCGCGCTTGAGATAGCCGCTCCAGTTATTATAGAACTCAATGGGTGAAACGCGTGGCATATTTTCAGTGCGCATGCGTTAGGTCCGCCATTACTCTGGGCAGTAACTTGACGCTGGCGTACTATAAAATAATATTGGAAAAGTGCGATTTCGGGATAATAATCGCCTAAAACGCAAACTGTTTTGGAAGATCATGGAATTTTGTGACAAAACGTGAAAGAAATAAGGTGAGAGACCATTATTTAATTGCTAGCAAGTCCGTAAAGGTTTTTTATTGGTAAAAATTACATGTTTCAATGTAGGGTGTTTATGTTACTGCTATAGAGTTGTCAGTATGTTAGGTGAATAGAAGTCCAGAAGTAAAATCTCTTGCGTTTTCGTCCTTTCTGAATTATAAATTTCAAACTTTTGAGATGTTATTATAAATATATTATTTAAAACACAAACTTGTCAGAGTTTTACTTGTACCAACGCTGTAATATTTCAGGTTGCAACTTGCCAACTTGCTGAACTATAAATCAAGTTAATCAACCAGCTAACCAAGTAATCCAATAATGATTCATGATGCTTGTGTGTGAATTATAACTGATAATAATTTGCAACATTCAGTTTCAAACCATGGAGGGTTTGTTTATCATTTTAAGCATGAGTGAAATGTTAATATGTTAATAGTTGGGCATTTTTAATACCAAATGTAGTTTTAGTGAGGTATACACTCTGTTTGCCTTATTTATAAATTTTGCCTTGTTGTGATTTGTGCTCTATTAAATTTATTACAAATAGTTATGATTTATTTTCTGATATTTTTTTCTAGTTGTTATTTTGGCATTCAGTTCTCAAGTGAGGATTATGTTGCAAGTGTCTTGTGTTATGTAGTTTTAGTATGTTGGATTAGATTTTAGTGGCTACTTGTTGCAGTAGCATGTTAAACTTTGTTTGTTAAATTCTATTACGTTTTTATTATGATTTGGTGGTTTTTGTAAGGGTGCTTTATTAAACATTGATCACAATTTCTTCAGCTTAATTGTTTAGTATGCCAATATTTATAGAGAAATTAGCATTTCTTCTGCACCCCCATCTAGCTTAAGCTAGGAGGGCTGCACACCCCTCTCTTATATCCATCTCTGAATAAAGTTGTCATTAAATTTTTTAAATGTAAATATGTGTACTGAATTGCTGTATTTTATTCTGTACATTCTATTGCATGAAATGCACACATTCTAAATTTAAATTGTTTTGTGTTAAAGATTTTTGTGCACCATGTAAATCTTTAATGACAAAGACATGTTTTTAGCCTTGTAACCATTAAGAAAATATAATATTTATTATATTGCTGTTATTTTGTACATATTTTTCACTCAGAAATGTCTTTATCAAAATAAGTTTCCAATGTTATTCAATTCTCAAATCGCCCAAAGCATTGTATATTGGGTTTGCTGTGGATCTTTCTCACGTGTGCGTCTCTACTGCAACTTTTTGATTCGAGATTATAAAGTTGTACTTTTTCCAAAGCTATTTTTAACTGTTTTCGAATTACAAGGAGCCAAATGTTGCTACCAACATAATGAGGGAAAATGCCATTGCATATGTGTCTGGTTTTCTTCTAATGAAGAGTTTCAAACTCCACTCTTGTCTGAAATGCACCAATGCTCTTTCATCTACAGAACTGGATGATAGCAGAAAGTTATTCTGCCACTTTAAAGCATTCGATGAAAAGAAATCTGATTTAGGAGGACTACAATCACCATCTTCTCCTTATCTGGAATACATCATTAAACTTGAAGACACATTTATTAAGACGTTTTCTGTCTACACAAAGAGCGATGGTGTTGGTCAAAGTATATTAGACACCGTCAAGTCCATACCAAAGGAATTTGATTGCTGTACGGAATTCCTATTTGAGTTCTTGCAGAAACTTTTTGTAAGAATGCGTATTTATTACGCCATAAAATTTGCGAACCGCATATTCGCAACAACTAAAAAGAAAGACAGAAAGTACATTAAAGTCACACACCTTTGAGGGCTTTGCGCATATAATTTTTTGTCCTTTATAAAACTAAATTGAAAACAAAAGCATTTTATATCACAATACTATATTTAACATGTAATACATCCAAGTTCATTTAAGTTCTCAGGACTTGTGAACCTCAGAACCTGTTCAAGCTTTCCGACTGAATTTCGCTATAAATATATTAAATAAATGCATTTGTTAAATGATATATACAAAATACTTGCCTTTTTATTTCAATTTCTTTCAAAAAGATGCCAAAAACAGCCAACAGCTCAAAAAATCTACATTTTAACCCACTTTACGGCTTCCACTCCATATATTTTCATAGTTAATGTTGTACACTTTACTGGCCAGAGTAATGGCGGCCGTCACATTTCCGGTATGCGCGAAACAAACTGCGCGCCACGCTTACATCAAAGGTTACCGACGCGAGTTGCCCTTCTATTATTCTCTATTCTATGCTACTTGTATACGTCTTGTCGTGAGGAAAGGAAAGAACGACTTTGAGAAAATTTTTTCTTTAATCCTACTCATCAAGGCGCAAATTTCTTGCTGAGAAACTTCAGAAGGACATTTCACTTCTAAGAGGTAAGTCAATAATAAATTTAGCCATATTTTGTTTGTTTGCGACTTTTTTGTAGCGTATATTATGTCTCAAGATAGACCAGAATCACCGGCTTCTGAGCACGCGGCCTCCTGTTCTTTTACAAACAGTGAAGCAAATTTTCTTTCAGTGCTCACAGCAATACAGGCAAGTATGTCACAAACCAATGACTATTTAAAGGGTATATTTGAGGAACGCAGGACCGTCGAGATACGGTCTCATGATAGCAACACGGCATACTTAGATGAAACCGAAAATGGCGCGCAACCAGCTCCAAAGAGAGCAAAGTACGCCCTAAAGTCTGGGCACAGTCTTGAGAGCAATGACCCGTTAATAATAGAGCAAAATGCTTTAAATGTTAATCATAAATTTAACAAATCTGACGAACAACCTGATGAGATTTCTGACACGTTGAGTATATTTGGGAGGCAGAATTTCAGGAGATACATGATGAGGTTGACAATGACAATCTTCTCGAAAATATAGCTCAAGTTTTGTCTTCTAAATAGCAAACTGGGCCTCCTATTACAGCGTCTCTCGCGAAATTTGGATTAATTCCAAACTTGCAGATGTAATCTATACAAATTTACTGCTTTCCCCAATGGACTCTTTTCTTGCCCTAAGAAAGTTCACTTAACTTTTCAAACCCGTACTAACTTCGCTACGGATGAAAGGGCACATTGTTTTAGTTTATATTGATGGCTTATTTCTAATGGGTCGCACATATGACCGCTGTATTGATAATGTCGTTGAAACATTAATATTATTAGAGAAACTTGATTTTGTCATCCACCCTAGTAAGTTGGTATTTATTCCAACCCAATAAATAGTTTTTCTTGGTTTTCTAATCAATTCACAAACAATGACAGTACGACTTACAACTGAGAAAAAAGGCAAACTTATGTCCCTTACTACAACATTGCTGGCTTCTGAGGTAATTGACATAAGATCTGTTGCCCAAGTAATAGGCCATATGGTATCAAGTTTTCCTACCATAGAATATGGACCACTTTACTATCGCAAACTTGAAAGAGATAAAACCATAGCATAGTTAGGCTAAGCTTATGGAGACTGTGCCCCCCCTGCCTGTACGCTTAGTAGAATATATGAAATATTGGCATTGTGAAAAGGTCTTCTTGAATTAAAAAGGGCCTAAAATATTTATAGTACACCTTACTTTCACAATCCTGACTCCTATGCTTGTATAAAACTTCACACAATCTTATTGGAATTTTTATTTAATACATACGCTATAGGTACGCAAAGCAACAACAACCTATAACCTTTCTGTTAGGTTTTGATAAAGAAACATTAGCAGTGCTGTTTCTTTCAAGTTAAAATCTTTACCATCATTTGATTATGAGTTCTAAGCGGAAATATGGGGAGGCTCTCAGTGATGAAAACTCAGAACAAACTCAAAGAGCATTACCTGATAATCTCATGATGTCAAGTACGCAAATCCAACGCCATGATTTTATTCAAGGTAGGCTTGCTAAATATTATTTCGCTCTTTTGCAAATGTTATATTTGACAATTTTTCGGCATAAGATTTTTCTTTCAAAGTACGACACAAGTAAAAAATTTTTAATTTAAGAAAATATTTTAAAGTTTCAAAATTTTTAGTAATACAAAAGTTCAAAAATTGAAATGTGCAACTTGCTATGGCGTAGCCCGTCACCAAGTTTGGTCAATTGAAGTTAAATGATAATTACAGTGGTCAAAAAAGCCATTTATAAAATGTAAATACTATTTTGCTTAGGTAGAATTTACACAATCTTCTTGGAAAGTTTATTTTGTAAATACATTGAATACGCATTTCATAACAACAATGCTCAACACAGATATTTAAGCGAATGGTGTTTTTGTTAGATTTTGATAAAGATATGGACAGTAACGATTCTTCTCAGTTAAAGCCTTTACCATCATCTAAAGATGAATTTATGGCAGAATTATATGAGGTTATCGAAATGGATGATGAAAATTTAGAACAAAACCCCAGGGCGTTACTTCTTTATTTCCTAATTTCAAGTGTGGAAATTCAACGCCCTTTTCAATTTGCTATGATATTGCTTGTTGGAAGTACAGGATGTGGTAAATCATCTACAATAAATCATTTACTGGACACCGGAGATGGAATCCCAGTTGCTGAGACAAATAGTTATGTATCATCTACGAAAAAAACATCCGAGTATATCATTACTTTTGACGAACCGAAGTATGAAGTGAGTGATTTAGTTTTGAGTGTTATTGATACACCTGGCTTCAACGATGGCGTTGAACAAGATGTATGCAATTTTGTATCTGTGAAAAAATACTTTGAAACACATCCCAAATTTCCTTCAAAAACAAAGTTTTATCCAAATCTTGTGTTCATAGTTGACAAAGCCAATAATAATAGAATGGGAGTCAATAGCACACTTTCAAAATCCTTGAGAGGTGTCAAGATGTTGGATGTTGTTGACATCAGTCATCCCAATCTCGTCGTGATTTTAACACATGCTTGTTCTGTTGGTTACAAGAACGTGAGAAAGTGGCACGAGACGATGCAAGAAAAGATAAATTTTGTGTCAGATCTTGTTTTTAAAATTTTGGGAGTGAGGGCGCCAGTAGTATTGATAGAAAATGATCCTGATGATTATGGACTTGAAAAGGATGGAGATTTCACAATTCTTCCCAATGGTGAAAGACAACCTCTGAATTTATACAATGCTTGCCTTGGCCTACTAAAGGAAAGGAGAGATAAAGCAGATAAATTTGGCCACATGTTGTTGAATGCTGCATTTACACGAAAGAAAAAGGATCGACCAACGAATGGTTATGAAGTTAAAGCCAAAATTGCTGGTGAAGAGCCATTATCAGATGTGGAGTCGAAACTTGTAAAAGATTTTAGCGAAGCTGCAAGAGGAGGTAGGCTTTGCAAAAATTCTTTCACACTTGCGATAATACGTTTTTCTGGGAGAGCGATATTTTAAGCCTGTTTTCCACAAGCCACGTATCGTAACGTATCGTAGCAAAACGTAACACGGCGCATGCGTGCTAGTGTATTTGATGGCTAATAGGCGTATCACAATTTTAATACGCGTATTAAAAAACAAGTTCGCGTATTGTCAACTTTTTTCGTACGAATCTGTAATACGGATATATTCAACCAATCATAGTCGTTCATTTCACGACAAAACAAAATTCATGCTTTCAAAATGGCGTCGCTCGAGGAGCCGTGCATCGAGTTATTTCAAGAAGGGACAGAGGATTCATTAAATAAATCAGATATCAATTTGCAAGATGCTTCGTTTCTGTCAAATTTAATTGAGGAAATACGTAAATATCCTTGCATATGGAATGTTTCTTTAAAAAGTCACAAAGAAAGACCAAAAAAAACTGAAGCCTGGCGTAGGATTTCTACAGCATTGAATGCACCTGGTAAGTTATTCACGAACGAGCTTATACATGATAATGCCATAAGGCAATAAACCCGATAATGAACTTTTCTTGTCGCACAGTTCTTATTATATTCAGTAGTTCTTTTGTTGAAGTAAATATTATAAACTATACTGGCAATTAAAATAACTGCTCACCTACATGTAATATATTAATAGGTTAACATTTGGAAGAAGTGCCAAAACATTACATATAATCATATAGTCACTCAATAAAAAAGAATCGTACATCTAATAAATAGTGGATCCTCCTTTTGTTTTAAATACAGCTTTGCATAACCTTGATAAAAATTGAGCAGTTCTATTTGACTGCCTGTGCATTAATGTTCTTGCTACTACTTTAAACAGCAATCATATTGTTTACAACAACTATTGATATTATATTTGTTAATTAACTAGTTAATATTGTATTCAAAATTCTATTTGGCTGTAAAATTTACAAACATTGGTACTCTACAATCTACATGTGTATAGGTTATAGTATAACATTAAATTTGAAACAGTAAAATTTGTGAGCAGTTTATTTATGAATATTTTACTTTCAATGTAGAAAGTGCATTGAACAAAGAATTTGACAGACTGAAAGATAACTATCGTCGATGCATTCGCAAAAGAGAGCAATTAACTTGTTCTGGAAGTGGCTCTACAAAAAAATTGCCCACCTGTGATTATTTTGTGGAGCTATCATTCTTAAGGGATGTAGTAAGTGGGCGGAAAACTGAAAGCAATGTTGAATATGAAATCATTGATCCTGTGAAGGTTTCTCAATCAAGTAGTTTGTCATTGGATAATCAATCAAGTGACCAGGTTTTTGAACCCAAAACCAGTCAGAAAGCACGCAAGCGAAGATCAGACCAAATTGATGACCTCTTAGCCATCAGTCTTGCTAATGATTTATCCAATGTTAGTAAAACTGGTAGTTGTGAGACAAACAATCAACAAGATGAGGATACACTATTTTGCTTAAGCTTAGTGTCTAGTTTCAAAGGGATGAAGGGAAAAACTAAACAAATGGCTAAGATAAAAGTGCTACAGGTTCTATTTGAGTTAGAAGAAGATGAATGAAATTCATTAGCATCACTGACAAATGTATTACAGAACATTCAATTTGCTTTTTTATTTAAAGTTTGTTGTAACAAGTTATTTTAAGTTTTTGTTTGTGTCTTATAATATATTGATTTGTTCGAACATGTTTAATAATAAGTCTGCCTTATTAGTTATTTTTGTCAAAACAATTTTCAGTGGCATGAACAGATTCCCACTGCCATATAACTTGCCCCTCGTTTGACATAAAATACTTTTTGAAAGCTTCTCTAACTTTTTTTGGCATTACGAGAGTAGTTGTTTGATCCATCTCTATTAATTGATTGCAAGCCTTTGTCGCCTTGCGTTATTTCTCTCCACCGCCCTGGTTGTGTGCCATGTTTTGTATTTTTGTCAATTAGTTCCATGCGAAAATAACTCTCTCCATGAGAGCATGCACCTTCCCTCATGAGATAATTATGAAGGACCACTGCAGCTTGGGTTATCCTGACAACCATTTCAACTCTAGCATGTATTGCACGTCGAAAAATCCTGAAGCGTGCAGCTAGGATCCCAAAGGCATTTTCTATTGTCCGTCTTGCTCGTGACAACCTGTAATTGAACACTCTTTCTGCAATACCTAGAACTTCTCTTGGGTAGGATTTCATTATGTGATGTTGCAGTTGAAAAGCCTCATCTGCTACCATAACATAAGGGCATTCTTCCTGGAAACCAGGCAATGATTTTTCACATGGAAAATTCAAACTGTTGTTTTTCACAGCTTCTCCAATTTTGCTGTAAGAAAATATACCACCATCGCTATTTCTTCCAGCGTCACCTATGTCGACCAGAGTGAATTCGTAGTTGGCGTTGCAAATGGCCATCAACACAATTGAATGATTTTTTTTGTAGTTAAAAAACATTGAACCGGAATTTGCAGGGGCCTGCATGACAACATGCTTTCCGTCCAACGCTCCAAGGCAGTGGGGAAAATTCCATTTTATTTCAAATTCTTCAGCCAATTTAATCCATTCGGACTCAGTTGTAGGTGGCTTTATAAATTTTGCAAGAACAATCCACAGTGCTCTGCAAGTTTTAAAAATGATTCTTCCCACTGTTGTTGGACTCATTCGATAGTTCATAGCTATGGTTGTTTGACAGTCTCCGGTTGCTAAATATCTCATCGTCACGCAAAGCATCTCAGTTGGTCCAATGCAATCTCTAGACACGCAGTTTTTTTTATTTTGGGGGCGACCATAAGTAATAATTCCTCAAATTTGGAAGCGTTCATTCGAAAATACCTGAAAAATAATTCATCATCGAACAAACGTAAATCCTGCACCAAAAGATAAAATTCTCCTTTAGTTTTTCTTTCTTGATAAAGCTTTCGAATCCAATATGATTTTTTATATTTATCTTTCTTCATTCGTCTACTTAAAAGTAAAAGCAAGCGAGTTTTTTTGCTGAGAGGACCCATAACAATAATATTTGTATTGTTTTTGAACTTTGGCGGGAAAATAGTACTACGCGTTGTGCCGAACAATGGAAAACGTTCAACGTATCTGTACTTGCTACGATACGTTACGTTTTGCTACGATACGTTACGATACGTGGCTCGTGGAAAACAGGCTTTACTGTAGAGTACTACGTATCTAAGTATGAACTTAACTTAAAAAAAATTCTCAAGTCTCAAGATTTCTTATAATACAAGAATACGTTCCATTAAAATGTGCAAGACATTGTTGTCGTTAGGAATTATTGTTTTAAGAAACTGTGATTTTTATTTTGAGAATTTTATTCATGAAATGAAAATATATTTTTGTGTAGAGAAAATAACTTACTCCTTGTTGTACATAAACAATAGAAATGTTTAAACCTATGTTTGGTAGCTTTTTTGGAAAGTCGTTCATACAGTAAATCTTTATTCAAAGGTTTTACCAACTCACTTGTCTCGCGTGCAATGCAGTATATTTCTGAGAGCAACATTCAAGAAGAGTCTGTGAAAAAGGAACTTTTAGAGCTGGTGGTAACTATGAATTCGATGGGATTATCGGATGATTCAAAATTGAGGAGTATAACAATTAGTGAAATCAACTGTCGTCATGGCGACGATATCACTGAACATGGCCTTCAAATGTTGGAAAAGAAATTTGGGATAAAATGTGCCGAATCATTTTTTCCAGGTATTTTTAAATGGCTTTATCTTAAATTGTTCTAATAGTTAATTCTAAACAATTATAGCTAATCCAATTCATAGCATATTATTGAATACTTATTTCATCGTATGTATGGTGAATAAACGTAATTTCTAAAAACTTGATGTTTGTTTATTGTAGCTGAATTTATTGGTCAGGGATACAACCTTGTCACGGACGACTTTGTTTCATCTCGGGTTTTGAAACTATCCCTCGTTGATAATAAACAATTTGGCTTTAAAGTTCCTGAATGTGCACAAATATTAAAGTCAAATGAAACTGTAGTTTACGAAATACATCGACATAGGAATGAAAGTTCCATTAAATCGCGCCTTCAAGCCTTGGGCCTAAATGTGAGCATGACACCAAGTATATTGAAGATGGTTCCAGAACTTGATGTAAATCTCAGCTTGGAACGTCAGAAAAATGACTTGGGATCTTCAACCAATACGAAGATGTTGATAGAAGTGAGATTAGCAATGATAAATGTTGGGGAATTTGATTCGACGAAAATTAGTTTTGATGATGTGTTTAGATCTGCTGTGAAAAATCTACCAAGTAAAAATATCAAGAACGAGAAAGTGATAAAGGAGTTCATGGATTTTTTCAATAGATTCGGTCAGTTTATCGTCACGTCTGCTTATGTTGGGGGATCAGTTGAATTTGACAGTCGTGATGATAAGATGGAATTGTCAAACCAAGATGGAAACAGTGTTGACGGTGGTATTGGTGCATGTAATGAAAAAATTTCTGGTGAACGACAAGCATCAGCGAACCAAGAAAGAAAAATTTTTGAAAACTACATCCACTAAATGGAAAGGAGGGCGTTTAGACTTGCAAGATAAAGAAAAAATCTCGGAATGGAAGACATCTGTTGCTAATGATCCAGTGTTTTTAAAAAATATACTAACATTGCAGCCCATTTATACGTTAGTTGGAATGATTGATGAAAAGAAAGGAAATCTTACCAAGGAAGCTTTCCAAAAAATTTTTCAGATTGACATTTCAAATCTTTACAATAATGATTTGTCAAAAGCAAATTTGCAAATTGAAACCAAAGAAAAGCATCAAGAAAAAAGAAATTCCAATACAAGGTTGGAGTGGACGAGAGAGCCGGATAGTAGTGGATTTTGGAAAATATATGATATTCTTAAAAGGCTTTTATCATTTATTGATGTTTTCGATGTCTACGGGACATTGGTTCGATTCATTTCATAAGTCAATCTTTTTTATTTGAAGCATCACTATTGCACTTCTGCGTTGATCTCGTTTGTCTATTTACGTATCATGTATCACATGCATACCATTATAAATTAACCTGTATTTGACTATTTCATTCATTCTGCAATGAAGATAGCATAAGTATACCAAAACATGTACGCATTAAAAACTTTATAAAAAATATGGTTGGTTTTATATTGCGTAATATCACTTTCTGCTTAGCTTAAACACCCAGGATTAGTAGTTTTAGAATGAGAAGGAATTCAGAACATATGTAAAAGCAGCAATTAAATGTTGAAAAGTTTAAGTACATAGTTACCTTACTAGATTTTTTGTAATTTTTCCCATTGTGCATTTTGGTGCTCTTACAGGTTTGGCTCTAAACACCATGATCTGCTTTTTTCTGTCACTACTTTCCTTGCCAGTAGAACGTGTTCTATTGTAAAGGCAAAATTACCTTGAGGAGTTGAGGCAAATAAAGCGACTTTTTAGCCTCCCAACTAGTGATTTGTTTAGATACAGATTTTCTCAGTTTGTCACTTATCCAGACCATCAAAAGTATAGTCAAACATGGACTTTCTTTTTTTATTCATCCTTTAGTCAGCAAGTATTTTTGGAAATGCAAATGTTATTTAATACACAATCATCCAATTTAAACCGTCAAGAGGTATTTCGCTGCGTTAAAATCATCTGCGCTAAACGAAACAGTAACTAGAAATCTTTTGTGAGTTGTTCTTGTCATTGAAACAAATCTCTCGGAAGCCCACCTGTGAAGTTAAATGTGCATTTGATTATGTTTGAAAACGTTTTTGCTTTGCAATTAATTTCGTTTTCCAATTATCGAATAGTGATGAAGCCATGAAGGGTCGCAATAGTTTGTTAGTCATGCATAGGGAGCTTGTGGTGTTTTCCCAATTACTTTTTTAGATGTTACTGTTTTATCTCAGAAAATGCCAATTTGTGAATTAGAGACTTTAAAGTTGAATATATATCATAAACAATCGTTCGTGAAGTCGTGATCATTTATCGACAAAATTCTATTAAAATCTTATCGAAGAACCTGCACCTCTAAGAGTAAACATAAATTCAGCACCCGCAAATCACATTCGCATGAAATGTCTTTGTTTTTTTTTGTGGTTGGTGCGCCATGATGGAATGGACAGTTTCAGCGCCTTGTTACAGTTGTAAAACAGGCGATGTACAAGACAACTGGAGGGGCACCAACCTGAAATTGGAAGAACTGTATAAAGTAAACATTGGAGTGCAAATCAATCGAAGACCATTCAGTTATGTTGAGGATGATGAGATTGAACTACCCGTGTTGACATCTCACCTCGTTTTGTTCCTGAGATGATTAGATCCAATCATCTACCAGGACAAATTCGGTTACATGAAGTATAGCATGCCGTAGATTAGCGTTTTGTATATGCGATGACGTTTTCATCAAGGTTTCATGTGTATCGCACATAATTCAGTTTATCTTGCTTCACGTAACGTTTAGTTTCAATTGTTATTTCTAATCAAGTTATAAAACTTCCAAATTAGTGAAGGAATTGAATTTAATAAAACTTCCAAATTCTTGAAAGCATTGAATTAAACAAAACTAGTATGTCTCCTTAATGTGTGTTAGTTAAATATAACTTGTGAATAGATTTTTTTTAAAAAGTTAGAGTTTTTGCTGCTTTTTTAACCTCTCTTTGCTTGCTGTTACCTTATGTGCTCAGACAAGCAAAAAGGGCAAAAATTTTTCATGAGAAAGATTAGAAAAATCATTGAGTTTTGTGTAAGTTGTATGGATACTACAGTACTGTAAATATTTAACACATTTGCAGTGATGGGCGATATTAAAATATCGATTCGATAACGATTACGACAATACATGGTCTAGTTTATATCATAAGAAAACCGAATTGCTTTTATCGGTTTCTAATCATTTTACAGAAAGCGGAACGTTCAGTGCGGAGGGTAAGGATTAAACTGTGGAAATCGTGAATTCAATCCCTTCCTCCTTGAAAGGCAGATTGCTATCTTTGTAAGTTTAGCCAATTTAGGACCAACAGATTTCTTTCAGTTAAAAATAATGATGAGAGAGAGAAAGAGGGGGGTGGGTCCCCAGGCTCCGCAGTACCTACAATACCTTGCACAAACCATGAGTACATGTTCTACTCTACCCAAGCTTCAGCCCGTAACAAGGAAATACTTGAAGCTACTACAGGAGAATTATTAGTCAACTTCAACCGCAACGTGCACCATTCATTAGGTACACCACACATCCCTATGAGCGGATCACAACTTTCTGGTGGAAATTCATGTAAGGAAAGATAAATGACCACATTAATGTCAAAGGAAATCCCTTGCATAACAGGAAAATCAGTTTCCTTGAACAATCATTACAACCATGTATCTTGCGTCAATGGAGAATGGACACTAGTAGAATTATCCTTCTGAATAATGGAATCTTGCGTCAATGGAAAATAGACAGTTGAAATATCGTTCTGAACGATGGTATCTTGCGCCAATGGAGAATGGACACTAGTTGAAATATCCTTCTGAATAATGGAATCTTGTGTCAATGGAGAATGGACACTAGTTGAAATATCCATTTGAATAATGGTATCTTGCGTCAATGGAGAATGATCAGTTGAAATATCGTTCTGAACGATGGTATCTTGCGTCAATGGAGAATAGAAACTAGTCGAAATTTCCTTCTGAATGATGACGTTGGGCGTTGAATAAACGCGATATTGAAGACACATTGGTAAATCCTAAAACAACAGTTCAAGAATTAAATAAATTGCATAGGAGATCAAAATTCATTCCATGAAAGAGCACAGAATTTCAGCACCTTTAATCCCCAATTCACGACATACAATTGCTTCAATGAGCTTGCACTATTAACCAATTTATTTTCACAGAAAAACTGCAACTGGAAGAGAAGGAATCATTTGAAGAGAACAAGTAGGACAACCGGCTATGATAACTAGCTGGGGGTACGCCCTTTTCAAAAACTTGATCAGATTCAAAGCAATTGAAGAATTTTGATAATATTCATCGACTTAATCAAGATGACTTTCTCCTTATAACAAAGAATTCGTATTGAACAATTAATTAAACATCAAGCAGGGTTTGCACAAGTTGACAGGGAACGCCGAAGATCAATGGTTCAGGAGGCTCACAGGATATTTGAATACATGCATGCTCTACTTTAAAAGTTTCTATTGAAATCAATGGTGATTATGGATTGTAAACAACAATAAAACGCGCGTGCACTGATCGGCAATAGCATGTGCAAACCGTTCTTAGCTCAATCAATTTAATCAAATAGAACTTGCAAATCAATCATGAATACATGTTAGAAGAAAAATTAAAACGTTTGTTTTAAATTTGTCTGTTTCGCATTATTGTAGTTTTATAAAAGAAATAAAAGATGTTTTTCGTGTTTGCACTGGCTTATGAAAATCTCGAAAGAACTATAGAGCAGGTGCAACCCTTGACCTTCGGTCTCGGGCTTACACTGATCTGCTCTCGATAATTTCCACAGGTCTCCACGGTTTGATTAGTCCTGTGCAAACACAGAAAAAATCTTTTATTACTTGATTATAACATGAACATGAGCCCCAAATCATCAATGTTCCTCAGTCCCTCTCTTTTATTACTTGACTACAGCATTTGAACATATAAATATAGGCCGCAAATCGTCAATCTTTCCCAGCCACCTTTTTTATTACTTGATTACAACACATGAACATATGAATATGGTTAGGTGATATTGGTCCCAAATCGTCAATCATCCACGGTCCCTGATACTAGTTCACAATGACATAACAATATCATCAACACCACAAAAATAAAGACAATACGGTGTATATTGAAAAGACAACCTTCAAAAATCGATGTATTGTGATGATGTGAATGCAGGGTCATTATGCTCACGGTGCATAAAATATTATCGACTACGTGGAAATATTACGTATCTTTGTTATTATTACAAAAGCTTTTTCGCTGCTGGTAAATTTCCGAAGATCTTTTTTTACACACCCTGTATACATAGGCACCATTTTGAATGTTCGTGTATGAAATTACCTCTTGTTTTTCCATCAGGTTGATCTTTTTTTTAAACAGTTTTTCAAGGTGCAATATAAGCACACGATGCGAGCAACGTAAATACTGTCTTGATATTACCTTTTTCAAAAAAAAAGACAAAAATCAAGCACCATGAAAACGAGGTTTTTGTAGTCATAACGGGTTAATGACACAAGTGTAATGTGAGACAACTAATGCAAATAAAGTTTTGTCCATTTGGAGTTATCTATAAGTCCATAACTTTGAAACCAAATTCACGACTCAAAGGAAAACAATCGTTGTCTATTATCAGGGAAGTAAAAGTTGGGGGGGGGGTGCACTTGGGGACGGATCCACAGTTCTTACAGCTCAGGGGGCCATCCCCTTTCTACTTCAGAAATCAGAAAGTTATTAATCACAGTTTAATCTGCCGAGCTTGGTCACGTATAGTTCGGTATGAATGTAAGTGTAAGCCTTTTCCCAAAAGTACTAAAGGTAATATTCATACAGAGGTTATGACTTAAAATAACTTATGAATGACGTAATAGTCAACTCAGTGAAATGCTGTGATCACCCATGACGTCATGTATGACTTTTTAAGATTTCGCTGCTTCATCCTTGTCAGACCTTTCCCACGGTAAAACTATTTCTACAGCACTGGCCATAATCAATATAAGTTAATCTTTACTATCCACCAAGTAGTTTGGCCTACTTCGCAAAAAGTCTGCCCAAATAAGATTATGTAATCGCACAACATGCTTTTAATTTCTGCATAATTACCTATGATTTGAAGACAAAATGATCCTATGTATTTTTATAAATTAGCCATTAAAGCGAACATCTTACTACGTACGTGTTTGTAGAGATTTTCCAAAGGTCTAAAAAAAATAAAACGAATCGTGTACGACTTCAAAAAATTGCACAAACAAACGAAATTGCACAACATCATACCCGTCGTACGGCTTGAAGTAAATTGAAATCAACTCATCATCGCGGTAATTGTTCATGTATTCTGTGACGTCGTTCACCAAAGATGAGTGCGATTCCTCGTCGCTTTCGCATTCTAAAACAAAATTACGATGAGGGAGGAGGGGTTAGGAGAGTTGTGGGCTTGTGAAGGGGCTCAGCCGCAGCACTATAACCCCCAAATTTCAACAGCAAATGCAGCCAGCAAAAACCTCAGTTTCATAGTACGCTGAATGTTGTGTTCGGTATAGGCACTGGTAAGGATAGTATTGTCAGAGAGAGTACTTAGCATCTTATAATTCGTGTTTTTCTCCGGGGGGGGGGACCGTACTGAAACCCTAACACTTACTACATCACCGTATTTTGACAGAACTGTGAACATTGAGAGTTTGAACTGCGTGAGCTGACTGTCAGACGAACCTTCAGATTCGATATCTTTCTTTGGCACTGGCATTCCTCTTTCTTCGTAAAATTCATGTTCCCTCACTTCTTCATCTGCAAGATATAGTCAAATTACGTGACGTGAATAACCCAAGTTGACTTAAAACATTTTGCACTGCTCAGAAAAAAAAAACGACTCACTAATCTGGACATTCCACGAAAGGAAAAAAAACAGAGCAAGCTTCTCAGTTTTTCCTTCGGAAGAATGTCGTTCAAGAATGAAAATAAAACATAAGCATACCTTCAAATAAGTTTGGAACAACTTTATAAACAATATCTTGCATCGTCCTATCAAGCCTACAAATAAACAACTCTCAGTCTTACAATATAGGGACCAAAAACCACTGTAGCTAATGACACATTATTAAATGACACGCAAGCGATACAAGGCCATCACATGGTAAAATAAAGAAAGACAAGAGCGTATTTGGAACACTAAAAAGTAAACTTTAATATTATACATTAATTTTACACCACAGGTTAAAGATTGCACATTGGATGCAGCTTTGGATAGCAGATAATACATAAACGTTTGTTTCCAACGCTATCAACAGAGCAACATATATAGCAAATGTAGTTTACAGTTCATGTCTGAGCTGCCGATGTCCATAAACCAAAAACTGGATTCTGGATGCAATTATGAGAAATTAATAGATCGGACGCCATTTTGCTACAATTCAAATGTTTGAACTTGTATATTTAATCCTGTCTTTACGGAGAAAATTATCTAATTTCTTCATTATTACCTGACGTTGAGTAACGGTTGAGTTTCGTGGACTTTCATGTTGCACGTCGGGCAGTATTTGCTGAGTTGCAGGTATTTGATGATGCAACGTCTGCAAACTGGTAAGAAAAATCAGTTTTAATTGAATGTATAGCAAACTATTAACTTGAGCTTGCTTTGCTTGAAATAGTAATGAATGAACAACTTATTTCAACAAGTTAACCATTGTCAACAAGAATTGATTTCCAATTTTACAAGAAAAGTATAAGTTTACATACTATAGCGCGGACTAATTTCCATCAAATAAAGTACGATAAAGCTGGTAAAATAGTTACATTTGCAATCATAAAATTATTTTGGGAAAGTGAGAAGCGATTTTCTCTTGAAAAGACATTGGAGAACTGGACTCTTTAAAGGCTTATTTCCATTCAGTGCAAATTGTCGCGCGATCGACTTTTTGCGATCACTTTCTTTTGAATTGTATGCAATGTGAAACTGTTACCGTCGACAACTTGCAGTTGAAAAGAAAATGATCTCAAAAAGTCGATCGCGCGACAACTTGCACTGAATAGAAATCAGCCTTATGATCAATTAATAATGAGTTCCACGTTAGTGGCCATTTAAACGCGAGGCTTTTTTCCTTGCTCTTTGTTCGTGGTCAGGATAAGCACATTTATACAGACTTGTATAAACTGCAGTACGTGATTTAGGACCCACAACCTGTTTAACAGTTTGAGCATAAGTTTTGCTTTACTTTTGATGTTGAAATAAAGAAAATTCGTGTCGGAAACAAACCGGGAAGGGATAAACACACGAAGATGGCTGCTGAACGTTTGTTCAATGTGGTAAAAGACCACAACAATCCAGTTTTACAGGAAATGTTGGATGCGTCCAACACGTTTTACAGGAAATGTTGGATGCGTCCAACACGTATTACAGGAAATGTTGGATGCGTCCAACACGTTTTACAGGAAATGTTGGATGCGTGCAACACGTATTACAGGAAATGTTGGATGCGTGCAACACGTTTTACAGGAAATGTTGGATGCGTCCAACACGTTTTACAGGAAATGTTGGATGCGTCCAACACGTCTTACAGGAAATGTTGGATGCGTCCAACACGTTTTACAGGAAATGTGGGATACGTCCAACACGTATACTGTTACCAAAAAGAGTATTTGCTGCTTTCCAACACGATCGAGAAGAACTTGACTCCTCCCGCTTGTGACGTCATCACCACAAACTCGTTTAACAGCTGACGTTTATATTGTGAAGGTTTTTTTGCCGGATCTTCGTTTACTTGCTTCTGTTGACGGAGTGATATGAAAATTGAGTTTCATAAATGTTAATCTTCGATATTCTTTTACATTCGAAATTCAAAAAGAATATTGAAGATTAATTAACATTTATAAAACTCAACCTACATACGTCTTGTTCGCAACGTTTGAAATCGTGAACATTTTCTTGCTGTACATCTTCGTTTATCTGCTGCCTTTGACGGCGTGATTTAAAAAGGAATATTGAAGATGGGCTAATTGACGCATTCTTTGCATTTGCAACAAGTCTTCCGTCAATTGAACGTGTTGTTGAATTGCTAAGACATCGTCCGATGTCGGAGTTGTTTCTTGCCGAGCAGTGTGGAAAAGTTAATGCCGAAGATGCAGTATTGACGACGATATTTCAGAACACATCAAACCGCCTTCACCAGCACGAAATTCTTTCATCCATCTCAATTTTTTCTTACCTTCGTCATGTTATAATTGTATGATTATTTTTATGACATCTTTTTTGTTTAGCATAAGAACATTATTTATTCCCAAGAGATAAAGACAACTGAACTATTTAATCATGATATTATAGATAGTATAAAAGCACTGTATATATAACTTTTTCTTTCGCATTAAAGCGTGTCAGTTAAAAACGTTAATTTCTTGCTAAAATATCAACACGTCACGTGCGCGTTCAAGTCGAATGCGAGAACCAACAGAACATCCCACAACGCAAAGATCATCAGTCAAACGTACCCGGAATAGCGTTCTTTATCGTATAAAAGAAATGTGCCGATTTCAACGAAAATATCCTGCTTTCAAAAAGCTCCCAATAGCTTGCTTAACCTGGGCCTATTGCCCATGCATCCATACTAGTCAGGTTGGCCTGGCAATACCTAACTTGTATTCAGGGGAAAAACTAGAACATGAATTGAGTCAGGTCTGAAATTGAAATTTTTTTCAAGTATCCACAATGATGCCAGGCTGTTAGAATTTGATATCCCTCGCTATCATCTAGTATCCCAAATATGAATATCCCCACATAACTTGTGGGCTTTTTTTGTTCCAGGGTCAGATACAACATAACTCTTGGCTTAATTCCAGGGTGACCACACATGAGTAATACATTATCATAAATGCGTTGATCCATGCAGCATACCACCCCCCCTGTTTTAAATGTTGTAATTATTTAATCAATTAAGCTCACCAGAGCGGATCTAGTAATAAAAATTACCAAGTCTTGTAGCATTGTTACTCTCAGAGCATAATGGAAACTGAACCTTTAAGAATATTCCCCCCTCCCCCTAATTAGAGTTCTACTTGCACCCACAGGCGTCAATCCAATTTTAATCTAGGTGACCATATTCATATAATCATGCAAGGATGATCTCTTTTGAAAGTGAAATTCTTCTATTGTTTTGAAAAGAAATTAGCCAGGCATAGCAGAATATATGAATATGGTCCCACACCCTCAATTAACATAGGATTGACGACAATTGTTTTGTCTCCACTTGCATTAACTATACGATAATAAAAAACATCAGCAAAAATCAACGCAAACTTAAAGTTATAATTACAAACAAAGAAATCGACTCATTGGAGCAGATTCAACGATTATGTACAAACATTGCAAAATACACAGTTTAACCTTACATGTATGTAAGCATTCTGTTATCGTTGTAGCATCAATGAAGTATCCGGCACAAAGGCTGCACACAATGTGAGGATTAATCTCTCGGATTTTAACAACTTTCTACAAAAAAATATGTATTCGTTGCCATTGACTGAAAATTTTAACTTTCTAAATAAAATTTCATCGAGTATTAGAAGTCAGGACTTATTTTCCTTCTGATGCATGCCATTGCTTAGAATTGTGGCTTTGTTGAATGTGAAAGATTGAGCAACTGATAGGGAAATTTGTGCATAAGTTATTGAAGTTTATAAGTATGCGTCATAAAGTGAAAAGACAAGTGAAAGCAAAATTGTTATCAAATAAGGTTTGAACACTTTCATTTTAATTTCGTGATGAGGAAACAGCTACATCTGTTCAAAGCGACCGTAAATCTAACAATATTATAAACTTTATAAAACATTTAAAATATATATGATAGTTACATCCATCTTTGCTTTAAGAGATTTGACGAAATATTTGACGAAGTATTGGAGCAACCATTCCACGGAGCCTATCCACCATCCATCTTGAATTTATAATATGTTGGAGGTGTCACGTGAGAAAAAGCAAGCGCCTAAAATATAAAAAAAGCGCCTAAATAAAAGCTGAAACTCTCGTGATTTTTTGAAACTGATGAATTGTTTCGAGTCCTATGGCGAAATACACTGTTTGTTCACAATTTGCCAACGACAATATGCAGTTGAAGTTGTGAAACCGAAGTATGGAAAAGTAGATAAGTTCAGATGACTATATTTACTGTGATTTGCATTCGTATTCAAATTAAAAGCGCTTATGCAGATTATGAGCCTGATTTATGACTCATATCAATCAGCAGGTTTGACGCAAATCTTTGCTTTGTGCATGTTGTTATCTGTAATATTCAACCACCAAAAGGCCTTTGAATCAGACTTAAATAATATTGTGTTAAATATATATAACACAATGTGTTTAGAAACTTTTGTAAGTTAAATAACAAATTTTCTCAGATGGATGAATCAGAAGATAAATCATTTACGTCCTGTGAGGATTCTTTGACGTCTCCAATGAAAAATGACATGGTAGAACTTACCATAAAGATTCTTGGTCAGTTACACAAGGCTGGAGAAAATAAAGCCAAGAACTTAGATGCACTAAAGATACTATGTCAAATCACAGGAGATGTTTTGAAAGATGGTAGTCTGGAAGAGCAAAGTAATTAGATTTTGGTATTTAAGCACTTTTTGAACCTAGACAGAGATTTTGTGGCAGGGAAATCGTGCTAGTTTCAAAAACAACAAAACTTTTTCCTACAATAATATAGCTCAAAGAAATTTTATTTTCAAAACATGAACAAATGAGAATTGTTTTTGTTTTGAAATGCATACCTTAATGATCGGATGTTGATACATCTTTTATGAGACCATGATCTTAGCAAAAATTGGTTTATGACCTGTTTGACTGGCTGGTGTTGAAATTTCTTTGAAATTTGCCAATGAAGGAACAATTTTTTTCACTCGAGTCTTAATTGGGGAAGTCCAACATCACCAATGCTCACCCACACCAGTGGCAAATATAGGGTACCTCAAAATTGATTACTGCAGCGCAGTTTGGAATATATTTACATTTCTAAGGACCTAAGAGACAAGTTCACTGGTAAAATTATATTCTTTAGAAATTCAAAACCAATCATGCTTTTCTGAAAGTACTTTGAATTTAAAATTGAGCTGCAATAATTTATTTTGAGGTACCCTAGATCCGCCACTGACACACACCACACAACACTCTCGGGATACTCATGCTCCACACAAATTTCCCACTTGTCTTTGAACATTTTTCAAAATTTTTATATAGTACATCGCACATTTAAGGTAACTTTATCCTCCATGTAACATTTTACCCTTCTCTTTTATTCAAAGCGCACCATTTTGGTAAAACATTTTGGCTGCAAGATATAGAAACGCTTATGAAAAAATTTAAAGATTCAGTGGCCATTCAAGATGCATCTTGTCGATGTTTGACCATGCTTTTCCAAATTCATCCCTTTTTGTGCGAGTACGTTGGCTCAAAGAAAAGTGAAATACCTCTAGTGAGCGATATTTCTACAGCGTTATCTCGCCATTGTAACGAATCATCGCTAATGAAGAATGCTTGTGAGTTGCTTCATGTGATGCTGTGTAATGCTCCTTCACTAAAACAGGTAATGGCTGTGTTGAAGATCTGTATAATCGATTTTATTGTTGCTTTTTTCGTAAAATAACCCAAAACTGTCTTTGAGGAGTGAGATAAAAAAAAAAACAACAACGAGTGAGGACAACATAAGAGAAAAATGACTGAAAACAATGAAAGAGAACGAAAGAACAACGAGAGAGAACAGCAAGATGCAACTAGCACGCATCATATGAATTGACTCTTTCATGAATATCAATTGTTCATGTCGTGGAGATTAAATGCTTTTCAAAGTAGAATGCACTTGAATCTCCGCATGAATATATTCAGAAATTAATTAAAGTCGGGGTGGGGGACTTGGTGCATGTGTGTCCTTGCGGTGGCTACCTTTGTGGGGACGGTTGAATGCGGACACAGTAGTACAACGACTTTTATCATCTTCCCCTCAGCTAGTAAATTTAACTTCTTTCATTATGTCAATTCAGGAGTTTAACGACACGGATGTACACAAAAAAATTCTCCCAAACGTCTTTTCACAAGACGAGCTGGAGATCTTGAGCGTTTTGAGAGTTCTCATCGACATGTCGCGAGAGAATTTGCCCTTTAAGGAGAAACTGCTTCAAGAGGACGTGCTTTCATCCATGTCGCGTTTGTTTGTTTTGTTTCCACACAACTGCGAGGTGTTAAAAGAGGCTACTTCGCTTTTGGGAACATTAGCGCAGGATTATTCGTTGGTGGTCCATCAATGTATCGTAGAAAAAGTTCATTTGTCTTTATTGTTTATGCTAAAAGAAATGAAGGCGCGTGTTCCTCTTCTGAAAAAGATTATGATCACTATGGGTGAGTACACAATGGGATACGCTGTAGCATAGGGGGGAACCGGGGAAACTATGTTTAGGGAAATGTTATAGAACCAAATCCCCTGGATGTATAAATGCCGTGCGAAGGTGAGGCTGAATTTAACTGGAAGGCTACTTCCAGCCAAAATTAGTAGCCAGCAACCTAACTAGTCCCAATCTTTTCATGCCCGGGGATTTGTGCGCGGGATTTTACATGTTTGGGGGAAAATTTACGTGTTTGGGGGAAAATTTGGCTTGCTGCAAGTACAAGGTAGCTTTCCAGTTATATATTTAGTTCAGTGGGTGAAGCGCTGATGTGAGTCCATTAAGTTATTAGTAAACTGGGACCATAACTCGAATAGTTTTGTCCCGTGATTGGCTGAAGCCGACATACATCAAAGATTTCCTACCCCATGAAATTAAATATATTTTCTTGTGGTGTTTTGACTTTTTAGCGAATACCGTCGAAAAAATTTTTGCCGTTTTTTTTGGACAGTTTTCCTGCATTGTGTCATGCTTAGCTTTTATGTAGCAAGATATTTTCGAAGAGAGACATAATCGGCAAGAATCAAGGTTGATCCGACAAACTATTGTAATAATTTATAAAATACTAGTTTGTAATAGACGGAAAATGCTAAAAAATAGATAAGACGTTTCAATTCAATGAGTAAGGCAAGAACGCCATCTTAAAAGGTGGAAAAAAGCAAAATTCTCATTCAAAAAGAAGTTACTAGAAAGTTCAATCGATCCCTTTAAACATTTTGAAAACAAAACCTAGATTATCAACACTGCAACTGTATATCAACGTAGAAAAGCATATCGTCAATTTTGCCACCTTACAAGATGGCGGCTTGCCTCACTCTTACTGATCAGAGCGTTGTATAAGACACGTGTTGCTCTCTGCATATCGCGTTATAATCGTGATCATTGGGTACATATGGTCACGTGGGTATCTCGCCGCCATTTTTGTGCCAAAAGCGCAAATGATAACCATTTTTTAGACAAATTATAAAAAATGTTGACGATAATTTTATGTTGCGTTATAAGAGTGCCAATCAAAGCGATGAAAAAATAGAAATTTACATGCCTCCTTGTGGCAAAAACAATTTTGGACGATTGCGGACGAAACACGCAAAATTTCGTATTTTATTTTCTAAATATCTCGGCTTCTATTTATTTTTAAGTTTTCAGACTTTGTAAGAAATGTAAAAATTACTTTATCTATAATTTGAGCTCAAGTTGTGGAAAACAAAGACTTCCCCTTTAGTACTGCATACAAATGCTTTTCTACTATTGGCATGTATAAACAACTGAATTCCAAAGGTAGCGATCGCTGCCTATTCATTAATAAGAAAAAAACAGAAAATTTGATATCCCCCCATTTAATGCTCTGTATTGGCTGGCTTTTGGAACAAAAACGGCCGACTCTAAGGCAATTTTACTTCCGGTGTCCTTATTCTTTCGTATGTAGGACTTTTCTAATGAAAAAATTTTGGTAGAGTCTGGTATCTAGTAGACTGGGTTCTAGATCATCGATTCAGTAATATTTTAGTTGTGGGTTTTTTACGTAGGAACGTTTTGCAGCGCTGAGGGAATTTCGGAAATTTTGGTTAATTGTGAAGCGTTTGATATAGTGCTGGATTTGATAAAGACTCACGAAGAGAATATTGACTTTGAAAAGAAAGCGTTGACTCTGTTGCAAAGCTTAACTCGGTCGTCCGAGGATTTTTGCACGACGCTTTTGCCCGTGATAAAGAAAATAATGAAATCGACAAAGTCTGAGGAACTTTTACACCGTTGCTGTGAAATAGTTTACGATTTTGCGAGAAACGATCACGAGACGTCCGTGCAGCTGATCAAACACAGAGTGTCCAGAATCATTTTCAAAATCCTCAGAAATTCGAACGACGATGCGCTGCAAAATATCGCCGCTGACTGCATTTATATGTTGGCACTGGAACACGATTTGAAGAACATGATGTTGAGGAAAATGTGTGCTGTTGGAGATACAGATGCCGTGAACTTACTGCTCCAACTTTCTGCTGACGTCAACTACACCGAAGCTGACGAAAGCCCTCTGAGTTTGGCATGTAAGACCAACAACTTGGATTTGGTGAAGTTGCTGTTGGCGCACGGCGTGTCAGATTTGCACCATCCTCTCACGATATGCTTGGAGAACGACGATCGCCGCAGATTGGCCGGGCTTATTTTGAAATGCATGGGACATGATGAAGCTGCCGGAACCATATCTCTCACAGGTTGGTCGAAATAAATTATAAAATAAACGCAATAAAACGCGTGCGCTGATTGGTCTATAGCTGTGTTTGCACAAGCCTGCGCAAAACACATCTGAGCCATCTGAGCTCAACCACTCTCGAGCAGATGCAATCCTTGACCTTCGGTCTTGTGCTTTCACTGATCAACTCTCAAGTTCTCCCAAACGTCTCCTCGGTTTGAATAATCCTGTGAGAACGCAGTAAGCATCTTTTATTTCAAGTAATGCAGCTGTAGTAATTTCTGGCGATTAAATGGATAGTTGTGTAGACACAGGATATCTCCGTTACTTTTTAACATTTCGGACTTGATCATCTTTGCAGCTGCAATTGAGCAATGCCTACACCAGGGCTGAGTATAGAACACTAATTGGACAATCATTAGAGCCCAATCCCTTAGATGTTTAATTGCCATTTCAAGGCAAGGCAAGGACGCCGTTTTGAAAGGTGACAAAAAAGCAAAACTCAAGCCAAAAAAATAAGCTGAAAAAGTTTCGAAAACCAATCCCATCAACCATTTTAAAAATCAAATTTGGACTATCAACTTTGCAAGCGTGCTTTGCAACTCAGGAAAAGCAGATATTTTTACTGATTATTTTACTGCTATTATCGTACATTACATAGGTTTGAAACTTGGTAGGTTAAAGACGGAATGGCTAGAACCGTCGTTAATGGACGGCGACTCTTTTACATCGCATATTTCAACCACAAAATGGTTGAATTTGATTCGAAGATCTCGGCAACGCTCTTTTGACGTAACAGTGCCAGGCGGAAAGGACGAAAACACACCGCTGGACGTCGGTCCTGCGGACAGAAGTAGCCACGACGATATGACATCAGAGGGTGGGAGCCTAAGCTCGAGTATCATTCATGGCTCGTCGTGTGAATCTATTTTGACGAATATCGACGAGAATCGCTCATCGCCATCAATAAAGATCACCTCGGTGCACAAAACGCTGTCTCAAAGCGTGAGCGATTCTCGCCAGATGACCGTGGAGGAGTGCAATGGTTTTCTCATACCGGACAACAGATTGAATCACGACAAAGCATTTTTGGAGAGGAGTGTCATGACGTCGTCGGCTGGTCAGAGACGTTTTAGTGATATCAGCGGGACCTTGTTCGAAGACCAAGTTTCTCAGAAGTCAAACGTGTCGTTCGTCGCAGGTCAGAAAACAAATCAATCCATGTTTCGAGCAAAATCTGGCAGTATAACTTTCGGAAAAATGAAGGGAGCTTCCTCGACACCTATACGTAAAAATCCAGTGCGGTAAGTTGGTCTTTTACTAAGCTTGAAATGCAGGGATGGATTTTCCGGAGGGTGGGGGTATGGCAACATGTAGATCGTCTACACTTTCCCGGGGATCTTCATAACAATGGACAGGAGCAGCCATATTGGTGTACTTCTTTTCGGGGTATGGCAACATGTAGATCGTCTTCACTCATTTCCTGTGGATCTTCATAACAATGGACAGGGGCAGCCATATTGGTGTACCGAACAAAGAAACTTTGCTGAAATTCTTCTCATTGGTACGTCAACATGGCGGCAATGACGTCAGGGGGGAACGATCTATAACCACCGAAATCTAATCGAAACTAGAACACACGCACACTCTCCCTCCCCCTTTGGGTCGTAGCTAGAACGTTAATTGAGAGGATGTTTGTTCATACATACAGTTGTACATGGCTGATTTTTTTTTAAAAGTGATTTCACTTTCTAAAGAAGTCAGTCAGATACAACTGAATATATGGATAAACACCCCCCAAATTAGACTTCTAGCTTCGGTCCTGCTCACCCCCCCCCAAAAAAAACCCAGACAAATAGCCAATGTGGATCTATCTCTGACGAAATGTGTTCACTTCGTTCAATATTCATACACCCATCGTTTTTCATCTATTCAGTTGCCTAGATTTATCAAGAAATGAAATTATAAACGCGGATGTCCTTGCCGCGCGTTCAACCACGATCTCGCGTCACCTTTTTTCGGTGGAAAATCTCGATCTCAGCAAGAATAAGCTGGTCGAGTTGCCGAGTGGTTTGTACAACAACATGGAACGCTTGAAAAAGCTCGTTCTGAGTCACAATCAGCTGGCTTCCATTCCCAACGATATATTCTACTGCTGCCATCACCTTGAATGGCTCGACCTCTCGCACAACTTCATCGAGAAGGCCGAAAAACCTAAAAACCATTTCAAGACAAGTTTCATATCTCATTTGAACCTTTCTCACAATTCCATCAGAGAGTTTCCAACGTACGTCAGCGAGTGCTTTCCATTGCTGACTCATCTCGACTTGAGTTACAACTACATCAACTTCTTGCCCGAGTCGAAATACGACAGGAGTCCCGCGGGGAAATCCACGATTAACCTCGGCAGATTACAAACGCTCATTCTCTGCCATAATTCCATATCAAACATCCCAGAAAGCTTTCTGAAATACTTGACCAATTTAAACGCATTTTACGCGCGACATAACTTACTGAATCAACTTCCTGATAAAGTTGCCCCATTGTTAAGCAAGTTGGGAATCGTGAAGCTTAGCAGTAACAAATTAACGGAAAAGGCTCCGTTTTACATGACGAAGTTCGTTTTAACTCTTCCAAATGTTCACACGGTCGATATGAGCGAGAACGATTTGAAGTCCATAGCTGCGCCATCGATATGGTCAAGTCAACGGTTGAAGGATCTTAATGTTGCAAAGAACGATATTCGATTCGTTGATCTTACAGGAGGTGCAAGCAAATGGTCTTTTCTCACGCGTCTTGACTTGAGCGAGAATAATTTGAGGGAAATTCCGAGAGGTATAGGAGAAATGAAGTCATTAGGACAGCTCAATATTAGCGGAAATAATCGTATTTCTGCGCTACCGAATGAGCTGGGAAACCTTACAAATCTCTGGGAGTTTTTGTGTACCGATGTAAAATTGGACCTCAATCGATCGCTGCTTCGTGGAAGAACGTGCGACCTCGTCGGTCACCTTCGTGCAAGACTGAAGAAGTCGGTTCCTTACCCGCAAAGGAAGGTCGTTGTGTGCGGCCCGAAGAACTGCGGGAAAACAACTTTACTGCATCAACTTGCTTCGAGTAAAGTGATGAAGAAATCTTTCAAGAGAGAGACGAGACGATCTAAGCCGAGGAACGCGAACGAGGTTCTTCAAACTCAAAAGTGGATCGTGGATAACGTGAAAAGCGATTGTAAATGCTGCCCGCGAAAAAGTGTTTCGCTCAATTTACGCATTTGGGAGTTCTCCGGAAGCGACGCATGCGTGCATCGTTGTTTTTTGAACGACACCGATCTTAATATTGTTGTATTTAATGCGAGTCTTGGTCGAGATGGTTTGAACGCCATACGTCCATGGTTGGCTAATATCCATGATCAATCTCCAGCATCCATAGTTATTCTTGTTGGGACACATGTGGATAAGGTGAGGACGATTTTACTAGTTACTTACGGGCCGCTAAGACAAAACGTTTTCTCATTTAAATTATATTTTCGTTGATGTTATTGAACAGAACTCTTAAAACGACAGCGGACTTCCTGAAACATTTTTGTCGTATCTCCATTTTGAAGTTATTGAATTTTTTATACTTTACAATTCACACGAGCACTGACCTCATATTGCATGATGAGAAAATGGAATAATCTGGAATATTTGCTGGTATGTAGCTTTAACCGTGCAGCGTTCCCGTCCTTGCCAAGTGTCGATGGCATAAAATTCTGCATAAGTATTTTATCCTAAAGTTGTTAGAAAACCGAAGGATATTTGTTTATTAATTTCCAGCTCCAGCAACTTATGCAAAATCACGGCACTAGTTGTGTAAATCGGACATTACAAAAACTTCAATATCTTAATAATGAAACGTCAATAAAATTCTTTCGCTAGAATCGCTACATTATTATATTTTACAATGGCAATTCATATTATTATTTTAAGCTGGGCTTTAATGTTTATAAATAAGATTACGTTTCCCGCCTGGAGAATCTATCGCCACTGTCGTGAAAGGAGATATGAATAAACTGTCCTTGAAGGTACACTGTCATTTTAAGAGTTTTCTTCAATGAAAATACCATTTGAATAGCAAAATCATCATTTTACTGGTCCTTTAGAAACAACCACCTTAAGGAATTCTTCCTTTTTATTTAAAGATCCAAGAATCTCTTAAGAAATCGAGCTTGGAAGATCTATACAGTGAGATTCAGGTAATCCGTAAATCGCCTGGGACACCAGTTATTCACGGCGTGTTTTTCGTCAGCAGAAACAAGACGGCGAACGTGGATGAGCTGGCAAAGAGATTGTTGCTGCTGGCAATGGCGTTCAACGCGGGAGGCAATCAGATTAACCACGCGAATCGTATCAATCATCGCGTGCCGAAGAGTTTCATCACCTTGCAGAATATACTTGAGAAGAAGATGGAGGACGAATTGGCGAACTGTGGTGTTGTTCACGTTGGTTGGTTAAAAAAAATGGCTAAAAACAATAGACTTGAGATTGACGACAAAGAGTTGCGCGAAGCTGTTGCGTATTTGTGTCAGTCAGGTGAGTACATTATATGCTGGGATAGATTTAGGGGAGTGTTGCGGGAATGTGCACCCCCTCTCCCTAACCTTGGTTCCAATGGACGCAGGAGGGGTGCACATTTACCTGCGAATTGTTAATGTATCAAGCAATTAAACTTAGGAAGTTGTCAGCTAATTTCAGTGGAGTACATTTACAACAAAACCTTGCAAATCATGGTGTAAGAGCTCGTTTTCTAGTGATTCGTTTTCCACTGGTATGTTTTCCACTGGTTCGTTTTCCACTGGTTCGTTTTCCACTGGCTCGTTTTCCACTGGTTCGTTTTCCCGCGGGAAGTGAATAACATTTGTCTTGGGTGTAATGTCTCCAAAACTTGTTTGGTAGAATTTTTTTGGTACAATTTGTTTTGTAAGACCAATAATCGGTGCCTTGTCGTAGTGGGATGCGTCGTCGTTTGTCATTAAATAAAATTTCATTGTGAAATGTGGATTGTTACCTTTTGCCTTTAGGGTTTAATAAAAACCACACTTGAGTCTCCAACCCACGTTAAAGTCTGACATGAATGACAAACGACACCAACAAAAGACTACCAAAATTAAATCTTAACTCGACTGATCGATGGACATCTTATGAAACCTAGAACATAACCCACCACCCCCCTCCCCCTCCCGTACAAAATCATTTTGGATCCATCCTTGGATTTTTATTCAAAAATTGCTCGTCAGGAAGTCCTTTCATCCTAATGCACCATATTTACATGTAGTTTTTCTCGTTTTTTAGGAATCTTAGTGAATTACGCAAAGCCAGCTGCCAAATTGAACGAGCTAGTTTTTCTGCGCCCATCCAAACTGGCAGCTTTGATACAAAAGATAGTCTGTTTTATTGTTGATGCTAAGGATCCAACGGAACTCATTAACCGCGAGAAACTTTGCCAACTTGTAATGAAGGAAAATTTCTCCGAAACGCATCTCCTTCAGATATTACGGTAAGCCGTCATCGTATGTCTACATTTTGTAGTTGAACCTCGTGCATTGAACATGTGGTCCATAGTGTTCAACAGTTGAAGTATTTAACTCGTATCTTCAATTGATAGGCTCAGCTATTATATTCTTTGAGAAATAAAAGTTGTTTACTGTGTTCGCACGGGCTATGCAGACCGAGGAGGCCTTTGGGAGAACTCGAGAGCTGATCAGTGCAAACCCGACATTAAAGGTTGCGAGTTCTCGCAAACGTCTCCGAGGTTTGCATAAGACAGTACAAACACTAACAGTATCTTTACTTCTTTTTTAAAATAACAGTAATCTGTAACAGATAAATTTAAGACAAATGTTTGATTTGCAGAATGTTTAACATCTATAAATGATTGATTTGCAAATTCTCTTTAGTTGTATAAAATTGAATGAGCTTCGATCAGTTTTAACAGGCTGATGCAAACTCAGTTATAGATTAATCAGCGCACACGTTGTTTTTATTGTTTTTATTTTATGAACTTATATGAAACGCTATCAATCAATGAAGTTGAACTTTAAAATAAGAAATTTTGATTCGGATCCTTTTCCAGATTGCTTTGGAGCGTGAAATCTCGCAAAAAGCCATTGCACCATTTGTATATCTATAGTTGAAATAAAACAATTCTTCTGCTTTACATAGAAAAGAATACTGTATGTATAAGACAAAAGGAAAATTTACAAACATTTTTGCAAGCAGCCAAAAATAGGACTTTAAAGTTCATCTGAAAGAGACTTTTAAATAGATACCAGTTAACAAGTACCATGGAAATATTAAAAAGATTGTTGCAGTTAACTTTTGCTCTTGAAATCATGGTATATCGACCCCATTTTCCATAACTTTTTACTTTGCAAATGTAATTTACAGATCGTGATAGCAACGCGGCAAACTTTTGGTCTTTCTTCATTTTTAGGTTACTTGAAGACTTTGAAATAGCTTTGCCCGTGAGCAGGTTCAAGTTTTTATTGATATCGAATCTGGGTCGGACTTCGGCGATGCCTTTGGTAGATGTAGAAGCGATGCTCCGTCGTAGATACACAATGCCGTTCGCTCCCGTCGGTTTCTGGCGTCGTCTTGTCACGCATTTGCACGTGCATCGCAAGGAGATGATTTTGGGACAAACACCAGCACTTTGGAAAAACTCAGAGGTGAACTTATGTTTCTTTTTGGAAATGTTTTTGCCAACTTAACATGCTTCTGAATGCATCATTGAATTAAATATATAATTGGAAGGCTACCTTTATAAAATGATGGTAGCCTATTGATCATAAAGTCAAATCCCGCACTCTAGGTCATCGCCGCGCTAAATGAACTTTTTTGGGGGGCCGTGCGTGGAAACATTGGGACTAGTTGAATTGCGAGCTTCAAATTTTGGCGGGAGGTAGATTTCCAGTTATATTCAGTTCAGTGGAATGTATTTATTTTTTACAGGCTCCTTTGTTTAAATTCGCCCGAAATTTTTTCTTCTCATTTTGGACTGCCGAAATCCATTTCACAGTAACCATTGTGGAAAACGTACTCGATATTTTTGTTCCCATAAATCGCGATGGACAAGTTCTTTTGGCAAATCTTGTTTGCCATATTGACGCACTCCTCCAGGAATGGTACCCGAACTTGTGTAAGTATTAGAAAAAAATATATATAGTTAGTTACAAAAAAATATATTATGTAGTTACGAGTAAGGCAACCCACCATCTTGAAAGGTGGCAAAATCAGAGCCCTATATTTTTAGGCCTCTTTCAAACGTCGCATTTTGCATGTGTCCAATAAAATAGTTTGAATTAAGTGCATGCGAAATTTGACGTATGAAATAATTAAATTCGACCGCTTTAATTGAGGTTGACCTTGACTTTAAATTGGACCGGTTTGGTCGCATTATGCGACGAAAGTGCGACGTCGCTTCAAACGCTGAATTTTGCATGTGTCGAATACAATTTGGCTCTCGCGTCGTGTAATAATTGTATTCGACGCATGCAAAATTCGGCGTTTGAAACAGGCTTAAGATTTGGACTCTTATTGTTCTCTGCATTTCGAGGTATGCTTACGGTATTTGCTTAAAATGGTCAACTCATGGGTCACCTGGATATCTAGCTGCCATTTTTGTTCCAAAAGCCCAAATTACTACCATTTTTTTTACATATTAATGGGGAAATTATAATGATGATTTTATATTGCGTTGCCTGTGATGAAGAATAGAAATTTACGCGTTCCCTAGTGGCCAAAACATAAAAAGCGTGTAAATTTTATCCACTGCATTAAATAAATGCTTTTCTATAATCATGACGTCTATAAACAAGTGAATTCCAAAGGTAGCGATCGCTGTCTTCATGAATAAGAAAACAGAACAGAAAATTTGTCTTTCCCCATTTAATGCTCTATACTCGCTGGCTTTTGGAACAAAAATGGCTGACGCTTGGCAGTATAGAGCAATTGCACACTTACGTAATGCAAACCAGATCATTGATGTGGGCGAAGTTTCAGTCAAGATTGACATCGTGGTACACCGTTTGTAATCACACTCGTTCAACCAACTCCACTTTTGTTATAATTTCTGCTTTCGTTTTCTAGGTGGATCTGACAATGATTGGTACAACGTACAAGTCATAAAAAGAACAGCTCTATGTCCGTGCAAGGAGCACGAGTACCAATTGGAAGATTGTGTTACACCTTACATGAAGTGCGAATCTGGTGGCGAAGTACCGCTGGAATTGCTCGCTCCGGATCTATTGCAGTTGCACATAGATCAACGATATGTAATCGAAGAAAGCGAATTGAGGATCGAAGAAGAGAGTGCATCGCGGGTCGGCGAGGGTGGCTTCGGAAGTGTGTATCGTGCGAAGTATAGAAATAAGAATGTTGCAGTAAAGGTGCGATCATCTATTTAACAATTAAATTTCGAGCTCGATATTTCCAAGAGGGGATAGCTGATGACTGATGAAGGTGAAGCCAATGACCTAGAACCCAATCTACTAGATATCTGACTCCGCCGAAATTGTATGGTTACGAGTGAGGCAAGCCGCCATCTTGAAAGGTGGAAAACTGACGATATTTACGACTAATATCTGCTTTTCCTGAGTTTATGTGCAGTTGCAAAGTTGATAGTCTAGGTTTGATTCTTCAAATGTTTGATAGGAGGGGTTTTTTAAACTTTGTTTCATTTTACTTTTCATTTTGAGTTTTGCTTTTTGCCACCTTTCAAGATGGCGTCTTTGCCTCACTTTGACACGGAAGTTGACTGTGGTTAGGTGGTAGTTGGACATCTAGGAGATTGGGTTTGAAATCATTGGGTGAAGCTCAAATCAACTATCTCATCGTGGAAATCGAGATAGAGTAATAACTGGAATAAACTTTTCGTATTCATAAAGAAAAGGTTGCCAGTATAGTTTTCCGTCATTCGCTGTTTCATGCATTTGTTGTTGAACTTGTTGTTGACATAGTTGATGTTGAAAAACGCAAGGCGGTCGGCAGCCATGTTTTCGCGTGCTCTCGCGTGTTCTCCGTGTTCTCGCTACTCGCTTTCCAATGAAAACAATCAAATTAAAGCATTTGCAATAGAATACCAGTATGATTCTACCAACACATCCTATATCATCTTTCTGTCTTTCCATGCTCGATTTGGAAAACCTTTCCACTTTAGATATTTCGTAAGCAGATGGAGTGCGATCCTCGTTTTCATTTCGAACAGGAAATTAGGTTCCTAACGAAGTTACGTCATCCGAGTGTGATCGAATTGGTTGGTTTCTGTTTCAAGTCACGCTACATCGTCGCACTTGAGCTTGCTCCCCTGGGCTCGTTGAATCTCCTGTTTCGCAACAAAAAACCGCTGAGTCGTGGTATTCAACATTTGATTGCAATGCAGGTTTGAAGTTTTCCTTCATCCCTCCGAAATAACTGTCTGTCACTGATGATTGGGATATTTCGATTTTCTATTAGACGAATGTGTAATGTTTTTAAAAATTGTGTTTTCCCAATACGGAGAGCTTATTTTGTAGTTTTACTTGCAAGTTTCCAAGGAATCAATCGTATCTACAGGGGCGTGGGAACCTGGGGGTGTGCCCTTCCCAATAATAAAAGTACCCCCCCCCCCATGATGTACTATTCAAAGTACTTTGGTAGTTTTAGGTAAAATACTTGCTATGTTATTTGGTGATGTTACATTTATTGATACAGTTTGGCATGCATGTACATATTACAGTTGTAAAAGCCGTGGCTTATTTATGATATTTACTGTGTATAATTGATGACGGCGATAGATTTTATTCAAACACGCTAACATCGTCAACATAAGCTGGCTTCCACGAGGGGTGTATAAAATAGAAATTCACAGCACAAAGATAAAATGCATAAAAGCTATTTACAACAACACTAAAATACAAAATGCGCAATCACTTAATTACTAAGTAGTTAAATACTTAAAGACTAAATAGTTAGATACTTAACCATTTAATTACTAAATAGTTAAATACTTAATTACTAAGTACTAAATGCCTAATACTTTTGAAATACAATAGCACTTAAATACATATCAAAAATACAACTTAAGCTCATACTTTTGATGTCGTGTTGTGGTCTCACCCACCCCCTCTGATGTCGGGTTGTGGTCTCACCCACCCCTTCTGATGCCGGGTTGTGCTCTCACTCCCCCGTCTGATGCCGGGCTGTGCTCTCACTCCCTCTGATCCTGATGCCGGATTGTGCTCTCACCCCCTGCTCGGATGCCAGGTTGTGCTCTTCCCTACTCCCTCTGATGCTGGGTTGTGCTCTTCCCCTGATGCTGGGTTGTTCTCTTCCCTACTCCCTCTGATGCTGGGTTGTGCTCTCACCACACCCACACCACCACACCCAGGACTACCTTTTTTCCACGCTACTGACCTATTATTACTACCGTCATCTTTGTATTGAAACGAAAAACTTTAATACAATACTACAAATGGACGCATATAATACAAGTTTATTAATACGAGAATACAAATGGACGCATGCGCATTACATGGAAATGAAACTGGTGCGATCGTTAACTTTTCCACCTCCTCCATTTTAAGTTCTTATTGTAGGTTTGCGATGGATTGAGATATCTTCATCAACATCAAATTGTTTACCGCGATCTTAAGCCTCACAACATCTTGATCTTTTCTTTGGCTGCGGGCTCTCTCATCAACGCCAAGATCTGTGACTTCGGAAGCAGTCGATATGCCACGCCGTGTGGATTCATATCCTCCGAAGGAACGCCTGGTTACCGAGCCCCAGAGGTCTGAAATTTAAGAGATTTTATTTTAATATTTATTTAATGGTGTTGGCGTTTTCACTGTTTAAGGGCCAGTATAACGAAAAATTGGCTTGTGAAATTTTAGTGTCTTTGAAAAAAAAGTCGTAAAATGGCAGTGAACTTTCCAAAACAGTTTATTCATATCGCTTTGCATTCTCAAGATACTGAAGTTTCGCGATTTCCGATTTATGGTGGAAGTAACGAATCGCTGCAAGTTTATAACTATCCTTGCCAGCTTTTGAATAAATCACCCATTCGGAATTTTATACCATTAAGATTCTACAACGATAGGAACTCTGCCCGTTTGTATAACATATAAGCAAATTTTCTTAATAATTCAAGCTCTTGCCGTTGTAAAGCGTCGATGGCATAAAAATTTTCCAGTAAATAATGGAATCGTGTGAAATCATTATGCCGCGATCTTATTTCTTTTGCTAATGGTTTTGCCTGAAGTTTCTAAAAAGAAAATATTTTCAGATTTGTGTTCTACTTTACCTGTAAGTTCAGAATGAAATTGGGTGAATCGTCGTACTAAGCCGCCTGTTTTTGTTGTCATCAAGGGTGCAACTCCTTCGGGCTGAGGGAACATGTCCCGTCCCCTCTCCCCTCACAATAAAAACTTTTGCAACAATCATAAGGAAATCTACTAGTGTACTCTGAGATTCTAGTCCATCACCAGGCCACCTCCTCCCCCCCCACACACACTTTTCAAAGCAAATATGAGTCCTTGGTTGTCATGTCGTCTGAAATTTAGGCGTGCTTTTTTTTCTAACATTCAGGTAGCACGTGGTGACGTCGTGTACAACGAGAAAGCAGATATATTCTCGTTAGGAATGCTACTGTACGAGCTCTCCACGGAGGGCAGATAGCCGTTCAGTGACCTAAAATTTCGTAGTGAATTCGACGAGGCCGTCATCACCGGCCGAGCTATCGAACCTTTGACGTTGGTAGGCGCGCCTCCATGGCCCGATATGCAAAATCTACTGGATGAAATTCTTGTGTCGGAGCCAGATGAGCGACCTACTGCTGAACAGGTCAGAATTTAAGGCTGTTCCTCCTATACTCGTCCGAGTCGTATACGTGTGATTTCGGTTGTGTATACGGAGCTCTGTCGAATGGGCTTGCGTTATATGAAGCTTTGTCAATTGGGCTTGCGTTATATGAAGCTTTGTACAGTGGCTTGCGTTATATGAAGCTCTGTCCAATGGGCTTGCGTTATATGAAGCTTTGTACAATGCCTTGCGTTATATGAAGCTCTGTCTAATGGGCTTGCGTTATATGAAGCTCTGTCCAATGGGCTTGCGTTATATGAAGCTTTGTCTAATGGGCTTGCGTTATGTGAAGCTCTGTCCAATGGGCTTGCGTTATATGAAGCTTTGTACAGTGGCGTTATATGAAGCTCTGTCCAATGGGCTTGCGTTATATGAAGCTTTGTACAATGCCTTGCGTTATATGAAGCTCTGTCCAATTGGCTTGCGTTATATGAAGCTCTGTCCAATGGGCTCGCGTTATATGAAGCTTTGTACAGTGGCTTGCGTTATATGAAGCTCTGTCTAATGGGCTTGCGTTATATGAAGCTCTGTCCAATGGGCTTGCGTTATATGAAGCTTTGTCTAATGGGCTTGCGTTATGTGAAGCTCTGTCCAATGGGCTTGCGTTATATGAAGCTTTGTACAGTGGCTTGAGTTATATGAAGCTCTGTCCAATGGACTTTCGTTATATGAAGCTTTGTACAATGGCTTGCATTATATGAAGCTCTGTCCAATGGCATGCATTATATGAAGCTCTGTCCAATGGCTTGCATCATATGAAGCTCTGTCCAATGGCTTGCATTATATGAAGCTCTGTCCAATGGCTTGCATTATATGAAGCTCTGTCGAGGACCATTTGAGGACCAAGTTTCAGAACGCAACTTTTTGTGACTGGAACCGAGGACGAATTTTCTGTTGGGGGTGCATGGCAGAGGGTTCACTCCTCTGAGTAAAATTTTATCTTCCACGTTTTTTAGCAAAAAAAAAATGAGCAGTTCATTTAAACTCAATTTTTCTGGGCTATATTTCAACTTTCCTCACAACCTTCAATGGCTGCACTACCAGACCGCCACTAAAATTTAGACCCTTGCTTTGTCTTACGTCACTTCCATACCAGCTCACCCCCGTAAAATTTTTAGCACCACCCCTTAAATGTGAAATCCGTCCTTGACTTTTTATGTCGTAATTGCATTTGCCTTCGTAGATTTACCAAAGACTGTGCAACCCGGAGTTCATCGCACTAAAACAAGACATACCCGTGTGTAAGGGTCAGGCGGTAGAATGCATGGCCACACGATACTTCGATGATGGCAATGGAACGAATATGGAAGTGTGGATTGGCCGCGGGGCATCTGATTGGACAGATAAGATAGACGACCAGGCACAAAGTACTTACACGTCCCAGTTGACGCGCGTTGATTTAAGTTCAAAGAAGGTAAACGATAGTCAATAAACCGGGGGATCTGAACTGAAAATATTTTCACGAGTTTTTTTTTCTGGGGGGTGCAGTAAATATTTTCCCCAATTCACCAGACTTTTTGCCTTGATACGTCAGAATCTCTTTGAGAATTTCTTTCACCCTTATTTTTCGCACGAACGACGTTGAAAATTTGCCCAACTTTTCAATCTTCAAATATTCTTGGGAGGGTGCCCCCTCGCCTGCCCCCCTGCCCCCGCCGTCGCCCATCCCGTACGCCTAAGACGCCAGTGGACATTGACAGTTCTTTTGTAGGGCTGTGAAGGTACAGTACTACAAGATGGTTGAATAACATGTATTTCAGTCGTCAGAGAAAATCTTATTGTTGTTGGAACACAAACTGGTCACGTGTGGGTTTACGATGTAACCAAGGCAACGTTTGTTCACGCAATGACTCGTTTACCAGATTCCGTAGTTTCGATGATTTATGTGGAGAGTTTGCAACGCGTGTTTGTCGGTGTTGCGAATGGCCAGTTGGCCATGTACGAGTTGATGGACTTGTATAAACCTCCCATGGCGACTAAGATTCTCGACATTGCCGGATCAATGTGTTGTCGTGATGTTCCGCTCATGTGTTTTGCTCTTTCGAGAAATGGCAAAGACTTGCTCTGTGGTGTTGGCCACAACGTCATCGTGCTGCAACTTGAACGCGATGAGATATCTCCGAAACATCAATGGAGCGTATCACCGGAAAACGAACCACACAAAGGCCTAGTATCGAATATATTGATGGATAAACACGGCGTGTGGACTTCGACGAAAGCCAGCTCGCGCATTTGTTTGTGGAACAAAAGGTCGCATAAACTCGATGGGGTGATCAATTGCGACAGTCTGGCGATTTCCGACGATTTTGAAGACTGGGGCCGAGGAATGCGCGTCGTGAGCATGTTAATGCACAATACGATTTTATGGGTCGGAACAGGCGGAGGCCATATACTACTCTTTGATACTAAAACCACCTCGCTGCTTATGTCGATGAGCCGTCATAAAACCGCCGTTCGCTGCTTGATCACATCGGAGATCCTCCAATCAGATGGCAAACAAATATCGGTCGTGCTATCTGGTGGACTGGGCTTCGTTCCGCGCTGGTCTTCCTCGCATGAGACCTCGTCACGTGACTTCGGCTACGTGCTTATTTGGGAGTCCGGTATTCAAAAAGAAGCCGAGCATTTGCACGAGTACAAGAAGCGCAGGCAAGAATGGCAAAGTCACAATGTGCTTTAGTTCAGTAATAAAGTAAATGGTTTGAACCCGGGAGTATCGTTACATGTTTGTAAATGTAGATCGTCCAGGTTGGTATAGTCCTGAGAAGGACTGTGTTTGTTGTTGTTGACTCTGAAGATGACTACCGCTAAGGTTGTCGAAACGTCAGTCAACAACAACAAAAACAGTCCTTCTCAGGACTATACCAACCTGGACGATCTACATTTACAAACATGTGCTTTAGTTCAATTAATCATTTAGTCGATTTATATTATCCTGTGTGTGGGGTGTCTCAAAAATCGACGATTCAACTTCAACATGCCGTTACGTCAAAACTGATCGTAGTTTTGAAATTATTACGAAAGACCAGGGTTCTTGCTATGAAATTTCATGAACTTGCCCCCTAGCATTGAGAAGGAAAATGAGCAATTGCAAGCTGATTGAGAAATTCTGGTCAAAATTGCATTCTTTCATGCAGATACTGTTTTTGCGGATTCCGTGATGACGTAAAATTGAAGGTGGTTTTTGAGACGGGCAGTTTCTCAACAACGCTGGACGAATTCGGTGAACGTTTTTGTTCTCGGAAATTTTAAGTAATTGGGTGTAACCACGTTTTTAGAATAATGATCAAGTTAAGTGTTTGTATACATGTTTGTGGATGTAGGTCGTCCCTGTTGGTGTAGATGTTGACTGACGTTCCGACAAACCTTAGCGGTAGTCATCTTCAGAGTCAAGCCTCGTGTAGGTGTAATGGCGGATTACTTTTTTGACACCCTTAAAAATCCACTGACCTTAACAAGTTCTATCAATACATGCATGTAATAAATGAATAAGACTGCACTAGATTACCTTGCTGTCTATCTAGTAATTGCCAGTTGCTTAACTGTGGGGATGTTTAGAGGGGGAAGTATTAAGGGTACCGGACAAGAATTACCATAAAGATTTTATTTAATAAATAAAACGCATTTATGAGAAATCAATATTAATACTATCGATAGTATTATGGTACAACTTTGCATTTTAGTGTATGTCAATGAAATCGATTCATTTGTTGAAAAATGTCACTTAAGCTGAGAGTCTTACGAAAAGTTTCAGGTTAGCTGAGACTGACTTAATTTATTTTTCGTAAATTTTGTAAAATTTCCATGCTTTTTCATAAAGGACCCGTGAAATCAAATTTGTTTTTTTGACATCTCATTCATGCTTTCACAAGCCATTCAAAATGGAGTTTCTACTGGTCTACCCATTCTACCAATTGGCTACTTTTTTGCGATTTTCTAATTAAATATATATTGTGAAATTGCTTTGTTTAAATAATAACATGGAATACTAATGCAAAGCTAACCGTTTTACTAAGTTAAACCGTTTTAAAACTGTTCTTTTAGAACAATTGCGTCCGTGTACTGGTTTCAAACACTTCTTTTAAGAACTATTAAGTACAGGGGCGGATCTAGGCCATGGCGAAAGTGGCTTGAGTCACGGTCAGAATTTTTCCACTTAAGTTTTTCCAGGGTTGACTTTTCATGATTAAAAATTTAGCTCAAATACAGCAAAATTCGATCAAAAGCAAAAATTGAATGAATTTTGTAATTTTTTGTCAAAAATTTGTGTTAACAGAACAAAAACGTCAAATTAAACGTCTTGTTAAAATAGTATTATCATCCAGTTAAACTCTGAACTGTAAAATCACCGAAAGCGTCTCGAATCTTGCCGAATACGCCATGAATATGCTCGGAATATGTGGACAACCCAGTCTCTTCCTTAAATTAACTCTATACGCTAATTGTGAAAATACCCTCAAATTGACTCTATAAGTCAATTTAAAACGTCCATTCAAACAACAGGTCTGGTGACTTGCCTGCCTGGTCGCAACCACGTAACCCATCATTTACCGCAATTTACTATCCCGCGAAGTTTTGGATATCCTCAATCGTTTATTGTAAAGTGTATGCTCTTCTGATTGAATTTTTTTTAAAATTCAATTTAAACTTTAATATTAAGTTGCGTGGTTCGCATTATTGCTGAAATGGAAGAAAACAATGGTAGTAGCATCAATATATATGTATGTATTATTGTATTGACTTTCAGGCTTTTGAGAATCAGCTACTGCTGAATCATACAATTTCTAAGTGTCAGCTGATTATAAAAATAAGCAGTTTTTTGTACACCCTATATATACCCATTGCTTTCATTCAAATATGCATGAATCTAATTTTTTAAGTAAAGAACTGATATTTAAGAATTATGTTAAAACTAAAGGAAATTGAAATGATGACCTGTTGTTGTAGTTAAGAAATTAAAAGCAATTACTTTGTTCAACAACTCAACAAGAAAACATATAAATTAGTACAATGCAGGAAATACTGTTTATTAGGTAAGACTCAACGACACACATATAATTAATGCTCTTGTGCTATTCTGCCCCCTCATCGTTATAATATCATCTAGCAAAAGTTTATCACATATCAAACGTCTATAGAGCGTACACTGTGTATTAAAACTGTGTTTTCAATTGTTGCTTTTATTGTGTTTAAATTATGTTTTCAATTGTATGCGTGTTGCTGAAACTGGGTATTAAAAATACACAGTTTTCTTGCACTTTAAGGTTACGTAAATAATGTGATTAGTTTCATGTTTGTAGATGTAGATCGTCCAGGTCAGTAGAGTTATGAGAAGGACTGTTTTGTTGTTGTTGACTGACGTTTCGACAACCTTAGAGGTAGTCATCTTCAGTCCTTCTAAGGTTGACTCTGAAGATGACGACTGCTAAGGTCCTCAGGACTCTACTGACCTAGACGATCTACATCTACAAACATGTAACGATACTCCCAGGTTCAAACCATTTACTTTATTACGATGATTAGTTTCCGTGGTAAAGGAATCACACGACTTGTTACTGCTTGTCTTGTATCTTCACGTCTGTAGTATTACTTTTGTATTACTCGTGTATAAATGAAATTATTTTTTCCTATGAAATACATCCAATTGCCTGAAAGGTTTGTACAGTAATTTTCTGGAAAAAATAATTTTTACCTAATTGGTGGTGCACTTCTATGTTATAGAGGACTAGAATTTTTTTAGACAACTTCTCGAAAGAAAATATGTAGTAATTGCTCTACTGCCGTGGGCAATGCATGTAGCGATGTTCCAACTGTGGACAGCTCATTCCAAAGAAGCCCTCTTCCGTCTCAATACCACAATATTCGACCACGACAAAACAGAAAATGCTGCTGATGAAAAGGGTTAGATTTGTGTTCTTTAATGTATCTTAGGGTATTGGAGCAGATGTTAAAATATCAATGTATAATTTGATTGGTTTCGGAATTGGACTTTTTTTGTAGGCTCAGACTCTTCATGAGAACCACGGTTATCATGTGGTGGTAATGTATTATCACCCATCAACCACTGGAGGTCCAACCGTCTGGGATTATGCTGCAACTCCTGGCTTGGCGACAGATTGTATTAGCAGCAGTGGTGTAATTGGAAAATCAGCCAGAAACTTGTTTCAAACCGGGATGAAGAAGTTATGGCAAGATAGAAATGAAGATAGTCAATCTACAGATCTTTCATCTACAAATACTATCCCTGCCTCTACCTCCCCTTCCGTGTCGTTTTCTGTTCCCCTTCTATTTCAGCATCTTCATCTGTAACTCTTTGTAGCTCTGTTACAACCTCTCTTTCAGTTAGTAGCGCTGTTTCATCATTCATTCCTATACGCAAAGATCTTCATTTTAATACGATTTCCGCGACTTTCGAATCTTCCTTCCTCTCTGCTGCTACAAATACCAATACAAATGTCGTCACTGATTCTTTTAGCACTAATCCCACTCTGGCCTCTTCCAGTGGATGTACCTCGATCGGCAATTCTTCATCTGTTTCAACCTCTTCTTCATCTTCTTCAAGCTCCTTTGTCGCTACAACATCTGTGTCTACCATATCTAACACGACTGCTCCATCTGTCCCTACAGCAACTTTTAGCACAGGTCAGGAATAGTGTGCATAGGTGTTAGCATTGGAATGGTTGATTTTTTAGGTTCTTAGAAGTTTTTAGGTTGTCGCAAAACAAGTTCGATCTTTTGTTGATTAATTTTGTCATCAACATGGAACAAATTTCACAACAATAAGCATGTCCAAACACACATGACTACTTTCAGCTTTAAAATGTTAAAACTTGATTTCGTTCTTTGGCAGCTACGTACATGCCGATAATGCGTAGCAATATTTCTTCTGAAGAATGTTATATGCAGTGCGGTGTTTGAAATTAATTTCAAACACAGCACTGCATATAACATTCTTCATATGACATTCCTTTCACGAGAAAACATGAGCCCAACAAAATTGACCTGCTCTCCACTGTGTGACTTCATAGCTCAGTTGGTCAGAGCACTGCACCGGCACCGCAGAGGCCATGGGTTCGAATCCGTTGAGTCACCTGAATTATTCAGGTTCATGAGACAATTGCTTAAATTGTCCAGCAAAGTGCGAAGATCATATCTTCATTTAATATTTCTTCTGTCATAAATAGTGATCAACGAAGCAAATGGCTATGTCTTGAATTTAAATTGTTTCATGTACACTTAGGAACTGTTGTAGCAAATTCTTCTCAAAGACTCGTCGTTTGGGTTTTTATGCAAAGAAATGCCTGTACTTCTATCTGACTTATTTTACTGCAATCTTGCATGACACAGCGTGTTGAAGGAATGTTAAAAAAAATTGAGTTAAACAACCTTTTAAATCTCTATTTGTATATAGTGTTATATTGTAAACAGCCGCGAGTTAAGACTATGACGTCACAAGCACCTTCCTACATGACAATTCAAATATGGCGCCTTTTAATGGCGGCTTTTAAAGTTCAAGTTTTATCGCTACGTAACTCGAACAGAATTAAATATATTGCGTTAAAATTTCGCCAGAAGGCATTTTTTTACATACACTATTAACCTATGAAAAAAAACGAGAGGCAAAATTTTCGTCATAGTACCACTTTAAGAAATGACAAGAAAGCAATTCAATAACTTGTTATACTTGTGCCATTTCATCGCCCACATTAGTAAGATCTATTGTAAATGGTGTAGATTTTTTTGTCTTGCGTCGTCTGGGAGGTAGGGCCTTATGAAAGATTTGATGGTATTTTGTCTCGGTAACCTTTAATTTTTTTTCACAGGACTCAATCGAAGGGGCAAACCATTTTCTGTGGGAAAGTTTTCTTCAAGAAACTGTTTCAAGCTTTCAGCTTTTTGCACTGCTTCTTGTAGAGTGGTCTCGTTGTCAATCAGGAAGGTCATACTGTGTATTTGGCCCAGTTGTTCTTGCAAGATCTTTCTGAGCCTTTTGGAACTTTTGTTTGAAGTAGTTTCAAACTTAACTGTTTCTTCGTGGGATATGTCGTGGATATATTTTTTGTTATCAGAAGACAACTATTCTTGCAAAACAACGTCTCTTTTGATGGTGCTCCATGATGACGCATTGGCTTCCTCTAGTTCTTCTGGCGTAGTATCTTGTGGCAATCCAAGAGGTTCATTGTCAAGAGTAATGAACACGCTATTTCGGTAGTCTTCTGGAAGACTACCGAAATCCCACTCGTCATAGAAAGAAAAAACTGCGAAAAAATGTTTGCAAGGGAAATGGGTAGTGTGCCATATGTTGCAGGTACAACTTGGTTCTCGGAAGTCTATGAAATGTTTCTTTCCAACATTGCTCTCGCTCTTGACATTGAACGTGCCCTTCTTTAATTTAACCGGAGTTATGTCGCCCTGTTTGTAAATGGCTGAAGCGTATCGATTTTTAAGACAACATTTCAAAAAGTGCGGAGGTCTGTTGTGCAAGTATTTTGGTATTGATGGGTTGTACTTGCAGTAGGCGCTGCTCAGTCGCAGGTTTGCATCCAAATAGTGCTGAAGAACATCGGGAATGAAAGATTCAACCAACATCACCGCAATACCATACACAGATTTGTCAATACTTTGGGGTAAGTATTCGTATTTAAAGACTCTGTTTTGAGCCTCAACGCCATTGTTAGTATTAACAATGTTGGTGACTTGCTGTTTTCTCAAAGCGTGTGCCCATCTGACAGCGCAAGAAAACCGCGTACGGTCAGGTACGATGCGGTTGAGTTGATTACCTGTAACTGAAAAATGTTTATTGCCCCTTGTTTTTGAGTAGTTGTCAGCTTTCACAAACGAGATAGAATCAATTACATAAATTCAAAAACCTCTTTCACTTTTCAAGTATATTAACGCGTGAAATCAATTTATCAAGGTTTACGTATTACGGCCTTTGAAAGTTAACTGTTCAACAATTACAAAAACCTTTTCAAGCCAACAATTTGAAGAATTAAATTATAAAACATACTTCAAAAAACATGATCTTGTAAACTTAGCTATATTAGCTTTATAATGACTTTGAAATAAAGTCAAAATATTGCTTTTAGATTTTGTTTCTTGCTATTATAACTGAAATTTTGAGTTTACATGATAATGTTTTTCGGAATATGTTACCAATTGTTTGCAGTATGGTACAACAATTGAAAACAAACTACGAGACCTGAAACTGTTCAAGAAGTTCTTCTATTTGCTCCACCTTTCCATCAATGTATCCTGTGCAGTAATTTTCCAGAATTTGCAGTTGCGAGTTTTTCTCTAAGGAAGTTTACTTGTTTATTTGAGCATTCTGCAGATTCACGCTGAAGAATTGTCTGCGCCATATACTGAGTATGAAACACGAAATTTGTTCCTTAATATATTTTAGTCTGTTGAAATGTGTAATAATGAGTCAGAGCAAACACTCGAACGCTTATACGTCTTTATATGAATTTCATTCCACGAGCCAGTAATGTGCCCACTATTTTTTTCACTTTTGATGCGAGGTTTTTATATTTTTTCTTAGCTAGGTGGAGTTAAGGCGAGACCTATAAAGCACTTGAAAAGCGAAAGTACCTATACGTAAGAATGAAAAGTGCGCGAATATTCAGCATAATGAGTTATAGGAATTGAGGATAGGCCATTTCCAATGATCTAAGTAGTAGCTTCTAGATGTAATCTCATACGTAAATTTAACGTCACAATGCGCGTTTGAAGCAACATTTGTTATAAAAATGACGACAGGTTTTGTGTCAGGGATGCCAATTTTGTGCTTGATTACTATACCATAAGTAAAATGTGTAAAATTTATTTTATTAGGAGAAATAGTTTGGTATGCAAGATTTGCAAGATAGATGATGGTGAAGACTGGTTGGGATGTGATTCATGTGGGCAGTACTTTCATGCAAGTTGTCTGAATGTTGACTTTGGATAAACTCTGACAGAGTACTTTGCTTGCCCATAATCAGACATGACAATCGTATAATAATACAAAACATAAATTGTAAGATTTAAAAGTGCCGAATAAAAAAGACTTACCGATTAGAATACTTTTGAGCATCATCAATATCTTTTAGAACATATTGCAAGCAAGCTCAATAACAAAGAATAATATACTTCACAATGCGCGTTTGCAGTAACATTCGTTATAAAAAGAGCGCATATTTTGTAAAAGCCAAATGAACATATAATACAATGTGGGCGCTGTGCTGTATACTTTGTGTTGATTTGTGTTATGAAATTTTATACAAGAAACATATTGTACTTATAGCGATTATTATGTCAAGGCCTTTGCCGCTGACCAGGAAGTTAATAGGCGCGTCCCCGATCATCACCCGGTTTATAGCATTCCCCTAAGTTTTTTGGTTTTTTCATTTCGGCAACTGGCAAAGGAGACACTCATGTCACCAGGCCTATTGTTTGAATCGACGTTTCAAATTGACTTATAGAGTCAATTTGAGGGTATTTTCAATTGAGTTCTATAATAACTGGAGCGGCTATCTCAAGCGCGGCCTTAGATATCTGATGACGCCAAAAAATGGCGGATTTCGTCCTTTGCCGCTGAGGTTTACCGAAATTGACCGCTTTTCCGAAAATTTCACAATTTCCCACTCCCTCCTGAGGAAAGAGTGAGGAAAATGTATGTGCGTATTTGGGATTCGGCAAGCAATTTTTTGATGAAAATCAAGGTAAAAACCTTAAATTCATAACAGCGAGTCCACTGTGGTTGTCAGTTATCTGCTCCTACGAGGATGCATTTATAACTATCGATGAAAGACCTATATGTCGGCTACACATGTTTGAATGCAGATGTGCGTCGTTTTCTTACCAGCGTCAAACTTGTTTGATCGATTAAACTCTTTAGTCTATACAAAAAAGTACAGGGTGACCCAAAAAGATTCGTACCCATGAAAATTTCAAGTATGGCTTTAATAAAAAGCTATTTATTTCAAATTACAACCACACATTACGTTTATGGAAGACTATTCACAAGAGTTTCGGCTATTTCTGTCAATTTTTAGTCAATTTATGGCTTTCCCAAGATGTGTTCCAAATGTCCACCATTTCGTTGCAAGCAAACTTGTACTCGTCTGGCAAAGTTTTGAATCAATTTTATACACTCCTCTTTCGGGATGGCTCTTATTTTTGAAGAACTTAAAACTGCCATCACAGCAAAAATAAGAGCTATTCCGAAAGAGGAGTGTATAAAAGTGATTCAAAACTTTGCCAGACGAGTACAGGTTTGCTTGCAACGAAATGGTGGACATTTGGAACACATCTTGGGAAAGCCATAAATTGACTAAAATTGACAGAAACTCTTGTGAATAGTCTTCCATAAACTGAATGATGTGTGGTTGTAATTTGAAATAAATAGCTTTTTAACTAAAGCCATAATTGAAATTTTCATGGGTACGAATTAAGTCTAAAGGCCCGAAGTCACATACATTATGACCCCTTAAACTATCTTGTCAGCCTTGCTAACTGTAAGAGTTAGACTAATCTATGAATCAGAGATAACATATTAAATTCTAACTGATAAAATCAACTTAATACACCTCGATACATTCAAACAAACGCATAAATTACCCTAACTTTTCCACGATCTGCAATAAATTGAGAACTTCTTTTGAGAGAACAGCTAAATTTTGAAAATAAGACGTTTCAATACATATTGAACTCAGATGGAAAATTACATTTAATAAAACTTTAACCTTTGTTAAACATATTGAGGACTGCGCCGCGTTCTTCCTCCAATTCTTCTTTCATATAATGGTCGATTAACTTGGCGGCCATGATATTTTCTTAATGAACTGAACCAGCGAACGGACTGGACAGTGGACCGGGTTGGCCAAACTGGACCCAGTGACTGAACTATCTCGAGGGGGAGGGCGAGGGCGAGGGAGAGTGGAGAAAATTTTTTGACGTGTAATCCATGATGTAATCTAAACATTCTGCTGTCTTATAAAATTATCAAGTTGTTAATTGGTTGTGACAAAGCCGATTGCAAATTTTTTTGTGTTGACACGCAAAGCATTGGCTATTTTTGAAATGAGTTCAACTTGAGAAACGTATTCATACCTCGTATTTCTTGATTTAGGACGTACTCAGTGTGCAGTACATGGTGCAGTACCATTGAATTAAAAAAACATGGAACTCTTACTGTAACAGGGACGCAAGAACCGAAGGCTGAGGGGCGAGGCTGAAGCCTCCCTCCCCACTTATTGCAATGGTAAAAGAAAAAAGATATTTAGACTGAGTTAAAGTTGTTTAGAGCTGTCTTTTAAGACATTATGGTATAAATGAAGACTTAGCCCCTGCAATTCATATGTTGCTCCGTCGTCCTTGTGTAAGAACCAATACTTATACCCAGACACGTAAGATTACAAGCGTGTGTAGTTCAATCAATTTTCCCTTCGCAAGAGAATCTCGAAACACTACACACGCGTGTCTCGGTGTAATGTTGCGTGTGTCGGTGTAAGATTTGGCTTCATTTATTTGCTTCTTCAGATAGCGTTCCATGTATTTTAGTTCAATGTACAGTACCACTCGCACTGGCCATTTTCGAAATAACTTTTACAACAGTTCCCAAACCTCTGGATCCCTTAAGTCTTACAGAACTCAATGGACAGGTAACATGATCGTAGTTGTTCATGTAAAAGTCTATAATAATAACTTGAGTATTTCTTTATAACAGTGATTTACAGGACAGAGTAATTTCTGTTTTCCTAACTTTGTTAATTTATAATCACGTTGAAAAAGAAATCGTTTGAATCAAGAATCTCTGCATCTTTTCGGTGGTTATACCGATTAACATTGCAATCTGACATACCCAACTGACTTACCGCTGGCACCAGTCAGTTGAATAGCACAGTTAGAGACACGTGGGAGTGACTAGCAACGCTGCTTAATTAAACTGTGGAATTTATAGCCATTTATTCGCTCAGCTACAAAAGATGTATGACCATGGCAACACCGCTGGAGTTTGCAGCAGTCATGCCAGTTTCTTATTGCGTGTGATTCTTATCGCAGCTAGAAATATGTTGTCACTTATGACACCTATTTCATCTATGTTGTTGTATTCAATGGCACAACGTGTTTCCTTCATGCACAGTAAATTTTTATTTGCCAGAACTATCTTCTTTGTTCCCGTGTCGTCGGGGTCGATAACACAACTTTGTCACAAATGATGGAGTGGTTTCATGATTCTCATTCCAATCGTTAAAATGGTGGCTTTGAAACTTGAAAGTGTGCATGCAAGCATATTTTACAAAATTCCTCATACACAAGACAGCGTCTCCAGTATTGACGTTTCAACGAGTAATTTTTTCATTTCTATTTGTAGCTATTAATTTTTTTTAGTAAAAAATTATTATATCAGTGAACGTTTGACTGCATTATATATAATCCTGATATCGGATCACGCATCTTTTCTATAAAAGTTATTTCCCACGTTTGCAAATATGTTTTGGAAGCAAGATTTTTCTGTAGAGTACTAAATTAAAAAAAAATACTTCAAACTTCAAAATTTCTTGTCAGAAATACGTTTCATAAAAATATGCATCTTATTTTTAACACATTCTTGTCTTTAGGACTGTTGTTTGTCAGACGCTTACTCTTGAAATAAAAAAAACTTTTTTTAGCAGGAGCAAATAACTTTTTCCTTGTTACATTAACGTTAGAAACTTGTATAGGTAATATAATACCTTGAGATGTTTTTCGACTGTGATTAGTTGACTGAAGTGTAGCTCACTGTGAAATTGTGTAATTGCACTGCAGAAAAGCAATAATTGCACTGTAGATACTGTAACCTGCTTGGCTGAAGAACAGTGAAAGCCAAACGAACTTATTTCAATTAAAAAAAAACTTGGCAGCAGTTGTAAATAAGCGAAGTAAAGAAGATTTTCACAATTGCAATCGTTTTAAAATTAAGAATTACAAAAGAATAAAAAACAGTAAGTAACTACTGTTTTTTTACAAGTATTGCCACACTGCAATTACACATTTTACTGTGCAATTACAGATAAACTGCACTGTATTCAACCAATCACTGCTGAGAAGCACATTGTTATAATTGCAAGTTTTTCTTCAAAGGTTTAACCAACTCTCTCGTCAATCGTGCAATGCTGTATATTTTCGAGAACAACATCCAGGACGAGTCTGTAAAAAAAGAACTTTTGGGGCTGGTGGAAACGAAGAATGTGATGGGATTGTCGGATGATTCAAGATTGAAGCGCACATTAATCAGTGAAATCAACTATTGTCATGACGGCATTATCATTGAGAATGGCCTTCAAATGTTGGAAAAGAAATTTGGGATAAAATGTGTTGAATCGTTTCACTCAGTATTTTTAAATTGTTCTATCTTAGGGCGAGCATCAAAAGCATACTAATAGCCAATTCATAAATAATTGTGCCTAATCCACAGTGGCGTAATTGGGTGTCCAGGTGTCAAGTGACGGGGGCCCCAAAAAATTATAGGCCCCAAACAAAAAATACCATATAAATTTATTAAATAAACAAAGCACATTTATAGGACATCAACAATTACAACTTTGCAATTTTAGTATATAGTCAATGAAACAGAAACATAAATTTGTTGAGGAATCTTTACAATACTCTCAACAAAATAACATGCAGGGTATATTCGTGCACGAAAAAATATCGAGTAAGATGTGAATTATAACAGAAAACACCTTAACTTTTGCATCTGCTCTGTTGACTTATTTTTCATCAAATTTTCTAAAATTTCCATAGCTACTTTTTAATAAAGGACGCGCGAAATGAAAATTGTTTTTAACATTATATGTCTCTAATGCTTTCACAAACCATTTAAAATACAGTTTCGGCTGCCCTTGTGTTTTTTAGCTTGAATTTCTTTTTTTTATAGTTTCTAATTGTGCTGTGGATGCTAAAGTACTCATTCTAGCATAAAAATATGAGATTTTAACTAAAACTATTATATACTAAACATTTAAAATTGGCTAATTTTCTACCCCCACTCTCTATATAACTATACACGAAAAATTGCCTTATTTTTAACATAAGTC